AAATATATAAAGCTAAGTCAAGTAACGGTCAGTATTTAACGAAAGGAGACCAAGCCAAATATTGAGACAAACATTAATCTTGCTGTCAAAAATGGCCCTTTAGAACATCTTGTAAGATAATTCTGTCTGGCATGCTGCAACTTGGAGGAACCTTGAAATCTGGGAGTCGTGATAATAGAACTATCCACAAAAACAAAAACTTAAAGCGGATTCAGGCAATTGATAGTCTGAGACATCACAGTAACTGCAATCTTCAAATGTAAATTTCATCAGCTTTTAGCAAGAGGGTGAGATTTAAATGCCATACCAAAAAAACCCTCGCTTTCAGAATGTCGATACAGCGCTGGAGATGATGGCAGAAGGCGAGTACTGTGGCCAAAAGCTTTTGAAGGAATGCAGGATCACCCTTGATGTTATTGCACACCTCCTCGATCGTTTGGCGAAACACACATTCAAGGCCGTGTGCAATGACATCCAGGGTTGATCCTGCATTCCTTCAGAAGCTTTCGGCCGCAGCACTTGTCTTCCGCCACCCTCTCCAGTGCTGTATCAACATTCTGAAAGTGAGAAGTTTTCTCAATGGTGTTTAAATCTCACCCTCTTGCACAAAGCTGATGAAACTCGCTCCACGAAATTTGTCATGCCTTGTTTACGTGATCTGAAATTTTGGTTTAATTCCATTGGTAAACAACAGAGTTATTTAAGATCAAACGTAGGACATTTTTTTTGACACGTAGAAGTTTCTTTTGACAAATTAATTTCTAACCTCAAATATACTTTTACAAAACTACACAGTTCATACCTTTAATCACTTAATGGTGCAACTAATACTATTTTCCTCAAAATTCCCCTCAGTATTTCAGACTTACGTACAATACAAATAATGAATGCATTTTTCTGTCACTTTCAAAGTTATTAAGACAGTTAAACTTTAGTCAATTTATTCTAATAGCTTCTTTTAACTTTTAAGTTAACAAAAAAAAGACCTGAATTCTACTAAATTCTCAACCATTATTGTTTTACCTTACAAAACTGAAAGATATGAATAAGTTTTTATTTAAAACTTGTATCTTTCCCCAAAAAAGTCATGATTGAAACACAGCCTTCTATTTCGTCAAACTCTTTCCAGAGGGGATAACTGACCAGACCAGTTTTCAGGTTGGTATTAAACAGGCAATTGTTTACATAATGTTTAAAGATGATTTCCATCCATACACTGCCCAAATTTAGCATCAAAGATTGCTGACTGACCATATTTCAAAGGTGTCAATCACTTTTAATCGGTGTAATGTCTTACATTTACAAAGAAAACATTGAAAAACCCTGTATTTTTTTCAGATTTTTATTTTTTTTTTGCAGGTTTTTTTTTTTGCCTCGCCCATAAATCATGACCTAAAGCTGTCCACATCAGAGTTTTGCCGCATAACACATACCAAAAAAGTGACAATAGGCCAGTTTGGTATGTCAATGCAGTCCAGGTCAAAAGTCTTTCAGGATTAAAATCGCTGACGTGATGTTACGCGATGTTTCGTGAACGTCCATTCTGCTTGTAATTAACGCACAAGCGTCACACGCCCATTTCCCTGTGTGCGTCTTCGATGCGCGTGCGATTATCCCGAATGACCCATCGCCCATATCATTGTGCGCATGCGTAGTTGAAATACCGAAACTTACTTATTCACCAGGGGTCCAACAACGACTAAAACAAAGATTTGTAGCCATGATTAACAAAACTGAAATCAAGACTAGCACTCAAAAGGCTCAATTTTGAAGACCAAAACACTATAGCCCGGAATTGCTTCGCATTACAGTTGAACGAGATACACAAATTTTAATTGTATAGTCATGTGCACTTTTAAATTCTCTTTTTTAACGACGCTTCCAACTGTTTTATGAAAATGCATTTCAGAGCCCAAATGGGACATGTTCAAGATGAAAGTCACTTCAAAATCACGATCTTTTTGGTCAAAACGAGTTTAAACGAAAACCATTTCAGCTTCGAACTATTTTACTTTTAAGAATTCTAATAATGGAATACGATGAATTTGAAAGGAATATATCCCTGCAAAATCTGTATTATCATATTCATGTGTTTGGGTTGAAGCATACACATGTACTTATTTTTAAGCAAAAACAAGGCACTTAAAATATTCTATAGGCAAAACCATTATTTTTTATCTAATGCGTTATCCTGTAAGAATATCATACAACAGCTTTAACCTGATACATCAAATTCAAAAAAGATTGTTCTTCAATTCAAATTGTTCCTTAGGCGCCATCTTTACCCTAATTGCAACTGCTAATTGAGTTATAGTTTTTACACACGAGTATATTCTTTATGCGTACACAGTTATATTTTTGGTCACTGAAGAAAAATTGGAAGCAATGAATTGAAGCCCACTTTGATAAGTTGGTCCAAAAAATACGAAACGACATACTTCCACTACCTTGAGACTCAAACTACCTGTACCAATGGATGGAGAATCCTTTTAGAAGAATTATGATACCAAAATCTCCCGATTCGGTCCAGTGGCTTTTGCTGCAGCGCCTATTTTGTGAAGCACACTTCTTTCATGTGGGTATTATTACATAACAATCCCTCTATCAATTACAATGTAAGTCAAATTCCCGGGTGCGGTTTAGTAATTCATCGGGACAAAAATGACCCCCACCTTGCTTCACAAAATAGGCTCTCGAACAAAAACTACTGGACCAAATCGGGCGATCTTGGTTTCATTTTTCTGCTAAAAAGATTCTCCATGCATTGGTACATGTGGTTCGACTCTCAGGGTAGTGGAAGTATGCTGTTTTTTTTTTGTTTTTTACCACCCTGAATAATGTGCAATATTAAGGCATACTTGTCAAACAGCATACCTTAAAGTGACATTAGTTTGTATTATATAACTGACATACAGATCCTTGTCATTTGATTGGTGGAACTCACATCACGTGACTTTCGTTATTGCTCCCATTCACGCCGCGGCTCAAAAAGTCCCATTCGCACATGGGGAATGGGAAATACTATTCAACAGTTCAAATCATTCTTGTTCCATGACGCGGTATTTGTTTGCAAATGCAAGCTGGTGTGCACATTCAGCGTTGCGCGTTGCGCGTAGTGCGTATTGTTCCAAAGAACCAGCGCTACAGGGTTGGGTTCAAACATTTTTGTGAAGGGTGGTTTGGAAGACAGAAATACATTTTCCACCAATTTTATGTTGAAATAAAAGTTCAAATATATCAAATGACAAGGATCTAAATGTCAGTTATATCAAACAAATATTGAATGGCTTTAAATTGTGAAATGGGAGGAATATTATCGCTTGGTAAAATCTGGACTTTTCCAGTGCACTCGGCTTCGCCTTGGAAATGGAAACGTCCAGATTTTACCTTGCGATAATATTCCTCCCATTTCACTCTGAGCCACTCAATATTTGTATACTATCCCATTGTCATTCATTTCAGTTTTTGAGTTACATCACTAATTCTAAATAACACATTTAGAGATTTATAAGGCCACAGACTGTTGAAACCCCAGATAAAGTGAATGATTCAAAGGCATTTAAATAAGAGTGCATAACTGGCCTTTTTACACAGCTGGCAAGGAGTACCGAAGTGTGACGTCATTTAGAACCAGAAAGTGTAGCGCAAACGAATGGAGTACGCGCGTGTGTTGGTTCACGGGCTGAATCACGCGCTGTAATGTCTTTCACACACATTTTGTGAGCGTGACGTATTCACTTCGGTACTCCATACCTGTCATAACAAACATCATCAGTCATCTCTGGAAAGCCAGCTCATTAAATATCTGGGGACAAGTTGTCGACCCCTTTATCCGCAATAATCCTATTGTACAGGGTGAGTAAAAAAATGAAACCCAAATGTCAGGACTATTGTTTTAGTGAAGTTCTGCATGTAGCACTTTCAAAATCTAGGATATGAAAGCCCAATTCATAAGCTTTCTTTTAGTACAAGAATCATTCAAATCAGTCATGTAATTTTCAAGTTACGGAATTTTAAACACAACCACTGTTTTAACGTTCTGTCCACAGATCACAAAAAAAGTGTGCGTTCTTTAAGCAAAACGAAAACAATTCACGCACATGTGATTTGTTTTGCTGAAAGAACACTTCCCTTTTTGTGATTCGTGGACAGAACCTTTAAAACGGTGGTTGTGTTTAAAATTCTGTAACTTGAAAAGCACATGAGTGATTTGAATGATTCTTGTACTAAAAGAAGGCTTATGAATTGGGCTTTCATATCCTAGATTTTGAAGTGCTACATGCAGAACTTCACTAAAACAATAGTTCAGACATTTGGGTACCCTTTTTTTTTACTCACCCTGTATTTGTACAATTTGCAGGATTCTAAACAACTTTCCCTAAAATCTTCCTATTTTGAAGTTATCAGCATTGATTACAAACTGATAGCTTCAATGCGGGAAACTTCTACAGATGTTAAGAATCCTAAAAACACCCCCAGACAATAGGTGGATTGTGGTTAAACTTTTCTTCTGCTTATCCCAGATATTTTGTTGAGATGACTCCTTACCATAGGGCTATATTAAATTACCAGAGCGCTGACTCATGTACAAAGTGATGCCTGCTGGGCGCATCCATGTTTGTGCACAAACCTATGGAAAACTCGACATTTTGTACAGTTTTTGTGTACATCTATTTGCATATCTGCGTTTGTATTCTATACAGGTGCGTAACCGACAATGATACACCCAAAACCGAAACGCACGATCAGCAAATGAGCGTTTCATTTTGCTCTACGCAAACAGCGCAACGCGTGCGCGTATCCACTGCAGATGATTAGCCGCGACGTGTTTTTATAAAACGTCACGACGCGCTTAAGTTGTTTACGTACGTTCTACTTGCGCGTTGCATTTGGAATACACTTTCAAAATTCAATCGATCTAATTTCATTATGTTCAACAAACACGCACATGAATTCACAATATCTGCGCCCAGGACGGCTTCAAAGCGTCTCCGCGCGCAAGAATGAGGAGTTAGCGCTCTAGTAATTTAATATAGCTCTATGCTCCTTACATACATCTTATCTTCCCAGCTGATCAACATTTTCCCAGGACCGTCGCTAGGAGTGCCATCCGTACATACATGCCACACTCGGCCTGACGGAAGTAGGCAGCCCTAGGGTCACTATCAACGTCACGGCTGAAAAAATAAAAAGAAACAAAAATAAATACCCCACTTAAAAGGGCCCATGTTTTGTAATTGTAATGCAATCCTTGAAAATGCACCTTTGTGTCCAATTTTACCTTATTTTCACATTTTTGTTTTGCCATTTTCAAGGGTATTTTGGTGCCTTTGTACAACATTTTGTAAATCAATATGTGATATCTTTGTGACATACACACACTCACACACGTTTGTTTATGGTGTAAATCAAAGATTTTTTTTGTTCCTCTTCCCTTTTCCTTTCTTTGTAACTTTTTCGCAACAGCTCTCATTGGTTTTGTGCACGTTTTCTAATCGAGGTCGTCCTCGATTTGGTTCCTGTCCTCAATTCATCGATGATGTTGCTCGTGTGTGTCCTCGATTTACACCACAAACATGCACAATAAAACATGCCCTTACAAAAACCAATGACCAGGCATGCAACTGCCATTTTAGAAAAAACACAGAAACTCCAAACCACACAAGACTTCGTACAGTGTTTCTCAATTTGCAATGCATTCATGAGAAGTAAAAAACGAGGAAATCAGCGGATCTGAGGAAAAGTTGCACGCCTGGATGACTGAGAAAGTTGAATATCCCGTATCTTGGACCAAAAAAAATCATCTTAAACTAGTACAGTGGAACGTCGCTATAACGAACATTGTGTGATCCACAGAAATTGTTCTTAATAGCGATCGTTTGGTATAGCTGTTTTCACATTTTAGTGTCACCCTCTGTTGGTAATTGTTATTGTGCGTGAAGTTGCATTTACAAACCATGCGCGGAGTTGCAAAACGACAAATGTGTCCATTAATATTTTCATTTCCGTGGCAAAACTTCACCAAGTACGCCTTGGTAGTATGAAAGACTTCTTCGAGCACGTGCGACTATTGAATCATGTAAATTACAGTTTTGGAGCTTACATGGAAGGCTTTTTCCTGCTATTCGTTGGGGAAATAATAGCCATTTGTCTTCTGTTGACATATCCAACAACAATGTTCGGTACGTTTTGTACACAAAAAATGGGAGCCAAGGCTGATGTTTGGTATAGCCGAATGTTCGGTATAGCGGTGTTCGGTATAGCGACGTTCCACTGTACCTCTCACATCACAGTTCTTGCTATAAACGGCTCTCAGTGAAGTATGAATTGTGCAAGAGACTGACCTGATTTCATTGATCCTAGGCAGAGGATGAAGCACTACCATCTTCTCTTTGGCTCTGGTCATGGTGCGTGGGGTCAGGATGAAGTTACCACATTGCTGTATACAGGACAAAAATGAAAGTATGCTTATTCAATTTGTCACTCTGTCACCATTTTCACGAAGAGCCATATATGTGGATTTTGCAGAAAAAGTGTTTTTGAGATAATCGCAAGAGAAGTTTCTTCTATTTCAAAGGGATGTGTGTGAATTGTTTTTGTTTTGCTGAAAGAACGCACACCTGGGTTTCGTTTTTTTTAGCTCACCCTGTACAGTTCTATTTTCATATTAAATTCATGAATTTGTAATTATTAGAACTTTTTTTCTAATGGTTGACAGGTAGGAAAAATTGCAGAAAATCTGCAAGTTTCTCTAGAAATTGTTACCTGTTCATACTCCTCTTTGCTTGCGAAGCGTTCCTGTTGGATCCGTGTCATGTACAGCACATCAGTATCTGATATGGCTTCTTCAATGCTCCCAAACTCTTCCTGTATTCACAAGAAAAGAAAAATCCAACAATTTGGTCAAAGTTGTTGAGTGCTAGAGCAACTTCGAATTGTCCACTGATTTTATACAATTTCTTTTGCTTCCCCAATGCAAAATTATGGTTGTAAACTTGTAGAGTGTTTTTAAATATATATTTCAGCTCACAAGCTTGCACAAAAAACAAAAAAAAGAATTTGGGAAAAATCATCCACATGTCTTATCTCTAGTAAACGCATTCGATTACTTCCCTCGCGCTTAGCCGTACTTTCGTCTTGGGTATAATAGATGCACATGTGAATCTGACGCAATAAACGAATGATCTCGGGTTAGACTTAGACGCCATGTTGTGGCATTGCATTGTGGGATACCTTCCCAAGTAACCGGTTCGGCGGGTCGGTTACTTGGGCCAGGCTCGAGTAAGTACAAAGTCACGTGCGAGTTAAATTGAACGCAGTCGCACTTGCACGAGTAAGAGTGTGGGAAGTAATCGAACGCGTAAAGTTTAATCTCTAACCAGAAGTATCAGGTTTGGATAGCGTATGTCACATTTTGTTGCGTCAGTGCAACAAGGTCATAACTCCATTCTGCAACAAAGTTGTATCTCGCGCAAATACGCTCCGTGCAACAAGGTCGTATCTCGACGTCCATTGACTTTTTGTGTACATCTGGGTTATTTTAAGTGAGATACAACCTTTTAACATTCTGAAACTCGCGTTTCACTTACAGCCCTTGTTAGGAGATACGACCTTGTTTCACGGACACGACGATTTGTGCTGCCAAGGGAAACTTACTTGAGGAATGCCTCGCTCGCTGACGAAATCCTTGACAGATTTTGGCATCTGTAGGTCCTTGGTGGAGACGTAGCGTAGGTTGACTCGGTACAGTGTCAGTAAGCGGGCGAGGGAATGTACGGTGCGGCCATGTTTCAAGTCTCCTACCATTGTTATCTGTAGAATAATAATAATATTAAATCGTAGTGCTTATATAGGGCTTACCATCATATTAACAATCTCAAAGCGCTTTATATTTATTACCCCTTAAAGGCCACGAGACCACGCGGCAGTGGATATCGGCGCTCTATTGCCCCCCCCCCCCCCCCCCCCGACCCTCACAGGTACCCATTCATACTCCTGGGTGGAGAGAGGCAATTGTAGTTAAGTGTCTTGCCCAAGGGCACAAACACCATGTTCCTGGTACGGTTCGAACCCATGCACCATCGTACATGAGTCAAACACCGTAACCAATGGACCATGGCATTCTACAGGAAATCAGGTTTTGGAAGATGTGCAGAAAATCCACGACGATGACCAAAATTGAACGCCATTTCATATTCAGATGTCAAACTAAAAAGGAACGGTGAATTATGCGCTCAATACTGCATGTGAAAAACTAACATAACCAACGCATACCCTGGATGTCAGACTAACTTACGAACAAACATGCGCGCACATACATGTACACCTGGCCACATACATTTGCATAGAAACAGTACTGCAAGCGTGCGCGTAATCTTCACACGAGAAGTTCGTACAGCATGCTTGTCTGACATCCGGGTTCTTGCTTCTATTTTAACATTAGTGCGGAGTGCTATAGCACTCAATTCACAAATAACTACAATAATTGTAATTAGGCCTACATGACTGTCATAGACGTGGACAAACTAGTTTTTGACTATTCTTCTGTAAATGGCCGCTATTTCTTAACTTGAGCTTTATTTTCAACGCCGTTTTCATCATAGACGACCACGATCTTGTAGTTAAGGAATATCTTAAAACAACTTCAACATGTCTCTTCAATTTTGAGAAACCTGCCTCTGAAAAAGCATCAAGTTTTCTTTGGACCACCCTATACATGTTACAAAACAAGGGAATGACCAATAACTCATTCACCACAAAAATCTCTATCATTTTACAGTCTATTTTTTCAACATCCCGAAGTCGAGTAGCTTTTTTCTGTTACCGTGAGATCGTTGACTGTTCCAATCTCCTCTCGGATGGTGAAGACGTCCAGCAGGGCTTGGGTTGGATGCTCCCCGACACCGTTGCCAGCGTTCAGGACCGGTTTGCGGCAGACGTTTGCCACAGTGTTGGCAGCATCCTGGTCCGGGTGACGTAGGACGATAACATCGCAGTAGCCTGCCATCATCTGTGCTGAGTCTGGTGGGGTGGGGGGGGGGCCAAAACATTACATTGTTTATAAATTTCACACATCGGTAAAAATGATCTGATACATCATGCCCTCTGGAGACATGCACACAATAGGGAACAAAAGATTGTATACGTCTCCACAGGGCAATTTCTACAGATGAATACGTCTCCACAAGGTTTCATGAAATAGATATATGGATTTTACTCAAAAACTAGGAATTTCCAAGGTATGTTGATCCGTCGCAAATGGTAGAGTTTTAGAAAAGGGATATTTAGTTCGAATTTCAGCCAAGGAAATTAATTCTGGTTAAAATAAGAGCATTTTGAAACTACACTTTCAAACTCGAAAACTTTACTACATGAGAAGAAAGAAATGTCTCCACAAGGATACAAATTTCAGTATGTATGAACCAAACCATGCACTTCCTTCAATACACCTTTTTCATGCTTCCACCACTTTAGTCATGTTCCCTGTATCCAATAACAGAACTGAATGATTTTGTGTTTGTAAAAAGAACCAAACTATTTTTCCTTCCAGCCTCGCTTTGGTTACGTTGATTTGAATGGGAAAATATAAAGATGGCTGCAACATGATAATGGTCTACAGTTAGGAGTCCATGTTTTGATTTGGTAAACGCTAACCCGATTTTTACGCGACAATTGAATATTTTCAACATTTGGCCAATACTTTACAATTTCACGTCGGATGACGTGTATACATGCAAAGGTTTTGCGGTAATTCGGAACTGATGACGGATAAACATGCAACAAGCGAGGCCGGAAATATCTGTTAGCAACCCGCTCGCAGCGAGCAAGGCCAGAAATATCAGCGTGTGCTTTCCGCAGATGATGGCTTGAACCCATCTGGCATCAAGGTTTGTGAAAAACAATCCTGTGGCTGGGTCTGATCAATGTCGAAATATTACCGGCGCGAAGTGATTAACAAAAAAATAAGCTTTTTCAGGAAAAGGTTGCCAGAAGTATGAATATTTTGCTTTGGTAGATTTTCTTTTTTAGATGATTCGTCGTTGTGTCAGCACATGGCATTTTAGGTTCACAATTTGAACAGAAAACCCCTAAACTGAACTGTGTCTTCCTGAAATGACATCACAGCAACAGCGCCCTCAGTTGTCCGGAAAAGCATGGACAACGTTTAAATGTTTCAAGTGCACTTTCCAATAAAATTAACCAAAAAAGGAAAGTTAAATACTTATAGACTATAAAAATATGGACTATAAAAACACTGACCTGCGAGTGTCTCTCCTTTCTTGTGTGATGAATTGCTGTCGGTGAAGGAGATGACGCTTCCTCCAAGACGTTGCATGCCGGCAGCGAAGGAGGAGGCAGTTCTTGTACTAACTTCATAGAACATACTGCCCATCACTTTGCCCTGGGTGTCAAAACACAAGTGTACAGATTCGCAAAACAATTGTGATTTTCTTAAGAACTTCACAGCTTTCAGCCTTAGTCACACATTCACGGTTTGGAGCTACGGATATCCACGATTTGAAATTCGTGATAAACCGTGGGAGTACCGTATTCATCCTTAGTACATCCGTGGTTATCCGTCATCTTCCTTGGGTATTCGTGGAGGGGCTACGGAAGTTTTAAACTGTTCAAAACTTCCGCGGTGAAACCTCATGAAAGTCACTCCATAGTGCAGACGTAGGACATCCGTAGGACAACCGTACTGATTCGTAGTGTTATTCGTGGCTATTCGTACATATTCTTGGAGATTCGTAGCTTATTCGTGGTAGAAATATCTACAAATTCGCTACAAATGTCCTATGGGTATGCCTGGATGTGCTAGGGTTCTGCTAAGGCTGTATTCTTGACAATTCGTAGGAGAACCTTGGTCATCCGTGACCCAATCGCAGACAACCATGGCATTAACGTCGTTATTCTCAGTAATACCGTCGATACTCTTCACCAATCTGTCCATATTCTTGACAAACCGTGGTGTATTCGTAGAGAAACCTTAGGACAGTCGTGGCTATCCGTCCTGAAACCGTAGTGCATTCTTAGAGAGTCGATTCCTCAACGAATCTCAACGGTTAATCGTGATCGATTGAATCTTGCTAAACCGTGGATATTCGTAGCTCTAAATCGTGAATGTGTGACTGGGGCTTTAAACCCGTTTCATATGGTGATGGGAAGAATCAGAATTATCAAAATCCGGTTATCCTACTGTTCTTTCAAACCGAATAACGGTTATCTGATTTCACGGGAAGTTCCCATCCAGCTCACAGTCATGCCAACAAAAAGTGACGATTGAGGTGCTGCATGCAATACCCTCCCAATGACTGGGTATAGTTTGCAGGATTCAATGACCACTGGGCCTTTACAAAAACACTCCAGAGCTGTAATGTTGACAAAAATGGGTAGAAACTCTCTGATAAAGTCGAATGGACATGCTATTCATTTACCAAGAAGACCACTAGCAAGTGAATGCAGTTACAATCAGAGACCATGGAGCAAATTGGGGGATGTTCAGTTATTTTCTTTAGCCTGTGTCCCAAAAAAATGGAAGGATTGATGTTTATAAGGTTGGTTTGCAATATCTAGCATAAAATCAAAATTGAACATTGGAATTGAAACGGAATTTTAAAAAATCCTAGTTTAAATCCCACCACTATTTTCATACCTCGCGCAAATTTCAGTGCAAAGTGAACAAGCGAATTCGGTACTCCGAATGCGCATTCAATCATTTTTACTTTGGATAAACGCAGCAGATAAATGCACGCAAGTATATTGGGGACGTGGTAATCTGGCCTTGCAATTTTTCATGTGATCAAAAAGATGGTTGAAGCCTTTGTTCGCACAAAGTTGGGGCATACAAAACACCAATAAACACATTTCTGTCCAAACGTTTTGAAAGTTTGTGCTTACTCCTGAACAAGGCATTTCTTGAAAGATTGACTGTTGCAATTGTGTGGTAGTCAAGGAGAAAGTTAATGTGCAAAGTTCACTTGTCTGATACCAAAAAGTTCTTGGTTTAACGCGAGTCACGACTTCTACATGCTTCGTGCATAGCGTGACACAAGAAGGTAAAGTCAGTAGTCAGGCAACTACGTACCTTGAGTATATAATCCAGACTTCTCTCCTTCTGCACAGCCACACGCATAGAATGAGCAACGTTGAACAGATGATGAAGCTATCGTAAGGAACAAGAATCAAGAACTCAAATCATAACCAGTTCTTGTAACGGAGGAAAGGGAATTACGGCTTTATGGAAAACAGTTGACATCATGTGGTCCTTTGCCCGTAAATGTCAAAATGCCATTTTTCTCCAAAACTTATATTAAGTTCAATAAAATTAGTGGTGTTCATGTATATTTCAATTCCTCCAAGTGTTATATACCTTAAAAAGCTTTTGGTCTGCAGAACCCAGAAATAAACATCCGTCTTTGAGCTCATTTTGTATTGAAATGACATAATTGTTCACGATTGTGTAAAGGGACCTTCAAGCATTCTGCTTTTACTCACATGTTCTCTGGTGAATTGGCTGGCGCTGAGGATATGCTTGTTGTACAGTAAGTTGGAGCCGGCTGTCGGGTGCAATTCTAAGGCGGTTACTTGCCCAACTAGGGGCGTGGCTTGAGCCGAGGGAGGCTGGCTGGGAGGGGTAAAGACCAGGGCCTTTGAGGCGCCTCCTCCTACTATGTTTGGAGATAATATACCCATGTCTAGAAAAGAAATTTGAAGTGAAATACATGTTTTTAGTTGTCATGTATACATTGCAACAACAAAAAAAAAAAGTATTGCCTTTCTACTTATGGTATTATTTTCAGTATAGAGTACTGAAGTGTGACGTCATTTAGAACCAGAAAGTGTAGTGCAAACAAATGGAGTACGCACAAGTGTTGGTTCATGGGCTGAATCACGCGCTAATGTCTTTCACACACATTTTGTACTTCGGTACTCCATAGGGACGATTCTGAGCAAAAGTGGACATGGGTGAAAAGTGGAATATTTATGAAATCTTCAGAACTACAAGCATCATCCTCAAAGGTGGTATCAAATGAAAGGGGACAACAAGGCCTTTTATTTGAGTGGTGTGCCAGTAAGATAGAATTTGGTTAAATATTCAAGACAAAAATGGTTTTGAGGTTTAAATTATAGGTTTTAGGTAGTCATTTTGGCATCTCGTTTTCACATTCAAAATGGAAGTTTTATTATGAGTTTGTTGTTTGTAAGGCAGAGAGAAAGGTTTATATTTTCTGAAAATATCACACGCAACTTAGAATACCATGATTCAGTATGTTTTCTATCATGCGTTTGAAGTTGTTTTACAGACATGGGTCATTCCACCGGGTTGGGAAACAATGTGTGATGTATGACCATATTATGAAAAGTATGAATGCCTTGCTAGCAGTTGCTCTACATAATATTTGTTGTTGGGTGTTTTACTACTGCAGAAAGTTTCAAATCACTTGAATGTTTTTGGCCCAAAATATGAGCAAAAATGTCATTTGGACATAAACATTGACACTGTGCCATTTTTTTAAGTCCAAATATTATATTTGTAACTTTTCTTTAGTTTCTGTAAAACATAACCCAAATTCACTTTATGGACTTCTTGCTATACATGCAACGCACTAAGAAAAACTTTTGTTTTGGTAGTCAGGTATCAAATGGAGCAGAAATGATAGCTTGGTTGTGGATTAACATTGACACCATGTCAACCCCAAATGTCACACTTCCATTGAGTGATTTTGATACCATTAAATGCACATTAAGATCACATTAAGATATTGTTTCTGCTATATTTGAACCCTGACTATACAAAAACAAAAGCTTTTCTTGGTACATAGGTGTCCAAGCCTCAACATATTGACAGTCACTGCCGCAGGATTTTGCAGGATTCAGGCAGTGGTCACCCCTCCATTGACCATATTCAAGAAATAATGGAGTAACTTGCAGGATCAAGGCTATATGCTAGATGTTTCCATGAGGCCAATTGGAGGATTTTGCAGGACTGAGACTACAACCTAGCAAAAAGGCCTAGGGAGTTAGGGTTAAAATTAGCTTGATGACTACTACACTATGAGTAAGATGCACAAAGCTTGCAAAGTCAGAGAGTAGAATTGTACTTACCACCGTGCTCCGACACTCTGTGAACCCGTGGGGGCAAGTTGAAGCGTTCCATGTTCAGCTTCTGAGGGGAGGAGGGGGCGGAGAGTGGGGCTGACGAGGGGGGTACTTGGACGGCCAAGGGGCGGATGGTAGGAACTGGGCCAACATTGGAGACGTGCTTCTTGGTAGCAGCAGGAAACAGGATGCCTTCTGGGATAGAGCGAATGTCGTGACCGAAACCCGGTGGCACCAGGACCTAGAAACCAAAACCAAAAATTATTGTGAATTTAAAATCTATTTCACCAAACATGTCCAAAATAACAGCCGATGGGCTCCGTGCACAGGTACCCCATCAACGGCCAGAAAAGGAGAGTTGGGGTGACCTAGACTGGTTCCCGGTCCATCCACAGCGTATTTCAAATGTATCCAAAGTTATTGGAGGCAGGGGTTAGTCTCGGAGACCATCGCAAGTTGAATTCGAACGTATTTGTGCACCTAAGACGTGGTGGCCATAGATTTTGCACATTCAGGAGTCGTGCGTACTTCCAGCCCATAACATATCTCATTTGCACTTGTTTTGATAATTGCTACATATTTTTAAAATATTTTCTTTAATTTGGGTCCAGATCATTCTGATGCACACCGTACAATCCCTCAGCGGACGGTTTTTAGTTGTGGATGGACTTGTGATGTGCAACTACATCACTGTAACACTGAATTTCAAAACTATAGGTTTTCCTGGCTATTTTAAGAGATGCTCAAATTCACCAACTCTATCAATTAATTTCGTCCACGAAAACTTTCACAGGCTTTTAACAAAACCAATTTAGTCATTTACCATTCAATTATAAAGTTTGGTCACCCTCTTTAGTCACTGGGTCGGGAATATTCGTCATTACAGATCAAATTCGTCTAAGCTGTTGCCGAATGGCAGCATTCAGAGATCAAATTCGTCTTATATAAATCAATTAGACGAATTTCAGGGTAGACGAGACGAAATCAAATATTCTGGGTCGAAAAAGAGCGCTCATTGTTTGAATTTGTTTGGACTAAATTGAAATTGACAAAAGACAAAATCAAACATTGGAAGTGCACTAAATCGATGTTGCTGGACGAATTTGAATATAAGAATCGGTGAATTCGAACGAAAAATGTTTTAAAATAGCCAGGAAAACCTATATTACAATGCTGATGTATTTACCTGACCGTCAATGAATGCCACCCCTCCTCTGAGGACCACTCTCCGCAGTTGACCTTTGACCTTTCGGCCCGCAAACGGCGTCCACTTGCTCTTGGTGAATGTCATTGCTTTCGGCAGGGTCCAGACGTGGTCCATGTCCACCTCTATGTAGGTGTCGCGTTGTTCTGGCAGGCCAAAGATGCGGCGAGGATTGTTGTACAAACGATCCACAATGTCCTGAGATAGGGGAGGACACAAAAAGTAAATACAGGGTGAGTAAAAAAAAACGAAACCCAAATGTTGGGACCATTGTTTTAGTTAAGTTCTGCATGTAGCACTTTCAAAATCTAGGATATGACAGCTCAATTCAAAAGCTTTCTTTTAGTATAAGAATCAGTCAAATCACTCAGTCAAATCACATACTTTTCAAGTTACAGAGTTTTTAACACAACCGCTGTTTTAAGGTTCTGTCCACGGATCACAAAAAGGTTAAGTAAAACGAAAACAAATCACATAAGGGTGTGTGTGAATTGTTTTTCGTTTTGCTGAAAGAACACACTACAGTATAGTTACGACCCATTTAGGATAACAAATTTGCAAAACACTTCACCCCCAGAAGCATCTGGTTTTGACAGAATGGGTTACCTTTTATCACTAAAGTTTAAGGCTGTGTGTGTGAATCACTTGACGACAGCCGGGAATACCACATTTTTGGGAGTCAGGTTGGCTGTGGGAGTCAGGTTGGCGTAGCGGTATTTCCTCGCCTTCCACCGCTGTGACACGGGTTCGAATCCCGCCCAGGCCAACATGTGGATTGGGTTTTCAGTCCCTACCTGATTCCGTGGGTTTTCCCCAGAATGTTCTTCTGGGGTTTTCCTCCCACCTCTAAAACTGTAACTTCTTCTCATTGTCTTCTCTCCACAGGTTTCTTCAGGCTTGCGAGCTACAGTGCCTGGGGCGCTTTTGAGGAATCCTTGGTTTCATTACCAGAAATAATTAACGATAATAATAATTGCGGCTGTGACCACATCCCACTGACTCCTGTGTTATTTTTTAGCCATAGCCACGTGATTCGGATATAGCCTAAATTCAAAGCTGTGGATAATGTTGGTCTGGTTCCCTACCTCCATGGTCAGTCGTCCATCGTTCACTGCAGTGAGAAGCAGCGGCAGCATGGTCTCCAGTCCCGGGAAGCCGGGTGGAGGGTTGGCACTCTCCTTTTCCTCCACAGTGTGTGGGGCTACAAAAGCAAATCACAAAAAAAAAGTAAAATTGAGAAAAAAATAAAGTTTAATACTAACCCTGCCAGACGCAACACGGCGCGAAAGATGTAAAAGTCTGTGGGACCTTGCTGCATTGAGCCATCAGCATCATTGCATAAACTGCCGATTTTTCGGAGTTGTGGGACAAAGAAATAGGAAAAAGTAGGAATTTCAAGAAAAAAGTGGGAAAAGTAGGAATACTTGAAAGCCTGCAACGATGGGCTGGCATTTAGTCCAGCCCCAGATTTCATGAAACTCATCCTAACTTACGATGCATCGCAGCGCTGCGACATGTACTATCCTTACGATGCACCGCAGCTTACACGCGCCCTGCGATTCATTTCACAAAACACGCCATAAAGTGTGATGCATTGTAGGTGTATTAATAGCACAACACAGTGACTGTTGTATGTTTTTATTCAACGTACAGTATATAGTCGTCTGATATTCAACAAAGAATAATCGGATCCCCTTCGAAAATTAACAGTTCTTAAAACGTAAAACAAAATGGCGGACGTATGAAGCAATTTCAAAGGAAAACAAGCTCACAGTGGACTGATAGCAACTTTGAAATTACAACCGCAATATTCCAGGCTAATTCATATTTACTTCAATGCATATTCAATTTACAATTTCACACATTGTCTCGGTAGTATAGTTTATTTACTTTTATGGCATAAAACTGGCGAAGGAAAGGATGCTTCTTATTTTGTGATGACAAGATGTATCGTAACTTGCGACGTGTTTTAAGTTGTGGTCAACACATCGTAAGTTTTGTGAAATGGAGCACTTCTTGAAATCGGGCGCGGGGGAACAGAAATTAACACTGAACTGATGAGCCATACAGACCTTACAAGGAAAAATTTTTTTCCGGACATTTACATTTGATGTTCCTTACCATGATCAGTCGCGAAGCAGTCAATGATGTCCATATTCTCCCACAATGCATTCTGATCCTCCTGAGAGGACAGTACAGGCCGGACCTGACCCTTGCCGTGACCTATGACCTCCAGGTCATCCGAGGTCAGGAAGAGGTGATGGGGCGCAACCTCACAGGTCACGCTCATGCCAGACTCCTTGGCTAGACGAACCATTTCAATCTGAGATTTTGTTGGGAAAATAACAAATACGTGACAATCTTTCTAATGAATAGTATAATTGACAATACAGCATGTCCCCCAAAAAATGTCCCTCTCATGGACCACAGAATAATTACCAAAATCAAGTTTTATACTCCATTAAGTTTACATATTTAGAAAGCCCACTTAATTTTGTAGTTCCTGTGAAAATGTCAAAGGTCTCGCTTCATTGGTTTTGAATACACAGGCTCTTATGTAACAGCAGTGCTTTCCGGCCCATTCCAAGTTTGATAAAAAGAAATGCACACTACAGACATACCATACCTTATTCCATGCTTCACTTTTATTTCAACAACTGTGTTCTTGTTTTTGTTATTAAGTAACTAAAGTCAAGTTCATTTACTTGTTTAAATGAAAACTAATCAAAGTTCAGTTCCACTGGTCGTGTGTGCTTTCACAGGGTGTGTTCCACTTATGGTTTGTTCTTCAATGTCCAGCTTGTAAACCTTTATTGTCCCCCTGCACATCCTTCCACCTGCAAACTTGGAATGGGCTGAAAAGCACTGCTGTTACATAATAGACTGTGTATTCAAAACCAATGAAGCGAGACCAATGAAATTTTCACAGAAGTTACAAAATTATATGGGCTTTCTAAATGCAAACACTAAATTAAGAATAATACTTGATTTTGAAATTAATTTAGCAGTCTATCAGAGGGACATTTTTTTTGGGACACGCTGTATGGTACTTATGCACGCATATTTTGGAGTAGGCCATACAAGGGTGCTGTAAAGATACCTTTAATTGCTACATTTTTACTGACACACACTGTATCCGCAATCGCATTTAATCTTATACGATTAAATTTAATTTCTTAATATGTTTTCAATAAGTGAGAGTTGATTTTGCAAAGACATGAAAGTATATGACCACTTGAAGAAAGAGAGTTTGTTTCTTTAGAAACGTACGACAACCTTTACCAAGAAATCAAAAATAAAGTTTTCCATCAAATTCACCCACCTCTTCCTTCCGTGCCACATGGCAGATGTGAATGGGGCGATCAAACATCTTGGCCAGGAACAAGATGGCCGCCGTGGTGCGGCCCTCTGCATGGGCGACGAGGGGCAGGTGATGGGGCCAGTTCTCAACATGCTATAGAACAAGAAACAAAAAGTTTGGCTCACCAATTCTATAATTGAATATGAGATTTTTTTTTTCATAAATTACGAGGGATATTTTTTTGGGCACCTTGTATAATGAACATACAAGCGAACAGGTATGCATTTTAAACAGGGAATGAAATCTTTACTTTCCCACTATATAAATCGACATTAAATTGTAGTAAAACAGCTAATAGGTCTCGTTCAAATGACCTCATTTCCTACAGACCATCCACGTGCATTGACATTTTGAGCGTCAACTTACATAACGCGCATCGGCCGCGTCGTATTTTGAACACATTTTGAGCAACATGCGCGCATGTTGGAAACATTTTTAACACTGCGTAATGCGTGCTTGATTGCTTAAAATACGCAGTTGCAGTTCTCCTACAGAGATGGCCGTTATTGAGCGAGCCCTATTGTACAGACCTTTTGCCATATGCAGACGTTGTCCATACGCAGCGTAGTGAAGGTATCGTTTAGATACATCTTGAGGCCCATGGCCATAGGGCCAATGTTGGCCAGGTCGATAGAATTCTCTGCGGCTGCTCCGACATACAGGCCATAGTCGCAACGAGCTCCTAAACGAGCCAGCTGAAAAAAAGAAAAATATCAAAATTCGGGTTTTTTTTTTTACCTTTTAGTCACTGTAGCCCCAAAACAACACCGCCTATTACTCACTGTAACGCCGGAAACTGTCTCAGCACTCTATGTTTTTTTTATTCTTCACGTTTATGCTCGCAACATTTCCAGTTTTCACTGCAAAGCTATAAGCTCACTGTACAAACTTGTATCTTGCTTCATTAGCGCACCGATGTGGTAGTATTATCGTACCATAGAGCTATATTAAATTACTAGAGCGCTAACTCTTCATTCTTGCGCGCGGAAAAACTTTGAAGCCGCTCTGGGCGCAGATATTTTGAATTGATGTGCGTCAAAATAGATGGATTGAATTTTAAAAGTGTATTCTAAATGCAACGCGCAAGTAGAAGATACGCAAACAACTTAAGCGCGTCATGACGGTTCAAAAAACGTCACAGCGAAAAGCATCTGCAGTGGAGGGACGCGCACACGTTGCGCTGTTTGCGTAGAGCAAAATGAAACGCTCATTTGCTGATCGTGCTTTTCGGTTTTGGGCGTATCGGCTTCGATGACGCACCGATACGGAATACAAACGCAGATATGCAAATAGACGTACAAAATACGTACAAAATTTCTAGTTCTCCATAGGTTTGTGCACAAACATGGATGCGCCCAGCAGGCATCACTTTGTACATGAGTTAGCGCTCTAGTAATAATATAGCTCTATGTATCGTACGGACCTTCAAAAATAATCTGAACAACAACTTCAGAGATTCAAATTGTGCAGTTAGGTTTTTAACGGGTACCCGGGTACCCGTGTTATTTTCAATCGGGTATCCGGTTCCCATACTACCCGTAAACGCACACCACTAAACTTGGCAAGACCATTCAATTACCTTTTGTGCCAGTAGGAATGATGGGTGATCAGTGATGGCGGGGCTGGTGTTGGGCATGACCCCCACCATGGTGATACCGCCAGCTAGCGCCGCGGCCGTCCCCGAAGCGAAATCCTCCTTGTGGGTCGCGCCTGGCTCCCTCAGGTGCACGTGGACGTCGATCAAGCCAGGCAACCGCACGATGCGATTGGACGTCATGCAGTCCACGTTGGTCTTGAGGCGTGGGGCACCGCCGATACGCCGCAAGGCCTGTGGAAATTAATTTCAGTTAGGAAACCAACTAGGTTTAATGTGAAGTGTTCTGTCAAAACCAGATGCTTTAATTGAGATACAACCCAAAAAAGGACGTGATTTTTTCCCCCATACTCATTCATTTTGAATACTAGTGCAATAATCTAGCTATCCACCAAAGTTTCATGACAATCGAAGTTTCCATTATATGTGTTTTCAAAATTTGCGTTTTTGATGTCATGGTGACGTCACACATTTTTCAAAATTTAGTGCATATACCTATTACCTAATAAATCAAATACAAAAAGAATTTTGAATTTAGCTTGCTGCATTTGTGAGATATGGCGTAAAAGTCCAAAAATTCAAAAAAATATATAAATCACACGATGACGTTGTGATGACGTCACATGACCCATGGTGATGTCATGATGACGTCACTCTTCGGGACACAACTTTGCTATAGGGACTATGCCTATGCTGACTTTGAATGATGTATGACAAAATATTAATGCCAAAAGTGGTACTGAGAAAAAACGTGCACAAAGTCTATGGGATTTAGGCGACAAAAAGAAGAAGGAAGAAAAGAAATGAGAACAAAAAAAAGGCTTTTCCGCAACTATGAATAAAAAAAATTGTCATGTTTGACTCCTCCATGAAAACGGTGACGATTTGGCAGCCTAGCAACTAAACTTGGAATACCAATTCTCTGGTTCTACCACCGACCGAGAACTTCGTAGCGATTCATTTGTTGGAACATTGACCAATGAAAGACGCCCATTTGGTGCATGAATATGCATAAGGTGTCAAAAAAACACACCTTACCTCAACAAACAGCTTGACCTTCTTCACGTCTGTGATCAGTGGGATAGACTTATCAATGGCCATTCGTCGTGTCCGGTAGCCGTGCGTAATAAACGACGACGCTCTACGGGTGCCGCCGTTACGCATGGGCAGGTTAATGACGAGGTCAAAGTGTTTCTCGGCGAGGTAGTCGCCGATGTGCAACTCCTGGTCCTTGTTGCGCTGTTCACCGGTGTCCTCAAACGGCCAATCAACGGCCTTGATCTGAAAACCAATATCAGCAATTTAAATGGTTCAATTCACATCATGAGAGCTTTTAAAGAACCAAAACCGATTCTTGTTAAATAATTCTATCATAAATAATGTGACAAAAACACTCCAGATCTGTGATATTGAAAACAAGTGGTGGGAACTCTCTGATAAGTCAAATGGGCAGGCTATTCATATACCGAGAAGACCACTAGCAAGTGAGTGCAGTTACAATCAGAGACCAAGGAGCAAATAGGGGATGTTCAGTTGTTTTCTTTAGCCTGTGTCACAAAAAATAGAAGGCTTCATTTTTTTAAGGTTGGTTTCGAATATCCGGTTACCAAAATCAAAACCGAAGAGTGGAATTCAAACTGAATTTTACAAAAGCCGGATCTAAATCCCACCACTAATTGCAAACTGGAAGACTGTCATTATACAAATATTGAGTGGATCAGCGTGGGATGGGAGGAATATTATCGCAAGGTAAAATCTGGACTTTTCCATTTCACAAGGCGAAGCCGAGTGAACTGGAAAAGTCCAGATTTTACCGAGCGATAATATTCCTCCCATTTCGCAATTTAAAGCCACTCAATACTTGTTTTATATAACTTGCATAGATCCTTGTCATTTGATATATTTGAACTTTTATTTCAATACAGAATTGGTGGAAAATGTATTTCTCTCTTCCAAACCACCCCTTCACGAAAATATTTGAACCCAACGCTGTAGTGCTGGCTCTTTGGAACAATACACGGTACGCGCAACGCTGAACGCGCACACCAGCATGCACTTGCACACAAATACCGCGTCATGGAACAAGAATGATCCTAACTGTTCAATAGTATTTCCCATTCCCCATGAGCGAATGGGGCTTTTTGAGCCCCGGCGAGAATGGCAGTAATAACGAATGACACGTGATGTGAGTTCCACCAATCAAATTACAAGGATCTGTATGTCGGTTATATAAAGCAAAATACTAGCGAATGCCTCATCGCGTATGGATTATGCAGGATTCTGTTTTTTTTCTAGGAATAGCAACTTTCTATGACTCATTGTAAAATACAAAATTTCACGACTTGTCCATGATTTTCCACGATAGCTTTCAATTCCTACATTTCTGTGATTTTGCCAAGTTTTTTGGGGCCTTGAATAACAAAGATTACCCTCTGCAATACCTGCAATGCATAAGGTCTATCTTGCTTTTTCCAACTCAATTGACATAATTACCAGCGCCTTGAGTACCTAATTGTAAAATGTGCTATGGGGTGCTGTGGTCCAATGGTTACGGTGTTCGACTCGTGTGCAGTAGTACATGGGTTCGAATCCTGACCATGGGAACATGGTGCTTGTGCTCTTGAGCAAGGCACTTTACCATTATTGCTTTGTCCATAAGATGGGATGTAAAGCCGTAGGTCCCGTGTGTTGTGTAGTGCACGTTAAAGAACCCAGTAACACTTATCGCTAAGAGAAGGGGTTTGCCCTGGTGTTTCTGGCAGTGGCTGCAATGTGCGCCGCAGCACCTTGTAAACCCTGACAAAGGTGCTACATAATGGTCTCATATTTCTCATAAACTTCATTTACCTGTCTTTAAAAACAGACATAATTTCCAGCGCCTTGAGTGCCTAATTGTTGGTATATACTTGCGCTATTTAAGACTATGGTATCATTGATCAATCTCGTTACCTTGATGTCGTGCTCGCTGTAGAAGTCGGCAGTTCCTATGCTGGCATACAACTCATACTTCATGAGCTCTAAGGTACGGACTGCCGGCAAAAGCTCCACTTTACCCTGTCAAAGTGAAATACAATAACAAATTAATGGAACATTTACAGGGTGAGTAAAAAAAACATCCATTTGGATAATTCCTTGTCTCACACAAAAACGGGAAAGGTTACCAAATTTTTCTTTTCAGCCAACATTCGATCTGGGTTTTGACCACATTCAGTACAAATTTCACTGATATTCATCCATTCATGCAAAGCATACAGTTCTTTCTTTTGTGACTACCCAAAACACTACCAACACAATCTTAAAATGTTAAGGGGGTATTTAACATTATTTAATGGCGCAAACAAGAACCTGAACAAGGAATGCCCAAAATCTCCAGATCTTATGCTCCTTTGATATTTTTTTTCCTTTGGGGTACCTTAAGGTATGGGGGTACCTTAAGGTCTGGGGGTACCTTAAGGTCTGGGTGTACTGCATTGTGCCAAACACCCTGCAGAAACTTCGCCAATGAATAATTGGTGAAATCCAAGCCCTCAGAAGAACACGGATGGTCCGCAGAGCTATAGCTATTGAAGACACGGGCACAGCTATGCAATGATCTGAATGACAGACATGTGGAAGGTCGAGCAGCAGGACAGTGAAAACATGAACCTTATCTGTAATTGACCTATCGCTGTTTGCGAGTTAGCCACGCCCCTTAGACAACAACCCTATGGAACTTTGTACGTTAAGTTTTGTTTGTCTCAGATTTTGCACGTTCCGCGTCCATTTGTTTATCATGTAATTGGACAATATTTCACAAGCTGCGTTGACGCGATTCTAACGCAATTCTACCGCGATAGGTCAATTCAGTTTCAAGTTCAATCAATGGATTCCATTTCATTCATCTCCTGTTCTTTTGTTACTTTTATTTCCTTCATTGTCCAGAGGCCCATTGTTGCCATTGTGTTCATAGCAAGAGTCCTGTTCTGAAAATTGTGTTGGTGGTGTTTTGGGGTAGTCACAAAGAAAGGCCTGTATCCTTTTAAAGCTATAGTCCATCATTTGCAACCATCCGAAAAGTAACTGGCGTAATTATTGTTGAAAAACATACTTGGTTGAAAGATAGTAAGAAGACTAAACTCCCTGAGAAATTATTCTTTCTGGCAAGCTGTCATTTTGAAGTAATCAACGAAAGAAGGCCTTTCCAACGGTGCGTCTTAAGACGCACCGTAGGAAAATCTAAATTAGTAGTTCGTTTTGTTATTCGGCGAAGCGCGCGCAAGCATTGGCACGACGCACACGCGAGGGCGGTTGCTATAATTCGTCGGATCAGTGCGCGACATCGCGTACAGCTGCAATCGGCTCGGTGAGAACGCGTCTCGGACGCTGAATTCAAGCAATTCAAAACATGATTCAGCAACTTTTGATTTGAAATTGAGATCCTATAGAATGCTGTTTTTCTCGGAATATACAGCTGAAGCTGAGCTGGAACTTCATCAGGTTAGTTGTTCAGTACCCTTCTTTAGATTTTGAACACTTTTGTTGCTTCAAACGAACAAAATGCACAAATTACAAATGATGGACTATATCTTTAAGCATGGCTGGTTATCAGTGAAACTTTTACTGACTGTGGTCAATGCCTAGACTATTTGAAATGTTACCTTGTAACTGCCAATAGATAGAAGAATGTTCTTCTTGGGTATCTTGAAACCGGTGCTCAGCATGGCTTTCAGATAGGCTTCGTAGCGATCCTCGCCAAAGCAGGCCACCTCACCGGTACTCGCCATCTCCACACCAAGGAGCATGTCGGCTCCGGCCAAACGAGAAAAGGAAAACTGCGGAACCTAGAAATGTCAATAACAATAACAAAACAAATAATCGGTATTCATGAAGAACTTTTAACAAAGATCAATACGCTTCAGATTGTTTTCTTCCAAGTCGAACACAACAACCATCTCTGCCCTCACACATAAACATTTTACACCCTGGTTGGGAGAAGCAAGCAGAAACTTTATAAAGTGTCCTGCCAAAGGACACAACCACTATCACCCAATGAAGCATGACACACACAAAATATTGGCCCACGAAGAGTAAATAGAATATAAGGCAAAATATAAGCAGACTTTGTCTTATTTTTTTGCATGAAAGAAATTGTATGCATACTTTCAAAATCATATTTATTCATTTATGTTAAAGGGATACTAGGTCCTGGAACAGCCCAACTGGGCTACAAAACGCGTTTGAACGAGATTATGTTAATCGGAAAGAACATTTAAAGGTAGGATATAAACATCCACACAACTATCCTTTAAAAGTTGGGCGTTTTGTGTAATTCCTGTATTATGCGTGCGAGAGCGAATTTCGGGGTCCACTTTTGCGACCCCATAAATTCGAGCTGTTTGGATGCTAGTTGTGATTTTATTTGTAAAGTGTTCGCCTTTTGCGGACGTTCAAGAAACCACTTTTTTTGCATTGGTGATTGGTCACCGCTGTTCCCGAGACACACAACGTGTATATCGTACACTGAGAACGACACGAAAACGTATTCGTGCTCCGTCATGTCCGATGTAAACAAGCGGTTTTTTTTGTTGTCTTTTCTCGGGAAAGGTAAGACATTAGGTTGGTTTCCTTTCAACTACATGTTTGAAATAGACTAAGTATTAAACAATACCAAACATGAAATTTTCGGGGATTTCAGGACCTAGTGCCCCTTTAAGACCAGTGTCATATGAAAATTGGACCCCTATTAAATCTGGACTCCTTTACCCTATTATTGGTTAAACCCTCTCACGTGACTGGTGACACTGGTCACTCTCCTAATTATCTTTACTTAGGCATTTGCAATACAACCAATGAGTCTGTATTTCATAGAGTCCTAAATTCACGCTACACCGTAATCTTTGGTGCTCCTTCCATAAAAGACTAGTCCTTCTCATAGATGTCACCACATTAATACAATGTATACATTGTACAATTGTTGCCTGCTGTGGCAAGGTCTACAGTGTTTTGTACACAAGAGGGGGCGAATGCCGAGGGTGCCATTTACCCAGAGTGTGTACAAAACCCATGGACCCTGTCACAGTAGGCAACAATTGTTGAAACTGTGGGTCTCTTCCTGTTGCGGTACAGCATTGGCAAAATTTTGGATTTTTCTTCGAGCTGATGCCGTCCTGTTCAAAAATCAAATTTCTGATCTCGTCTTTGGAACGAGAGAGAAACCTGTTCTTTAATTGACCTATCGCGGTAGAATCGCATTAGAATCCTGTCAACACAGCTTGTGAAATATTGTCCAATTTCATAATATACAAATGGACGCGGAACGCGCAAAATCCGAGACAAACAAAAGTTAGTGTACAAAAACTCCATTGGGTTGTCTAAGGGGCGTGGCTAACTCGCAAACGGCGATAGGTCAATAGCAAGCAACCTGTTGAAAGTGAAATTGCAGCAAAGTTTAAAGAGTAAAAAAAAGCAGACGAAAACAGTGCCGAACGATGTAAACAATAATGGCAGTCATAGCAGAAATATTCACTGTCCACCATGGCACATATTGTAAACACAAATATAAAAGAACGCGGCGGAAATTACATTCTCAATAGGGGGAAAGAAAAAGGACTGCACATGCGTGTTTGTGGCATGACACGTGATCCATGATGGACCAATAAAATTTCACAATCTATTACTGTGGTATAACAATTTGTGTTGTGTTATGTCTTCTATGCTAGATGCGATTACTACATTATGTATTTTTTTAAAATATATTTGACATATTTGACACATATGACAAATTTGACATATTTATGACACATGACATATTTATGACATATTTATGACACATATGACATATTTATGACACATTTATAACACATATGACAAATTGAGCAGAACAACTCTGATTCCTACCTTCACACCAACCTTCCCCTTGCCAGCAGCCAGGGCGCTGACACTTTCAACCGGCTCGCCGATGGCAACCTGGGTGGCCAAGGCAACAAAGTCAAGATCCAAGGTCTTGGAGACGAATGGGAAGGAGCGAGAGACGCGGAGGTTGCACTCTATCACCTTGAGTTGGTTGTCCTGGAAACGAGAAAAAATTTGAGGAAAACATTAGGATTAGTAGTGTTTTCGCTGTCAAATTTAAGTTAAAGGGAAGATACAACACTTGCCAACATCAAAAAACAAAATGATCAAATTATCACGAAATATCGAACTGGATTGTTAGGGAATGACAGTCTCAAGCATCCTGTAAAATCGTGGCTCCTGGTGTGCTGACATTTTCAGGAAAAATTGTATTTTTCCAACACTGGTCGGCCGACCAGCATTGGAGAAAACTTCTTTTTTTCACAAACTGCTCCTAAGTTTTCATATTTAGAAAAACTAACAGCATTCACTATTAGTCCAGTAAGGTATTTTGTGATTATTTATAGTTTTGTGTTTTGATGTTTGAAACTGTTGTATAATTCCTTTAATCTTTGATATGTCTACTACGCATATTTTAAACAGTGTAAAATCATGAAATGAAAATGTACTTAAACAAAAAAAATTGACATATTTCATTTTCATGAATGCCAAACTCAAAAATGTAAAAGGTTTTTGTAAGTATTTTACTTGTGTGAATCGATAAATGCGAACTTTAAACAGCCATAACTTGTCAACCCAATACCCCATTGAAGAGCAACAAACAGTATTGTAACAAGAATTTTATTCTCTTTCCTAATACCCACAAACCCTCATTTCGACCTCTGCCCAGTTCTGTCTCATTTTGCCAAAACGTCTCACATTTTACCTTAGCGATGAGCTGTAAGTTGTAGGGCCCATTGACCTCGAGATTCTGGCCAATCGCCGTGGTGATGCTGAAGATCTTGTCGATGGTTTCCTGGTTCAGATCCTGCGGAGGGGTGACCAGGGTTGCGTCGCCAGAGTGAACGCCGGCATTTTCGACGTGCTCCGAGATCGCCATGGCAACTATCTGGCCATCTCTGGCCACTGCATCAACATCAATTTCCTGACAGAACAGAGGATGTATACAAAATATCATCAGGATTCCTCCCATTAAAACCCTCCTATGCAAACATATATTCTGAGCAAAGTTGTCCTTTCAGTCAAAATCAATTAAGTGACGATTTTTACCAGTAAAGAGCTCCCAACCTACATAAAGCAGGATTGACTGGCTGTGACTGTTTATGTAACTTGATACAGCTATGCTTTGACTGTAGGTGATTGATAAGCCAGCTGTGCCACCTGTTGCCTACTTTTGTCTGTTGACTGAATTTGACTAGTCAGAATGCTGGCTTAAAGTATGATCTGGCTGTTGGTGACTAGCCTGTGTCAAAGGCATGGCAGGGAAGAGGATTGATTTGTTTGACTGTCTGTGACTGTTCAGACAGCAGGAGGGTTAAGACATCACAGAAGCATCAAATAATACAATCAGCATGCAGAAATTGTCTTCTTACTTTTGCTTCCAAGATGAACTTGGAGATGACTACCGGCCGGTCTTTACTGACGGCGGCTGCCTCAGATAGGTAAGCCTCCAGATCATGATGGGTGTGAGCGACGTTCATGGCTGCACCGCTCAGCACGTAGGACGGACGCACCAGACATGGGTAGCCCACCCTCACACAAAACTCTTTAGCAGCCTAGATCAAAAAATAAAGCTCACACTTCACTACGGTGGTCTCACCAGATGATCATTCCCTTACACAAAACGGTTCCAGCAGGATCGAAAGACAGCACCGTCTCTGAACTCATGAGTATTCATAATGTTCAGTGCTTTTGAGAATTAGTTATAGTGGAATCCGGCGACCAGAATTAGAAGCTTTTACTGCGGTGGTGTCATGCTCACGCACATGCTGCACACGTTCTTAAAGACAACTTGTGCGCGCATTTTGGTATTCCTATGGGCGGAAGGAGCCCGGAGTGCGTGCGTATTACCTGAGCGCAACTCGCGCAAGCCTTGCGCCCCCGCAGAAAATAGCTGCCACCAGATTTGTCTATACAATAAGGAATACAGGGTTCCCAACACTTTATTGAAACAAAATTCCCCGAATTTTCCCTGATATTTCTCTAAGAATCTTCTAGAATTCCATGAGAAATATTTTCATATCTTTTAAAATAGAGGCACATGTAGCACAGCCAATTGTTATTGTGAGAAGAGGTGTGTAATATTCGAAATGCAAACAGTCATGTTTGTTTTAAATACGCTATGTGGACATTCCTTTGTTTTCGTGTAGTTAAGAAACTCGGTACAAAAAATAACTTTACTTAAACTGTGAAAACTCTTGCAACCCCAAATTTGTTTTTGGATTTCCTTGAATGTTTCTCTTTATTTTGCTATGGATAACCCTAACCCGAATATGCCTCTAAACCTGTTTTCCAGAGAGGGCGAAACGTTATGTGGACACGGCTTAGTCCACATAACGTCAACACAACCTGCATTATGTGGACATCTTTTGTTCCCATGTCCACATACTGACTGTAAGACAAACACACGCTTTGTGGCCAGCAGAAAGTCCCCATAACTCGGTCCTAATTTGCCTAACAATACAAAACCTCCCCATAACGAGGAGAGGCCCGCCCACACACACTTAGACTCCATACCTACTGTGGACATTCCTTTGTATACATGTAAAAGGAGAACAAAACTAAGTTTACTTGCAGTGTGAACAACCAATTTTACACAACACACCTAGTGTGGACATTCCTTTGTTTGGTGTATTTAAGAAAAACCTGTGAAAAAACTCATTTCACTCACACTGTGAAAACTCTTTCAACCCAAATTTTTGTCTATGATTCCCTTTAGTGTTTCTCTTCGTTTTGCCACAAATAAACGTAACCCCAAAATGCCTCTAAACCTGTTTTCCAGAGACGGGAAAACCTTGTGTGGACGTGGGCAAGTCCACACAACGTCGCTGCTACGTGGTTTATGTGGACATCTTTTGTTCGGAAGTCCACACAGTGAATGTAATGCTTGGACACCCTTTCAACCCAAATTTTCTATCATGATTTTCTTGACTGTTCCTTTTCATTTTGCGACAGATAACCCTAACCCCAAAATGCCTCTCAAACTGTTTTTCAGAGAGGGGAAACGTTGTGTGGACTTGGGCAGGTCCACAAAATTCCAAGTCGTACCTCTAAGTTGGTGAGTTCCTTCCACTGCGGCTGGTTCAGTCCGATGGTGTCTAGCAGACGGGAAAACTTGAAGCGATTCTCCGCTGTATCGATGCTTTCTGGCGACGTGCCCAGAATGCGACACTTGATTAAAACAAACATTTCAATTCAATGTCAACACTACAAAAGAAATCAGCATCTTTAAAAGCTAGTAGTTTTTCTATTCTCACAAAATAATATCTTAAGGAAAAGAACAGTGTTTTACTGTTTGGTAGGCTTCTGCATTTTGTCCGATGACTGGAAGAAGATCGTAAGAGCGAAAAATGGGTCAAAAGGTCCAATTTGGATTTTTTCGGGTAATCAATAGAGCTACGAAATATCTTTAATTTGATATACATATTGTCTCAAGGGGCTACGTCATTCTGACGTTATGAACAGTAAACGAAAGTCGTAAGGTGGTTTGTCATCATTTGTGCCCAGCAAAAGGTGTTACTTTGCAATTCTAATGTAACAAAAAATGCTCCAAGTGCGCTAACGTCCCACTCAAGTGCACCGCAAAGGCAATTTTGTTTCCGGCAAAAGGTCGTAAGGATTCAACATGCTGCTTAAGCGTACATTTAAGGCTTGGGAAGTTCCCAGTAAAAGGTCCTTAGAATAAACATTGAAATGACTACACAATTAAGTAATATTTTGACATAAAAAGGCATGATACTAACAAATTTCAACAGTCAAATTTTTAACCTTGTGTGATTTTTAATTTAGAAATGAGAGCACAAAACCTGTCAACTTGATTATCTCCAAAAGTGCTTTTTGCATGCCTAGGCTGCTTACGACATTTTCCTTGTCACACGACGATTCGTTTAATGCTTAGTTTGACAACAAAAAGGCCAGAACACATGTACTCATGTAAAGGTTTGTACTTATACTCTTGTACATTTTTGGCTACTCATACTCGTAGGGAAAAATGCCCTACTGCTTGAACTCATGACAAAGTATTCATACTCGTATTCATGGAGGTGTATTATGTTTTGCCATCACTTGAACATTGTAACAACCCCTCTTACAACATGACTACATGATCAGCTTATCAATTTTGTCCAGACCTACCTGTTGGCGATGCAGCTGCATGGCGATGTTATTGGGTAGCTGACCTCCCATCGATAGGATGACGCCTCGCGGGTTCTCAATCTCGTAGATATCCATGACAACCTCAAAAGAGATCTCGTCAAAGTACAGACGGTCGCACATGTCATAGTCCGTGCTGACCGTCTCGGGGTTGTAGTTGACCATGATGGTCTTCAGACCGAGCTGTGAAGAACAGAGTTAAAAGTCGCTATAGTGAACATTATCTTCAAGTAAACTTGAATCATCGATCCTGATTGGTCGATCCATGGCAACAAGCCGTGATACATGTAACCATGTAGCACGGCCACGGTCCATACCGCACTCTGCATATTGCGCTATTCTATGAGATGCACGCACCATTCCGTAACTTTCGTGCACAACGTGTGGCCCCATCTCTAAATGTGAGTCAAGTTTGCTTGAAGGTGAAATTGTTATCGCGCTTGCGGAACACGAAAAATGTGGTGCGTCTAAGCCCCACATACCACTCGGCCGTCGGCCTCATGGTAATGTGCTCTGAATTCGTCGACGTCACCACAAAGTGACACCAACATCGAAAAATCAATATTTTGTAATTTCAATTGTTTCCCCTAATTTAATGTATGGGTCAAAACCAGAAAATGCATTTTCATGAAGTGTACTATACCATTCTTTCACGTGTAAACTGCCTACACACTATGCGTCAAAAACGGGTTTTGCATTTTCGCGAAGTAACACGTCACCTGATATGCGCGACTTACTTCTGGCGTTTTCACGAAGTAAAGCTAATCCCATAGCTAATACACACGATTAGCGTTACTTCGTGAAAACTTGAACACAGCGTTATCTGAGTTTTGAGTTTTCACGAAATGCACTAGTGGTTAATTAGTTTAATAACTCATTAATAGTTAGTTTGTTCAATAAAAATCACACATTAGCGTGCCATTCAAGATCCCAGCTTTCAGACAGTGCAACCAAATGTGAATTTTGAGGCTAAAACGATATTCAGATCACCGTTTCAAAACATCGTCAACTTAAATTGCTTGAATCTCAAAACACACATTTTCCACTTTGCGGGGTTAAGGTCACTACGTGGTGACGGTGATGAATTATAACACACATCACGTACCCTTCTGAGCTCGGTAATGCAGCCCACAGCACACCAGTCAAACTCCACGCTGCTGCCGATGCGATAGACTCCTGATCCGATGACCATGACGTAATCGCCTGGGAAGTCCAAGTCGTGGCTGTCCCCGTTGTACGTCAGGTACAAGTAGTTGGTGGTCGCCGGCCACTCGGCAGCGACGGTGTCAATCTGCTTGATGTGAGGTCGGATGTCGAGGGAATGGCGGACTCTCCGTACTGCCAACTCGGTTCTGAGGGAGGAGAGGTTGGCACGATAATACTCATTTCAAACTGGCCTTCAAGACTCATATCAGGGAGTCAGGTTGGCGTAGCGGTACTTTCCTCGCCTTCCACCGCTTTGACCCGGGTTCGATTCCTGTCCCGGTCCACATGTGGATTGGGTTTTCAGTCCCTACCTGATTCCATGGGTTTCCCCCCAAATATTCTGCTGGGGTTTTCCTCCCACCTCTAAAACTGTAATTCTTCTCATTGTCTTCTCTCCACAGGTTTCTTCACGCTTGCGAGCTACAGTGCCTGTGACGCGTTTGAGGAATGCTTGGTTTCAGTACCAGAAATGATTAATAGAATATGCCAAGCCACCTTATTCCAAACATTTTAATTAAGTACATGGACAAAGGTTTAACCCTAACCCCTAGGCCCTTTTTGCTGGTAACCATCCTCAATCCTCTAAAATCATCCTCTGTATGTAATTCAAATGAAGAATGCCCACTGCCTCAATCCTTCCAAATCCTCCAACAGTCCTGCCTCTCAAAATGCATTCAGCCTCAATCCTCCACAATCCTCCAAAATTGTATGTTGCATTCACCCTCATTCTTGCAAAATCCACTTAAACCACCCGGAGGACTTTGGAGGATTGAGGAAGCTTAAGGTTAATGCTTCAAGTGACTATGGCACAAGATCGACTGTAGTTCGGAACAATTTCAGTGTCTAGTCACTGGAAAAAATAACACATGAAGTTCGCTTGACCAAAACTAAGTTCTGGGTACTTCCTAAGACTACGTAGTTCTTTTTGACATTGAAAGCACCAACGTGCATAGGTACGTACATAGGGCAAGTTGGAGCAAGGACCAATGGTTAACTAGTGGTTGGTTCGTGACGTACCTAGCGCATGCGCACTGAAGTTGAAGTGCGAACGACTCTAGTCGAACTACACTCATGTCAACGACCGTCAGAAAATGGCGGTCGCACAATTATTCAACACTGATGTTTCTGTTCACTTACACAAATATTAGTTATTGTATAGTTTAGGACACTTTACGTAATCGCCATTATTATTGTACAATTGTGACAAAAGTGACAGAATCATAAACTAACATGGAAAGTCTGCAATGTAAAATGAAATTTGGCGCTCAGTTTTTTTCTCAGCCATTTGTTAATAGTTGGTCCCCTCTGCACTGTGCTATGAAAAAATAACCAGCTACAATTTGTGGCGTGACCAGCCGCGGTAGGCTGGTCCTGAATAGTCGACTAGACTAGTCCAACCATCATCGACTAGTGTGCATTCAATCAGAGTTAGTCGAACTACGGTTAATTATGGTCCTTGACCGAACATGCCCACGGATGTATATTCACGTTTGATTAGTGCCCCCTAGAAGTAAGGTAGCGTCTTGACCTAGGGCCCCCCCCCCCTTCACATTTTCCACGCTGCTTGTTTTCCCTAAGTTGACAAGGAATCACCTCAGGGTTAAAAACAATTTCCCCAAATTTCGGGCCTTCTTCATTTCAAGAACAATCATTCTCCAATCTGAATCTGAGGAAAAACTCACATCTCAATGATCTTAGCAATCTGCTTGTCCGAGTAGCCTAACTGCTTGGCTTCCAAGAGTGTGTCGCGGGTAAGCGTTGCGCCCCTCAGAGACTCAAGACGCTCCCCGCAGTCAACGATCTTGCGGAACTTGTGCAGGAACCAGTGGTCAATCTTGGTGAGGGAGTAGAGGCGGTCGATGGAATAGCCTGCCTTGAGGGCAGCCGCCAAGACGAAGATGCGCTCGTCGGTGGGAGTTTGTAGAATCTGATGAGAAATCAAACAGGTCAACCAGAGTAATAACTCAAATCAATGACTCGACTCGAGTCCGACTCCAGTCACAATTTTTGGTGACTCGACTCGAATATCAGAACTCGAATATCGAGTGTTCCCATTAGTTGAATGGCGATCAGCTGGCACCCCTTTTTATTTGCATTGAGTCAAATGTGGTGTCAATCACCACATGTAGTAGCCTTCTCTCTTGTGTTTATTTACTGTATAATGTTCAAATATTTGTGACTCAAATTGACTCGAGCTAAATACTTGAATCAACTCGACTCGACTTGACTACACACTGTGACTCGACTCAACTCGACTCGACCTTCTTGACCTAATGACTCAACTCAACTCGAGTCACTTCTTTAAAATGACTCGCCGCAACTTGAGTCACAAAAATCATAAACTTATTACAACTCTGACTTGTCAACTGGAATGAGTATCGCAGTGTCTAACGGTGGCTGGGGCTAGTGTTGTGTTCGAATCCATCACAAGTCAATCAAGGGTACGTCACAAAAATGACCAACTCGTGCATAACGCCCATACGCTCAAAATTTAATTTCCATTTAAGATATATCTATTCAGCTTTTACATCTTAAATAAACAATTCTTTTTTTTTAACTTCATCAGAAAACGTAACATCTTCACGTATTTTTAAAACCTCTTTAGAATGTACATCTCCAAAAAAAAAAGGTTCTTTAAAAATCGTGAAAATGTTGATAAAATCTGACTAAAATTGCTCTTTAAAAATGCAATTACCTCATCTGAAACTTGTTGGATGTCCCAATCGAAGCCATTGACGTTCTCATTCACCATCCGCAGGGCTTTCTGGAACGCTTCCTCGAAGCAACGTCCTACCGCCATCACCTCACCTACACTCTTCATAGAGCTTCCAATCTGAAATTACAATTGTTATTATTTTATTTCTGGTAACGAGACCAAGGATTCCTAAAACAAAGCCCTAGGCACTGTAGCTTGCAAGCCTGAAGAAACCCGTAGAGAGAAGACAATGAGAAGAAATTACAGTTGTAGAGGTGGGAGGAAAACCCCTGAATGATATTCCAGGGAAAACCCAAGGAATCAGGCAGGGACTGAAAACCCAATCCGCATATTGGCCCAGGCGGGATTCGAACCTGGGTCACAGTGGTGAAAGGTGAGGAAAATACCGCGAGGGAACGCTTTTCAAACTGGGGGGGGGGGGGCCAACACACAAAAAGGGGCACTTGCTCAGAAAAAGGGACAACAATGAAGAAATATTCTTGGGGAAACCCATGGAATAAGTTAAGGACAGAAAACCCAATCACGCAGTCCTAGGTGGGAATCGAACCGGGCAAAACACAGTTCTTTAGGAAAGCTTCTCACCTTTTTGCTGACTTTGCTGAATTTCTTGAGATCCCAACGAGGGATTTTCACCACCAAGTAATCCAAGCTGGGCTCAAAGCACGCCGTCGTCGAGTCCGTCACCGAGTTGGTCAGTTTGGGAAGCGGGATACCGAGCGCCAGCTTGGCGGCAATGTAGGCCAGCGGGTAACCGGTGGCCTTGCTGGCGAGGGCGGAGCTACGCGACAGACGAGCGTTGACCTCGATGATGTAATACTGTCAAGACAGAAAGAATGTTCATGAAAATTATCAGTTGTTTCTCAGTGTTGGTGGGCACAACTCAAAACTAAAGAGACTTCTTCATTCATCGAAAAAATAATCACCAACATAACCCAACACATTTTTTGAACAGCTTTTTCATCAGCTTGTGTGGTCACACGACCACATAAGCTGATGACCTATGTACTGCACTAACTGTAACCATTGCCAAGAAACTCAATTCGATGGCAAATATCGATACATATTTGGAGAGTATAGTTCACATGCTTTTCAACAACAAAATCTTTACAATCTGATAACTGTTAATTGAGTTATGGACAAAAGAAAACAAGTGCCACTTTTTCGTTTTGTCCACGGTGACTGATATCTGACTGCAAGAATAAGAACACGGACCGAAACTTCCGTGAAAGAGGGCAGAGCAGCACAGAAAACATCTAAGAAGTTAAACCAATCAGTCTTTTTAGGACTACCATTTCTTCTAAAAGGAGAAATTACCTTTCTTGCGAAAAAAAAACAAATAAAGAAAGATTTAAATATTGAAGAAAGCAAAACTACCCTCACCCTAAATCCATTACATTCCTAATAAGTGACAGTTAAGACCGTGGACAGATTGAGAAATCGGCACTTTTTAATTGGCCGTAACTCAATAAATATCTACCTGATTGGACATTTTTAAGCTCTGGCAACAGAGCTTCTTCAAATCATTTGTGTGTCAGTCCATTGGTCCGTCCCCCCCAAAAACTGACCAAAAACGAACCCCCTAACTCACCCATAAAACTGTAAGTACTAAATCGTAACTATCCAAAAAGGAACAAACAAAATACATTGAATACAATTCGTGACAATGTTTATGAAATTTTTTCAGAGTAGAGGCAAGATAATGTGTGGTAATGTTTTAGTCACGTGGTGTTTCTGTCTGCTACGAACTTAGGAAGTTGGGGGTCTTCTACACACCTGTCACTATACATCACCCCTGCCTCTGGCCCTGTGTCAGTTTAATGAGTCTCAGGGCGTAGGAGTGAGGATACAGTTGTATTATGAAGGTCACTAGTATTTTGCATTGTGACTTTCAACAAAATGGGAAATCCTTATTTTAATTGACAATCACGACCAAGTGAGTAATTATATCATTTCATACAAGACTTTCATACAAGATGGCCAGAGCTTATTGTGAAGTCGCACTTGTCTTTTTTTGTTGAGAAGCTAATGAATTATGTATCTATATGTATCAATATTTGTGATGTATGTTTTTAAAAGCTGTTAAACAGAGGGCGCTTTGAGGGTAAAGTTTTTTGGGGACACCCTGTATGAATGGTTCTTCCTAAAACCCACCTGCTGCGATTGCGGATTCAGTGCGTACTGTATGTTGCACTCTCCCACCACCCCCAGATGCCGTATGACTTTAATGGCCGCCGTACGCAGCATGTTATACTCGATGTTTGTCAGAGTCTGGCTGGGGGCGACCACGATAGATTCACCTGTGTGGATACCCAACGGGTCCACGTTCTCCATGTTACAAACCTGGGAAGAAAAAAAACACCAAATATGAAAGGATATAAATTAGTTTTGAAAAGTTGAACGAAGAAATTGACTGGAGCGGGGTTTGAACCTGCGATCTCCAGAGTACCGTTTCAGTGCTCTACCAACTGAGCTATCCAGCCCTATGTTGGCAGTTCCCAATTCGTCAATATCCTTGTTCAAGGGGCGCTAGTCAGAAGCCTTAAACCTGTGAACCGACCCGAAAACCAAACCAAAACTGGAAAAACCTCCAAATATCTGGCTTGGCAACTGTGTCTGCATTTTGTGCCTAAACTCACCCGCGTCACGTGAAAATTGTCGTCTCTCAGCAAAGAATCGTACCGTAAGGTACGGTGCAGACTCATAATGTTACCTACTGGTGGGCCTACACATTGTGGACTGTGCGTGATAGACCGCAAACCACATGCACATTTGCGTGGTGGGTTGACGTTGGTCGTACTGGACACAGTAACTCTACAATTACATTGCACCGCGTGAATTTCCGGACTGTTTCAGTTTTTTCTGGTATATTTTCAGGTTTTTCACAAGATGGCTAAACCGACCCAAGCCGAAATTTCGAAAATGCAAAACTGAAACCGACCCGACTTGACTGAAATGATGGAAAAACTGACCCAACCTATTTTGAAGTCGGTTTTGGGTCAGGTTGGTTTTGGTTCAGCTTTGCTTAAGGGCAATTCCACGGTTACTCACGTTACATTTTTGATCACGTTACATATCCCCGTGGTATGTAGAGTAGACCTAGACCTACCTAAGCACCAAAGATGACATCCAGAAAAATGTGTTATGTATGATAAACAAGACGCACAGAATCGGTTACTCACGTTACATTTTCGTAATGTGAGTAACCAGTTTTGTGCGTCTTGTTTATCATACATAACACATTTTTCTGGATGTCATCTTTGGTGCTTAGGTAGGTCTAGGTCAACTCTATCTACCATGGGGATAACAATTATTAAACCTCTTCAGTACGGTAATTACAGCCCAGGGAAACTCAAAAGTACATCAAAAATGTAACATGAGTAACCATGGAATTGCCCATAACATTAACGTATGTAATGCCATGCACAGCCAGAGAGGCGCGCATGTTTTAGCCCGAGTGCGCAGTGGGGGAGGCCTACAGGATCGGTCCAGTGACTCACCGTGATGCAGTTGTCGAAGGCATCTCTGACAACTTCGTATTCCACCTCTTTCCACCCGCGCATGGACTTGTCGACGAGTACCTGGCTGGTATGGGCAAAGGCGGCGGTCACTAGAGGGACCAGCTCTGCCTTGGAGTTAGCAAAGCCTGATCCGAGGCCACCCAGGGCGTATGCTGCACGAACCATGACGGGATAGCCGATCTTTTCAGCTGCTTCAACGGCCTGTGAATAGTTGAAAGGAAGAAAGAAAGGTAAAACAGACATAGCGTAGATAGTTTGATCAGTAAAGTGTTTAAAATAACGTTGGTTAAGGGCAAAACCCACTATTTAATTTACATTTCCCAAACTCACAATTCCATCTTACAAGATTATTGTTGCTACATCGGATTCGAATTGGCCAGCTGACCCCAGCAAGCTCTGCGGCCGAGGTGTAATACATCCGCACTAGCATTAAAGAAGTCATGAGTTTGAGTCCATCCATACAATCTTGTTATTTTTTTCTCAAAAACTTTTGGACAGGACTGAGTATAATGATAATAGAATTACTTCATGTAAGCCAAAACTCTGTATTTAATTGCATCCCCGTACACAAAAAATTTGATCTTGCAATATTTGAAATTTTTCAAATGAACCACAAAGGGCAACTGACTACGTGAATTCACGTAGTCAGTTTCCGTTTGTGGTTCATTTGAAAATTTGTAATAAAATGTTGCATCCTTTCTGAGTGATCCCTGTTTGCTATTTCCCAGGTTTGCATCATTGCTGATGTTGCTAGCATTGTGACTTTGGGCGTGATCCCAGGCTACATGGCATATACGGGTTTATGGCTTCTGACTAGCGCCCCTTGAACAAAGATATTGACAAAATGGAGAACCGCCAACACAGGGCTGGATAGCTCAGTTGGTAGAGCACCGGAACGGTAATCTGGAGGTCGCAGGTTCAAACACCGCTCCAGTCCATTTCTTTGTTCAAAAATGTCTTAGGCGAGCCCTCAAATTAGAATCCCTCCCCGGACCGTTCGGGGTTGAGCCCGCCCAGTATGTTGAAGGGATTGGGACCTTGCATGGAACCGATCTGCCTGGATTAACTCCACCAGGCTACTGCACCATGGCTCTGGCTCATCACAAAGGAACCAATTTGCGACGCGCTAATCTTCCAGTAGGCAACAATGACTGTGATGAGCTTCATAGAAGTTGCCGCTGGTAATCCCAGCGGGCCGAATAATCCTCCAACAATGGCCAGACTTCAATTTATGTTGCCTATTGTAAAACCCTGAGTCACCAGTTTGGACCGATTGGGGTGTCACGCTTCAGTGACCGGGTGGCTTCTGGCTTCGTACCGATTGGGGTGAAAGAAATTAGCATACCGGACCCGGTACCCGAACGGTCTGTTATCTGATGGCTCGCCTTAACAAAATTAATCAAAAGCTATTTTCCATAAAAATCTTTTGTTCACTTCTAAAAAAAAATTCCATAAAAATTCTTGCAATTTCTTACCTCATCCACAGAATATGCCGCCTGGCTGGGCGCCACTTGTTCCCCAATTTCCTCCATCTTGTCAGCAAATATCTTCCGGTCCTCCGTGTTGATGATAGATTTGACCGGCGTGCCCAGGACCTTGACGTTGTACTTGTCCAGAACGCCCGACTTGGTCAGTTGGACGCCACAGTTCAGGCCGGTTTGACCACCAAATGTCAACAGAATACCGTCGGGCCGTTCACTCTCAATAACCTGTCAATTGTTAAATTGTTACATACGGTAACAGTTAACTTAAAAGTTAAGGTTAAAGGTATTGTCCATCATTTGTAATTTGTGCATTTTGTTCGTTTGAAGCAACAAAAGTGCTCAAAATCTAAAGAAGGGTGCTGAACAACTAACCTGATGAAGTTTCAGCTCAGTCAATGCTGTATATTTCGAGAAAAACAACATTCTAGGATCTCAATTTCAAATCAAAAGTTGGTGTATCATGTTTTGAATTGGGCCTCAGTTCAGTGTCCAAGACACGTTCTCACTGAGCCGATTGCAGCTACGTGATGTCGCTCACGGAACCGTCAAATAATAGAAACCGCGCGGGTGTGCATCGTGCCAACGCTTGCGCGCGCTTGGCCAAATAAAAAAACGAACTACTAACGAAATTTCCAATGGTGCGTCTTAAGACAAATGTTTTGTTCTAATGCTTCTTTAAATCCAACGGAATTAGAGGTGTTATCCAAACTCCAAAGAAGATTACCTCAAAGGAATTTGAAGTATCATGCAGACTCTATGGACAAAAGTGGTTCTGCCAAACTTGAAGGGTCGTGAAGTGCAGGACTATGGGAGTTTCGGTGTATCAATGCATTGTTGTCGCCCCTCTCCAAATTGCTTTAATCATCTAGTTACTTTAAGTTGCTGCTTACCTGTTCGACATACTCTGGAGTGATCGGCAGGAAATAGACGCGGTCGGCCATGCCTTTAGATGTCTGCACTGTAGCAATGTTAGGATTGATCAGCACTGACTGTACGCCTTCTTCCTTCAGTGCTTTGATGGCCTGAAAAAATCAATCAACAGTAAAAAGCCGCTTTTATAGTCAGTGACGCGATGATGAATGTCTGATGATCACTGAACGCTAAGCCTTTCTGGGCAGTTTATAGTTGAACGTTGTAACATCGCATAACATAGTAAACAGACAAACATTCTTTGTAATATCTAACAATTCGATCAAATCCAAATGCAAATAATCGAATACTAGAATATTTAAAAATGATGCACAGCATTAATCATGTACAATGGTCTGCCAATGAAAAGCGAGGTCAGCAAGACACCAACAATATCAAAGTTGAATTATTTGAAATCTGTGGCGATGTCGACAGCGTCATTCAGCGACTAGTCACTATAAACAGTGTGTAAGATGATCCACTTCAATGTTTCAGTCTCGCGACCACTGCGCAACCGACTATAAATCAGTCTTTACAGCAGTGTTGTAGCCAAGTAAATGGCCATGAGTACGAACACTATGCCAAGAGTACGAGTATAAGTTCGAGAACTTTGTCTTGAGTACGAGTACAAGTACAAGGCAATTTTTTTCCATGAGTACGAGTACGAGTGCTTTACTGCAAATTTTCAGTAAAGGGCACAAACCAAAACAAAATTACATTGTACAAAGAAATCCGTCTTCCAAAGATGAACAAATTATGATAAAAACTGCGGCTCACCTGCGACCCAGAGTAGTCAAATTCACCTGCTTGGCCGATAGACAGGCCCCCTGAGCCTAGGATCATGACCTTCTTAGGTGGGTTATCAGCAGTCGGGGTACCAGGCATTGGCTTGAACATCATGGCCGTGTGGATGCGTTCACGAACAGACATCCTGTATGTGAAGTATTAACAAATTATAAACGCACTGAAGACATATTTTTGTCTTCTTTTGACCAAGGGAAGATTTTTCAAATTCTATACGCTTATTAACCTAAGTAGAGTAGATCATTTAAATCTATCCAAAAAGTAACTGACCAAATTATTGTTAAAAAGCTTACTTTGTTTCAAGATAGTTTTGGCACTAAACTCCCTGTGAAATTATTCCTTCTGGCATGCTGTTATTTTGAAGAAACCACTAAAAGAAGGTCATTCCCAAAGATGCGTCAACTGACACAATTTTGGAAATTTCGGTTGGCAGTTGGTTTGTAGTTGGGCGAATCCATGAATGGTACAAGCACGTTGGCACGATGCACACACACAAGCGGTTGCTATTATTGAATCGATGGTTCAATGTGTGACATCACGTAGCAACAATTGGCTGAATGAGAATCATGTCCCGAATGCTGATTTCGGGATTGTGTCATGACTCAGCAACTTTTGATTTAAAATCGAGATCCAGAATATTGCAATTTTCTCAGAATAACAGCATTCACTGAACTGAAAGTTCATCTAGTTATTTGTTAAACACTAGTCTTTAGATTTTGAGCACTTTTGCAGGGTTCAAAATTATCTTTTTGTTTGACTAGCGAGCTGTGGGCATTTTCACTAGCTGGCATGTTTTTCTCTTAAAGAGTGTCTTATAAACAACAATGCACATAAATGCAAAACATGTATCCTGAACAATTTATTAAAATTAGACACAAATTAATACAGGTTTGCTTTCTGAATTTAATGATTCATTTCTTCATGTCCTTTCATCATTGCCGTTTCTCAACAATTTTTGACTTGCCAGCTGGGCTACTTAAGAAATAGTTTGACTACTGTTTTGAGTAGCATTTGGCTAGCGGGCTACCACTGAAGTCGAACCCTGCTTTTGTTGATTCAAACAAAAGAAATGCACCAATGGTCTACTTAATCGTTAACCATGCAAAACTTTAAATCTTATCTACATAATGTACTTTACTGCTAACATTGTTTCCCACTCACGCTCGTGGAACAAGAAAATGTAGTGCGTCTTGCTTCCAAAGTACTTATCGCAATTCGGCCTCGTGGTATGTGGGACACAGATGCACTACATTATTACATGTTCAAGTGGCGCTCGCAGGATGACTAATAATATACTCACCTTATTCAGTTCTCTATCTACTAGCTGCAACACACCAAATAAATGGTCCAGCTTTCAAATTTATTGAAAACAGACAGAACTTTGCAGGGAACTCCCCCAATGAGAAATGAGAACTCCCCCGATGAGAAATGACTAATTTGTGCCACATCAATGAAAAACGTTGTTTCTCGTGACCAATTCTGCCCGCTTTCATTCAATTCAAAAGCTGGACCATTTGGGGGGGTGTCTTTTGCTGATAGTAATTGACGAGACTGGCTGCAATTAGATCACTAACCCTACTGAAATGGGAAGTCCCCCATGTGTAACAACCAGTTTTGGCCTCACAAATGAAAAGTGTTGTTTCTCATGCAAATCAAAAAGTGGCCTAACTAAATTTGGGAAATTGGGGGCAGTGTTTGAAATAAAGTCAGTTTTTCCAACAATGGTCAGCAAACCATTGTTGGAAATTGATACAAAACTTCCACTTTTCACAGGATGATTGAGACTATAATTTACTTACAGTCAAGTAAGGTAATTTCATAATAATGTGGTAGTTTTGTGTGTGGTTTTTTTTTTGGGGGGGGGTGTTTGGAAAGGCTGTATATTATCTTTAACTTACCTTTCATTTTCATTTTTCATTCTTTCAATTCAGAATGTGTACAACTCAAGAAATATAAACTGACAAATAACAAGAAGTAATGTTTGAATTCTTGTAAGACAAATACAGATATTAAATATAAACTGCGTTTACCACAAAAAATTTCATCAGAAAGCAAACTATCAAAAATTTGTTAGGGTTCGCAGAAAAGAAGATTGTTCACAGAGAAACAATTCCTTTTTTCCTGGCAAAATGCCAAAGTACATTAAAGTGGAATACCATAAAAGTTGCATTATGAGTAAGGCACGACACAGATGATGTTGGTTAGCGATGTTTACTTATTAACCGTACAATGTACACGATCGCGTCCATCATCCAAGGCCTAATTAGGCTTCTTCGTCACCATGAGGAGTCACTCATTTTGCTGTTGAGTCGTGGTTAAGCAGCTGCTAGTGATTACATTAACAAGAATGCTTCAAAAGGAACGGTATTTATAGTAATAATGACTTAAAATAATGCAAAATTATTCGCCCTGCAGTGCTGGTTGATTTCAAGTAGGAACCATTAAAAATGGTGTGGGCACGTGACACGAAAAAAAGGTAGCTTGTTGTATTATTGTTTTGGGTGATATTTCACCTAACCCATATATATATATGTGACCGCTCTGCAAAAATGAATCTGTTATGGCAAAACTCACATTTTGAGTTAACTACATCAATGAAATTGGAATGAAATAAGCTTTCATTTGATATATCACAGACCTTTCTAGGAAATTTGGTTGCTTTGTTGTGCTTGTTTCAATCAGTAAATATTTTACAAAGCTAGAAACGTCTCAATAGAGAAAAAAAGTTTGAAAAATGACAAATATGCTGTAACTAACCAAGGAAAGTACAAACATCCTAATTTTGTCAGTCTTTTTCGTGCAACATTTAAATTTCTTTGTAAGACATTTGAACTAAAACTATCAGACAACCGAAATAAAACAAACACGAAAATCAAAATTTTGATAAAATTTTCACTTTTTTCATTTCAAAATGTCGAAAGCTTGAATTCAAATAATGCGACATCAGACTCATTTTTGCAGAGCGGGTATTTTATGCATCTTCATATATTGATACGAAATTATCAAGAGTGTGTCAGATGAAACGACCACGCAAAATTGTGATTTTCTTATAAGCAACCTGAGCGGTATCAGCAAGATGAGGAAAAACATTGATATCGTTTCGGTTTGCGGTAACACCATGTGGTAATAACTACTGCTTAGAAGATATTAGTTCTGAGAAGAACTTGTCCTGCTTATTATCAACATTGATGTTAGTCTCATGTTATTTTAAGTTCACATATGCTACAGCATATTTTATTTAGCTCATGATGATCTTAATATTTCATTTAGCTCATTATCAATTTTTCAAAAGGTGTTTTAATATTCTAAAGATTTCATGTAAGTTTTGATGATCGATACCTACTGCCAGTTTATTATTTATTACCCTGACTAGTTATAATGTATTTTAAAGGTATAGTCCATCATTTGTAATTTGTGTATTTTGTTCGTTTGAAGCAACAAAAGTGCTCAAGATCTAAAGAAGGGTGCTGAACAACTAACCTGATGAAGTTTCGGCTCAGCTTTAGCTGTATATTTTGAGAAAAACGACATTCTAGGATCTCGATTTCAAATGTTTTGAATTGGGCCTGAATTCAGCGTCCGAGACACATTCTCACTGAGCCGATCGCAGCTACGCGATGTCGCGCACTGATCCAACGAATTATAGTAACCGCGCATGTGTGTGCATCGTGCCAATGCTTACGCGCGCTTCGCCGAATAACAAAACGAACTACTAATTTGATTTTCCTGCGGTGCTTCTTAAGAAGCACCATTGGAAAGGCCTTCTTTTGTTGATTTCTTCAAAATGCCAGCTTGCCAGAAAGAATCATTTCAATGGGAGTTTAGTCCCCTTACTATCTTTCAACCAAGTATGTTTTTCAACAATAAATACGCCAGTTACTTTTTGGATAGCTGCAAATGATGGACTCTGGCTTTAATTTCATACGAAAAACATTCTCAACTTACTTTTGGCTTGCCAATCCCTGCTTGTGATCTCGAACCGTGTCGACAAAGACATTGAAGAGAAACTCCAGGTCCCGTGGCCCACCCATATTCTCCGGGTGAAACTGCACAGCAAACAGCGGTTTGGCGTTGTGAACGATTCCCTCATTGGTCCCATCGTTGGCGTTGGTGAACAGAATGGACCAATCAGGAGGCAGCTTAGATGGGTCGATGGCAAAGCCGTGGTTCTGGGTCGTGATGTAGCAGCGGTCTGTACCACTGTGCGTGCAGGGTTGATTGTGGCCCCGATTGCCATATCTGTGAGGGGTAGGTCAAACAAATAAATATTGTGATTCATAAATCTCTTTAACCCTAACTCCCTAGGCCTTTTTGCTGGGATGAAGCTTCAATCCTGCAAAATCCTCCAATGGGCCTCATGGAAAATAGCATTTAACCTCAATCCTGCAAATTCCTCCATTATTTCTTGAATATGGTCCGTGGAGGGGTGACCACTGCCTGAATCCTGCAAAATCCTGCAGCAGTGACAGTCAATATGTTGAGGCTTGGCCAGTGACATCATGGAGCAGTACGGAGGATTTCAAGCATAATCCAGGCCTATATTTATGCATGGCTAAGCAAAAACAACACAATGTCCGGCCCAAGGCCTTGACAAAGTGCATCCTACAAAATCAGTAACGCACTTTTGCCATGTAACCTCAATCCTCCAAATTCCTCCACTTTGGCAAAAAGGATTTTGAAGGATTCAGGGCGGTTAGGGTTAACGCTATAGAAAAAGGAGAAAAGTTACGCACTACAGAGTGTGCCAAAAAAGTGCAACATTCAGAAAACAAATAATTAAAACTGTTTAATGTTTTTAACCCCAACTCCCCAGCATGATTTACTAGGAACCATAGCCATCCTGGCAAATTCCAACACCATGGGAAACTGCACACACATATTTCTGACTTTTGATTTTGGAGCTGTGCCAGCCCAATGTAAAAGACTGTCAGTTTTGGGGTACTGTACCCATCCTGACAGATTCCAACAAAACATGCTGTTGGGGTTTGATGGGTTGAGTTCTGTTTGGGTTAAAACCTTCAATGTCTTCAATGACTGTTTACTTTCTAATGACACTATTTCAGGCAGAATAATTTCACAGGGTATTTGATACCAGTCCTTTCTTCACTTTGAGCAAGATGTATGTCTCTAGATGGGTAGATTATTGCAAATGATTCTATGTGGCTTTAAGATTGAACCATTACTGTTGTTGAAATGTTCAAGTCCATCAGGCTAAAAGCTACTACAGTTTGGCAAAAAAACATTTTTTATCGTTTCTTTCCAGTCTGGCCTTACTTCATCTTGAAGGAGCCGGTTCCCAGAGCCAAGGAGATAAGCTGGTGCCCTAAGCAGATGCCGAATACCGGTTTGGGATTCGGCTCGTTGAGAATGCGTCGGATGTGCTGGATGGACTCGGCGCACATCTGAGGGTTACCAGGTCCGTTGCTCAGAAAAAGGCCATCGTAGTCTGGATAAAAACAAATTGTGGTACAAAGATTTCAGAGAGTTGTAATGATACAAATGTGAAACAACAAAAACAATTGGTAAAACTACTTTTAGCTAACAGTGCAGGTTATGGTCCCCGATGATGGCACAGAGGAGGCTCAATGGTTGCCCAAACATTGCTCGGTGGTCGCCATGGGCGTCGCGAGGGGGGGGGGGCAAGGGGGGGCACTTGCCCCCCCCCCCTGGAAAAGCAAAAAAAAAAAAAAAACAAGTCAGGTGTGTTTACAAACACAAATGCCCCGCAACCGTGACTGTTTCCATGACATAACACCACTCTAACATCAACTTACATGTACCTTGGTCACATGGAACGTTCATTGACAGCATTAGTGTCTTCTGTAGGTTTTATATGAATTAATCCCTAATCCCTATGATCTCAAAATAAATACAAGATTTCTATTGTTTTAGCCACTGTGAACTTGACCCTTGACCTTTTGGCCCCAAATGCAATAGGCTTCTTAGGATTACCAAGAACAATCCACAAACCAAATTTGAAGTTCACATGTTAAGTATTTCTCAAGTTATCGCGCTGACAAGATTTCTATTGTTTTAGCCACTGTGAACTTGACCCTTGACCTTTTGGCCCCAAATGCAATAGGCTTCTTAGGATTGCCAAGAACAATCCACAAACCAAATTTGAAGTTCACATGTTAAGTATTTCTCAAGTTATCGCGCTGACAAGATTTCTATTGTTTTAGCCACTGTGAACTTGACCGTTGACCCCAAATGCAATAGGCTTCTTAGGATTGCCAAGAACAATCCACAAACCAAATTTGAAGTTCACATGTAAAGTATTTCTCAAGTTATCGCGCTGACAAGATTTCTATTGTTTTAGCCACTGTGAACTTGACCCTTGACCTTTTGGCCCCAAATGCAATAGGCTTCTTAGGATTGCCAAGAACAATCCACAAACCAAATTTGAAGTTCACATGTAAAGTATTTCTCAAGTTATCGCGCTGACAAGATTTCTATTGTTTTAGCCACTGTGAACTTGACCCTCGACCTTTTGGCCCGAAATGCAATAGGCTTCTTAGGATTACCAAGAACAATCCACAAACCAAATTTGAAGTTCATATGTTAAGTATTTCTCAAGTTATCGCGCTGACAAGATTTATCCGGACACACACACCCACACACACCTACTTGTTTCACATGACTAGTGTGGACTTTCCATTGCTTTCGTGTAGTTAAGAAAAACCAGTGAAAAAACTCATTTTTCTCAAACTGTGAAAACTCTTTCAACCCAATTTTTTTTCTATGATTCCCTTTAGTGTTTCTCTTCATTCTGCTACAGATAAACCTAACCCAAAAATGCCTCTAAACCTGTTTTCCAGAAATGGGGAAACACTGTGTGGACGTGGGGTAAGTCCACACAACGTCGGTGCTACCTACATTATGTGGACGTCTTTTGTTCGGAAGTCCACACTGCGTATGTAAGACAAACTCACCCACCCACCCACACACACACCCACACACCCACCCACCCACCCACCCACCCACCCACCCACCCACGGAAGGACAAGGCGGAAACAGTATGCCCCTTCGGCTTCGCCGCGGGGCATAAAAAAAAAAAGGAAGAAAAAAAAGAAAAGAAAAAAAAAGAAAAAGAGGCGCGAAGACAAAGTGGTGTAAATTTAATGAGTTGGGGGGGGGGGGGGCAAAATGTCCCTGCCCCCCTCTAAAACTGATAAATCGAGAATGTGTTGAGAAATACAAGCATTTTTTGGCAAAAATTTTTTTTGTCCCCCTCTAGAAAAAATCCTGGCGATGCCCATGGTGGTCGCCTATGTTGCCTATAATTGTGTTTGTTGCCGTAGGTTGCACAGGTGAAGCACAGGGGAGGCAGGCAAGTGGCTCAGTGGCACACAGGTCGCTCGTAGCTCGAAATGAAAATGCCCGAAAATTGCAGTTTTGGTGGTTCAAGGGAGGCACAAGGATCACTGGAGCAGTTACATAGAAACAGGATTTTCTTGGTTTAGGCGACCATTGAGCGTCCTGGCCATTTTTTGGTCGCTCGTAGTTAGTACAAAGGTCGCAGCCCTGTGTAAAGGGGACCTTAGCCAGCTGTGCCTACCAGTTACTTCGTTTTGGCTGTTGATGGAATTTAACTAGTCACGATGCCTATTGAAATATGATCTGACTGGTGGTGACTAGCTTATGTAAAAGGCATGGCAGGGGAACAGGATTGAATTTTTGACTGTCTGTGACTTATCAAACAAAAGAAGGGTTAAAATATATTATCTGTTCGTACTAAACAACCTTGCTTTGCTATCAGAAGAAGACAGCTGGATTCGAACCCCCGACCCTCTGATCAAGAGTCATGAACCCTAACCACTAGTCCACTCCCCCTACTCAGTAATGGGTTCGAAATTTTGTTTTCATCGGATTAATCTATGTACAGCATCTACCTTGACTCTTGAGTGCGTGATTCCACGGCACAACTTCGATGCATGCTCCACACTCGGCCAACAGTCGGAGCTGGTTGAACTTGATACCAGTGTCCAAGGCAACAATTTTGACCGTGCCCTTTGGATTCAAGACTCTCGGCTCCTGAAAGGGAAGAAACAAGTATCCCAAGATGTACTCTGTAAGATGTCAGTCAAGAAATCAACACGGGATGAAGTTTTTAGGTATGTGCATTGACCAACTTTCCTTGACGTATAGGAAACTGGTGAGCTATTTTAACTGTTTGCTGTGCGAACATTTCACAGACTGCCGTACAAAGATGATTTTTGCTAAACGAAAAAAAACATGCGGAGTATGTTTGCTATGAAAAGGTTTTTTTGTAACCTTAACCCTAAGTCCCTAGCGTCTTTCACTAGGAACCGGACCAACTCCATCAAAATCCATCAATCACTGTGTGTCCAATACAAAACTGTACACGACATAATGGAACCCACCACTGACGCACTGGTTGACATTCATGGACTTGCTACACATGGCTTTTATCACAATAGCATTACAGGAAGCTAGGCAAAATCGATCGGATACCCCTAGCACTGCTTCAGGCCATTAGGCCCAAGTCCATCATACTCTATCAATATTTAGTCACCCCAGGCCTCCTGGACCAAGTCCCCCAAAATCCACCAAAATGGTGGCTGGATTTTGATGGAGTTGGGAAGGTTAGGGTTAACCTAAACTCCATCAAAATCCACCCAACACCAATTTGGGGGGATTTGCGGGGATGTTGGCAGATAAGCCATGTGTACCAAGTCCATCAGAATCCACCAGCACCAGTGGTGGATTTTGAGGGATTTGGTCCTGAAGCATTATGTGAAGCAGAGTGAGTGATGGATTTTGATGGATATGGGAGTTAGGGAGTGAATGAAACTGCTCACTGGTGAGATAAAATGACATAAAATGTCCCACTTTTTGTAGTTACTGGACAAGTTTTCCACTAGTAGTGGGACGCTCCAAAGCTTGCTGCGGTACATTGGAACGCCGCTATACCGAACACCGCTATACCGAACATTCGGCTATACCGAACATCATCCTTGGCTCCCGGTTTTAATGTACAAAATGTACCGAACATGTTATTGAAAAAAGTCAACATAACAAAAAAATCTACCGGTTGTACATGTATTGAACACTATTTGGGCCACTTTTAATTTCCGAGCATCAAACGACCCATAGTTACATCGTGTTTGAATGTTGAAGAGCGATAGCTGGCTATTATTTCCCCAAGGAATAGAAGGGAAAACCACTCGTGAGAAATGCCAGTTCACTATTGGTCAAAAGAGGTACCGGCAGTTCAAAATCGCTATACCGAACAATCGTTATTACAAACACTTTCTGTGGATCCAACGATGTTCGTTATAGCGGCATTCCACTGTATTTCGCACCGTTAGTGATGACATGTTCAGAGCTTTAGAGAATCTACAAGCAATGGGTGCTATTGGCTAAAGTAACCCAGTAAAGGCAGACAAAGGCAAAACCGTAGCTGCAAACTCAGATTAGTGTTCAGTGAAAACTTGGGGAAAATCTCACTTTCTCAAGTCTGTAAAATGATCTTTTATTTGTTTACCTTTGAGGAAACTTCAGCAACCAAGTTACGAAGATTTGGATCTTCAAAAGGAACTGACTCTGGGTTCGTTCCTTCCACAACAATCTGGAAAAAAGGTAAATAATGAAATAAAATATGAAAACTTTAACTTTTTTTTTTATAAGAGTGCGAAGTTAGGAATCACCTCTGCCAACGAGTTATGTTTTCACTGGCGTTGGTTTGTGTGTTGGTCGGTTGGTTAGCTTGTTTGTCTGTTAACAACATAACTCTATGAGTGCGCTCGATTACTTCCCCCGCGCTTACTCGTGCAAGTGCGACAGTGTTCGATTTACCTCTCACGTGACTTCTCGCGCTTACTCGAGCCTGGCCCAAGTAACGGACTCGCGGAGCCGGTTACTTGGGTAAGTATCCCATAAGGCCATGCAATAAACATGGCTGCCAACTTGACGTCCGGCGAGTGCCTCAGAGGGGCCCTACACTACACAATTGCCACACGTGTAACAATCTTTGGTAGACAACGTTTGATGCATTACCTTTCCAAGCATTGTTCCGCTTTCCCGGATCTTTTTCGTCAGCGCCCTCGTGTCAATACCTTCAAATGAAAAATGGAAATAGTAGAAAAGATCATTGGTAGCTATCCAACATTTAGGAGGGTCAGGTTGGCGTAGCGGTACTTTCCTCGCCTTCCACCGCTGTGACCCGGGTTCAAATCCCGCAGGGGCCAATATGTGGGTTGGGTTTTCAGTCCCTGCCTGATTCAGTGGGTTTTCCCCAGAATATTCCTCTGGGCTTTTCCTCCGACCTCTAAAACTGTAATTTCTTCTCATTGTCTTCTCTCTAAAGGTTTTTTCAGGCTTTCGAGCTAGCTACAGTGCTTAGGGTACTTTTAAGGAATCCTTGGTTCCATTACCAGAAAGAAATACAATAACAAGTAACTGACCACATTGTTAACAAGCTTACTTGGTTCAAAGATAGTAATGGCACAAAACTCCCTGTGAAATTGTTCCTTCTGGCAAGCTGCCATTTTGAAGAAAACATATACAGAAGTTCATTTCCAAAGATGAGTCAAGTGACGCATTTTTGGAAAGTTACGTTATTTTGCAGTACATTGTCAAGATATTGTCTTTTTATTATTTGTTTCCAACAAAATTGTAGATGTGTAGGAAGGGTTGAGGCTCCTTCGGACATATTTTGTATCAGCAAAAGAGTCCAGAGAATTGAAGAATCCATCCGCCATCTTGACAGAAAAAAAACTAGCCCTTGTCTCCTTCATGTTTTCAAAAAGCCCAGACGAGAGACAAGTTCATTTTGGAAAGAGTTCCATACTGGGCCACCACTCAGACTTCCTGCACAAAGTCTATGGGCCATGACAGAAAAAGTTCAAGTATATAAAAGAATTTTTGCACTCATTAAATAGTGTTTCCTCATCAGATTTACAACTTTTCGTACCTTTCAGGTCATATTAAGAATTATATAGCCGACATACACATCCTTGTCATTTGATTGGTTGAACTCACATCGTTATTACTGCCATTCACACCGAGGCTCAAAAAGTACTATCCGCCCATAGGGAATGGGAAATACTATTGAACAGTTAGGGTCGTTCTTGTTCCATAACGCGGTATTTGTGTGCAAATGCATGCTGGTGTGCGCGTTCAGTGTTGCGCGTAGCGCGTATTGTTCAAAAGAGCCAGCGCTACAGCATTGGGTTCAAACATTTTTGTGAAGGGGTGGTTTGGAAGAGAGAAATACATTTTCCACCAATTTTGTCTTGAAATAAAAAGTTTAAATATCAAATGACAAGGATCTATATGTCAGTTATATAAAACAAATATTGAGTGGCTTTTGATTGTGAAATGGGAGGAATATTATCGCTCAGTAAAATCTGGACTTTTCCAGTTCACTCGGCTTCGCCTCGTAAGATGGAAAAGTCCCGATTTTACCTTGCAATAATATTCCTCCCATTCCATGCTGAGCCACTCAATATTTGTATAATATGAGTGGTGGCCCAGTATGGAACTCTTTCCATATTTTTTTACTCGGCCTTACTTGTAAATGGACTTGTGATTTACATGTGACTGGACATGTGACTGATACCTGATATCCCTGGGACGTTGTACTCCTTCAGCCAATCGCTGAGCGACTTCTGAGCTGCCCAGTGGCTGTACTTGTCCGACAACTCCCCCACAACCAACGCCGAGACGTGGACCTTCTCCGACTCGAACCACTTGGGCAAGCCCAGCTCATCGCGCTCGTGGGGTGGGACGCCGTAGTTGCCGATCAGCGGGTAGGTCAGGACAAGAATCTGCGACTTGTACGACGGGTCCGTCAGGGATTCAGGATAGCCAACCATTCCAGTCTGGAACACTAGGAAAAGGTGGTTAAAAAGAGAAAAAGAGGGTAAAATTTAGTACAGAGATTAATTCAAATTGCAGAATACCCCGCAACTCATCTATCCACCTCGTAGCCGGCTACAGAGTCACGGTTGATTGCCCTCAATAAACCTTCTCAGCGCTACCAGTATGTACACGTGTCACACTCCTCTGCATTCCCACTCCAAACCTGCGCAACATGGTAATTAGTTCGGACTTCAATTTTTTTCCCCGATTCCCATGCATAGTCAGCAACAGTGTAGGCCTACCTGGTTTGGACTTGGCCACGTAGCCAGATGATTTTAGAGAAAGAATGTTGGAAAGAATAATGCAACCTGACGCCGCATTTTTCTTCATGTATCATCTCAATGTAGGACAGTCATTGCAAAAATGACGATAAGACATGAATCTGGGGCTGAGAAATATTTCCAATTTTGTTAAGAAATACTTTTCTTGACTCTCCATAGACTTTGTACACAGCCGCTGAACTTAGCGTCAGGTTGCAACATTCTTTTCAGAATGTTGCATCCTGACACCACTTTTGTTAATCATACATTATCTCAATGAAGGTCAGTCATTGCAAAGATGTTGGGGAAAAAACATGAATCTGGAACTGACAGACTGACAGAGTGACATGACTGAGAAACATTTCCAATTTTGTTTAATTAGGAAATAAAGAAACATTTTCTTGACTCTCCATAGATTTTGTACACAACCGCTGAAGTGGCGTCAGGTTGCAACATTCTTTCCTTCTTCCCAGATAAAAGGTTCCTAAACATTATTCCACATTTCAAAAAAATAATCACTCACTCATTTCTCAGTGACTTCATCATGGACAAATTACAAATGGCAACGCCATGCAACATGCTTACCGACTTCACCAGGAACGCTGACACTCGCCCCGAAAAGCTTTCCACTAAAGCTAGTTCCATCTTCCAAATAAAGTGTAGCAGCCATGGCAGTAACTGATTATCACTCAGTCTTCTGTGAAGGTGATCTGAGAGCTAGAGTGGACTAGTTCTTGTATGCAAACAGGACCATCAAACCAGCTGATTACGTTGTTCTGAGTCACCGCGGCCTGCCTGTCGAATTTCCCGCGGGATGATCGTGCGGTGAATCAACACGCGCGAAACTGCCACTGCCGAATGACCTTGATCCTCATGCACAATCCTAATCCTATGACGAAACTCCCAGCACACACGTGGCCTACGCACAAAGAAAGCTCGTCGGATTCTGGCGTTTCACTCGATAACTCAAGAACAACACACTGTCAAAACTTCACAAAATGAAGACGATTTGTTCTGTTCCAAGTTGGCAATAGTCTGAAGAGAATCGCCGCATTTAAAGACCGAAATAACGATGAGTTTTAGGACCTCTTAGAAGAAACACGCGACAGGTTGGCAGGCCGCCATACATGTTGGTTTCATTGGTTCCGTACGGTGGGATTTACGAACTGTTGGTTGGGTACCAGTCATTATTAACTCATCCAAAAAAGACAGAACTCCATGCGTCACAACAAAAGCTAAGATCGTTATAGCTAAGGCGCCGAATTTAAATGGGACAACAACTTTTTTGAGCACTTTTTTGAACCCCCGGCCGTCATAAATTTAGTATGAAAGTGAAAAAATGTTTTATTCCATAAATCATTTGATACCCGACACTCCCGAATCGGCGCTTTTTTTCGGATCTATCTATACGCACTTCCCTGCATTTCAAATCTTGAGTTAAAGATGGTGTAGGCCTATGTGCTTTTCGGGTGTGGCACCTTGAAAAACATAGATTTTCAAATTGAATTGATAACTTTCTAGAATTACACTAGTTATACGCTTTCCAATAAGCTCGCACGAAAAGAAACGCCCACAACAAGTAATCCATTAGTTAATTACAACTTTTTAAATTGAATTGAATTAAGAGCGGGATGATCATTTAATTCTGCATCTGAATAGTTATGTTATGTTATGTTTTATTCCACAAATAGGAACAAACCCCATGACCCTGGGGAAGGGTTACAACAGTGAAATTAAACATTGAATTATTTGGCGGGTGGGTTAACAAAGAATATGCTTTGAAATTACGTCATGCTTTGCCTCTTTTTAAGATTTGTACATTGGGAAATAAATTTAGCCACACATATAATAGTGTGTTTATCTGCCGACGACATCAGAAAAATGAATTTATCATATTTTGTTAAACCGTTAAAGCCAGGCTCCATTTTACAAATGTCAGTAAGAAAGTTAGATCGAAGATCATTATATAATGGACATTCTAAAAGAAAATGCATTTCTGTTTTAACATCAAGTAGACAATGTGGACATAACCTTTCATGTAGAGCTAAACCAGTGTATCTACCAACTTCAATCATTAACTTGTGAGATGAACATCTAAATTGATAAGAGAAATGATGGCTCTATCCCATTCAGAGACGCCTCTCCTATAGATTGGCTTGTGAATAAAGAATGTGCGTAATTAAGAACAACACATTGAGTTATTCGATGGTGTGATATTGTGTGGTTCATTTCTTCAATTAAGACACATGAAGGGGTCTTAAAAATTGGGTAGAAATAAGAGGGAGAAATCAATGGAAGTTTTGACCGTAGCCAAGTTTACCCAGGCAGTGGGGTGGGTTAGGTTTTACCTGAGGGCAATTGCGGGAATGCATTTCGTCCCTTCGGGGACTCATCAGCCGCTAGATTCCAAGAATCTGTAGGTAGGCCTATGGGTTAGTGAGTTGAATGGAGCTCACTTTGCGGAAACGATTGCGTCTAAGTTATCCGGTATTTGTGATTACAACTTCATTCGGATGGGATTTGTTCATCCAATAGTGAAATTAGGATATCAAGTGTGTTATCTTCGTTCTCAGTTGTGGAGGATTGGTTGTCTTCCGTATGGCTGAGTTTGGCTCTGACAAGTCTCTTCTTGATGTTCTCAGCTATCTTATAGGCAACTAGAGGAGGTTTAGGGAAAACTTCCTTCAAAGTTGGGTTGCTTGAGATAAGATGCCAGTGTCTGGAGAGAGCACGCTTGATGTCCATGTGTTACATGGGGGTTGTAAGTCGTGGTGAAGACGAGGGGAAGTTCTTTTTGGGTTTTCACTTGTTCTGTGTGAATCATAGATTTCCTTTGTGAGAAATCGATGGATTGCTTGCACTTGTGAATATCGGCTTGATTGTAGCCTCTCTTAGTCAGTAGTTTTTCTTCGAAACTTTGTACTTTTTGTAAGAAGTCGTCCTCATTGTTTGTGTTTCTGGCATAGGATTTCTCCTTTGATAAAACCGTGGAACACATGGTTTGGATGGGATGATGTTCTTTCCAAGTACTGATATGTTTCCGTAGGTTTCGTGAACACTCGTGTGTCTAGGGTACCCGTGGAGAGGAAACGCGGGCCTTTAAAGATGGTAAGGTCCAGGTATGTGATGGAAGTTTCAGATGCCTCAAATGTGAATTTGAGGGTGGGATGCAATTGACTCAACTGGTGAACAAATTGGGTGAAGGATTCGAGTTGGCCGTTGTAGACGATAAGTATATCATCTCTAAATCTTGCCCAGAGCAGGATTCTGTCTGTGAGGGCTGAGATTTGTAACTCAAAATCATGTAACGTAATGTCGCAAATTTCTGGACTAGCCACAGATCCCATTGCACATTCTATTTTTTGTCGGAAGAATTTTCCTCCGAACTGGAAATAGTTGCGGCCCAGAACGAGTTCCAGGAGAGTGCGGATGTGTTTTGAAGGGGGTTTGGTTATATGGCGTAGTTGTGGTTGTTTTTTTCGTAGGCTTTGCATACTGATTCAATGGCTTCTGCCTGGTGAATGTTGGTATCATGGAAACTACATCGATGCTTGCAAGGAGTGAGTTTGGTGGGAAGGTTTCCTTTTCTAGTTTCCGCAAAATGTCTGTGGTGTCACGGACATAAGTGGGTTGGGCGGATACTATTGGAAGGAGAAAGTAATCCACATACTCAGATATCTTGGCTGTTGGACTCGTGCAACCGCTGATGATGGGTCTACCGACAAAAGGCTCACCCGGTGGGGGAGTCTTGTGTATTTTCGGAAGAAAATACATGGTAGGGCAGTTCGTGGGTTGTTCAAGTGGGTCAAGATAGGCAAAAGTATGTTTGTCGATGTGTTTGTTTCTTATCATGTCGGTGAGGGCGCTGTGTACCTTGAGTGCGGTTTCGTGAGTCAAATCTCTGTCCACTTTTTCATAGTGGTGGGAGCTGAGGTGTTTGAAACCAACGTTTAGGTAGTCCTCACGGTTCATGATGCAAATGCCTCGGCCTTTGTCGTAAGGCTTGATAACAACAGATGTTGTTTTTGAGTTTGCGTATTGCTGATAATTCAGCTTGGGACATGTTTGTCTGAGGTTTCCTCAGTCTGACATGGGCGAGTTCCATCTTGATAGCTTCCAAATAATTCTCAAGTGTGGGGTTTTGAGTGGATTTGGGTTGCCAGGTGGATGGAGGTTTGAAGGGCCTCTTCTTTAGAACTTTTTTGTGCATCAAGAATGCAATTCTCATTCGTCTTTGATATTTGTTTATATCTTGGATAAGTGAGAGACGGGTTGGGAACAAAGTTTAAACCTTTGCCTAAAGCTATTTTCTCGGTAGGGGAGAGTGATAGCTTTGAGAGGTTGGTTATGAATTGTTCATTTTGGTTGGCTAATTTTTTCCGTTGGTTTGCTTGGGACAGCTGTTGGAGATTTGAACATGAATGGGCAAATCGTTTGGCTTTATGCTTTAGTTTTCCTTTTTTGTGGAATGTACTAATGTTTCTCCTAGTCATGGTTATTTAATAATAATAATTGTTAATTATTATACTAAATAAAGAGTAAACACATTGATCAATCTCTTTTTGGAAGATGTGGTGGCTCTGAAAAGAGCCGTTTGTGTTTATTGGAGACCGGAGGTGCTTTAGCGGCGCCGCTTGGTTGGCTGCTTGGTAGACCGCTCACGTAGGAAGTGGGTGAGCAGTTTCTTGGCTGTGTTGATGTTCCCCTTGGTCAGGAGATGGCCCTTGATCTGGTCCAGGGCCTCGAGGTGCTGTCTTTCGAAAGAACGGTTGTTTTGCTCCTTCCAGTCCTGTAGTTGCCGTAGGCTGAGTCGGGCTCGCCCGAGTGCAGCCGACACGGCTACCTCCTTCCACACGGTCGCCAAATTCGATTGAATTCGGTGGCCTTTGGGTGGAGTAGGTACTGGAACTTGGCTGAGGAGGTACTTCGGTGGGTTCTTGTTTCTGACGGCGTTCTCTAGCAGGTTGATTTGTTTGTTCAGGGAGACTCGCTTTGAAACCATTTGTTGGAGAGGTCCCGCTAGACTTCAGACAAATTTGTAGTCCTCGTGTTCTAGTCGGTGGTCTCTACTGGTTTGTTGCTTGTCTCTTGTTCTCATATAATTGTTTAAACATACGGTAAGTACGAAGTTTGTTTTTCTGGTTACTATTTTCTAAGGTCACAATGCAGTCTGTCGTTCCACTGTTTAATATAGCTGTCTTGCATAAGATTAGTAAGAGTGCTCAATACAGACCTTTTATTACTACCGCAAGTACTTGTTATTGGAACATTCCAATGAACTGTGTCAAAACACTTACGTAACCTTAAGGAGAGCGAGGTTTTACGGCGAATTCCTAACGCTGAGTCTTCACAAAACGCATTGTATAAAATAGAACTCTCGGGTTTTTCAGACAAGTGAAACCAATATCTAAGAGTATTAACACTGTGCTCAATATATAAGGGGAATCGACCTACTTCTGCTAACACAGCATCATTCGAAGTTCGTCTGTTAACGTTTAAAACAAATTTAAACCATTTCAATTGAAAAACCTCAGCTCGCCTACAAGCTCCTTTCCATATAATTTCAGAACCATAAGAAATAATAGGTTTAAACAAAATGTCGAATACTGTCAACAATAATTTAGGAGCTAAATCGTAACCAACACTCTTACGATATAAACCTGCAACCTTGGAGGCCTTATTAACCAGATTATTGATGGAGGATTTAAACGATCCGGATGTTTGGAAAATAATGCCCAAGTATGATTGCAAATCAACAACATTGACACACTCACCATTAAAATAAAAATCAGTCTTAGAATCACTTTTTTGGTACAGATCACTATTAAAGATCATAACATTAGTTTTATCAGTATTAACCGTTAGTCTCCATTTTTTGAACCAGAGCGCGCCATTTAAAACAAATTTTTAAAATGTAAGAAGGCCTGCCAAAACAAACAAGCAAATGTAACTGTTACATGACATTATATTCCTTTCAATTTCAATCGGAACAGAAAATTAACCAACTTTAACATAGCTCAAGTTGAGAGAAAGGTTATTTTTGACGAAAACTCAATTATTAGTTACTTTTATTTGCCCTAGAAAAATGGTGTTTTTTTTTTCTCAATACAAACACGTAGTTGGATATGGCGATTGGATATAAAACTTGAGGCCCTAGCTCTGTCAACTTTAACGATCGACTATTCCGATCATCATTTGGGATTTTGTTCAACTTCGCAGGGGCGGCAGGAAGCTTTTCAAACTAGGGGGCAACACCAAAACGGGGCACCTGGCCATGCCCCCCCCCCCATAAAAAAGAACCCATTTTGTTTTCAGTAACGTCGTAATAAAGACGGACACTGCGTACACAGGCATCTTTCACTCAAAATAAATTTCAGAAATTGCTTCAGATCGCACCACAGAGCATCTTACGGGCCCTAACCCCTCCGCCAAAGAATTTGACTAGCACCGTTTCTGATGCAGTTTTCCATAGAGGGGCACAATTTTAATGTTGCGAGCGGGTCGTAGGGCACCGAATAAGCCGCCTTGAGCATCGAGGGTCGCAGTTTTCAATCTCGATATATCGAGATGTTATTATGGGACGCTCTTTCGTTTTTGATGGTCAATAATTTTCCATCTCGAGAGGGGCAGAATTTAGTATTGCGAGAGGGGTTTGTGCTAAGGGGTAGTTTTCCATCTCGAGGTGCACAGTCTTGTTAATGTGAGGGTAAAACTTGTGTTTTTGAGGGGCAGTTTTCCCAAGGGAGTTACAATTTCACAAGAGAGGAGACAATTGTATTTGTTGCGATTCTGCTTGCATGCGTGTACTTGTAAGCAGCGGCGGCGGAACGGTTTTTTCAAACTGGGGGAGGGGGGGGGGGAGAATCACTAAAAAGGGGCACTTGCTCATGGGCATCTTCTGTCGGTGCGGCAGCGTATCCAGCTTTTTTTTTGGGGGGGGGGCACATCCGTGCTGAAATGTCGACACTTTTTTTTCACCGGACACTTGGCATCAAACAGTGGTCGGGTGGGGGGTGGGGGGGGGGGGGGGGGGGGGGGCTGGTACTACCTTCCAAAATCGGGGGCGCTCTTCAAAACCAGTCTGAGGCTCGGAGCGCATTGTAAGGGTTTTGGCAACCTCGTCCCCAGTGCTTACTTTATTTCCAACCGCGTTTCCAAGAGCAGGTAGTGGTGGGCGCGTACTGCTCGACACCCTGGGGACGATGTTGGGGTTTTGGGGCTTGGTTTTCATTCATATCAGATCCTCTCTATACCATTTTGGGAAATGGTTACTGAAAACTAATTATCCGAAATTTTTGGGCCAGTTTTGTTTTCATCTCGAGGGGGCAAATTTATGCTCGAGGGGGCACATTAGGCTATGTCAGCAAGAAGGGCACTTGGGTAAATCGGGGTGGGGGGGGGGGGGCTAGTGCCCCCCCCCCCCCCCCCCCCAGTTCCGCTTTCATCTAGAGGGGGCCATCGCGAGAGGGGTATTTTGGTTAGCCTGGGAAAATCTACCCCCCCCCCCGGTTCTGCCGCCCATGTTGGTTTAAAGAGGGCCAAGACAACTTTTTGACTTTCAGACAGGCGTATTTGACACTAAAATTATTTAAAAGGTCTTCGTAGCAAGTTTTATTGAGCTTATTTGACCATTAAAGTAAATAGATATCTCATCAAACTATGGGATTGTGGTAGCCATATGCATTTGGGATACATTCTTTGAAACTGTCAGGTTTTGGCCAAAAAAAGTTTTTTTAGCGTCCCCGCCCGCTTCCTTTTTGGAGGCCTCCTTTTTTTTTAATTAAAAAAAAGCGAAATCATTTTGGCCTCTTTGTCTATTGCATCTAGCCCATATATATAAAGCTGGTATGTTATTTCCCCCGAGTCCAAGTGGCGGCTTTTAAAAAATAGCCCAGCCGGTCGTTTTGGAAAATGGGCCTCTTTTTTCTCAAACAGGCAGGATGCTAAACATGTTTCTTTTTTTCATTTGGCCTTACTTATAGATACCAAAAGGGGTTGAAAACCACTTGATGCCAATTTTACTGACCCTTTTATGGGCGGGGTCATGACATTAAAAAGTGGGGGCTCCTTTGCAAAACTGATTAATTTCACTTTTCTTTCCAGCATTTTCGACAGCTCCACCAAGAGCTACATCTCGAGAAAACACAATTTCCAGAATTGTACCTCTTTGGGGGTGGGGCCACATTTTATAAAAGTGGGGGGCAAATGTAATTAACAGAAAATCGAGCTGTAACGGACATTTTATGGTGTTTTTGGTTTTTGTTTCCAATCAGTACAGTAAACGGGCTAACGCTAACCTGTCAAATCATCAAATAACAACTGTTCCCCTTTGGGGGTGTGTCACACTTTTTCATCAAAAGGTGGCATATTCCAAGAGTAGGCTGTGGGAGCTAATAATGCATTAATAATTGCAGGTACAATGTATACATTCTTTGAAACTCGAGGATCACCTATGGACAACTCAACAAGTCCAACAAAATCGCTTGGTTTCATTTTTCCAACGCCCCTCGGTTTGCCATTTTGACTGTCCAAATGACAGCCATTTTGAAAATCTATTCTATATTTTGTACACATATGAATTGACAAACTAATCAACTTTTGAGACATTTATGTTTTGATCTTTTTAAGATTTACCTACCTAGGCTTGTTTGAATCATACTTTAATATAGTTATTATCACCAATTAATTTAAATTTATTTGTTTTATGAGTATAGTCCTTCAAGTGTATTCAAAAAAATTAAGTTTAAGTTTTTACCAAATGTATGATCACCACAAAATGATTTCATAAATGTTCATCTTTCTAGTATTCTTTGTTCCAGTAGTCCATATGTATTTTAGTTTTTTGGAAGTGAGAGGTCAATTTTTGGCACGATATGTCTCTTCCATGTCATGCATTTTTTTTCAGTTTCCATAAATTGCGATGCTAGTAACAATTTTACAAAGGCCTTTTCCGAGGGTGAAATCAATCTACCAAAAATAATTTCAAAAACTCTTGACTTTTACACGCTAACTTTCCTATTCGAGGGGTCTGGTAGCGCGCCACCAGGGGTAAACTTTCAGGCTCTATAGTGGTACAGCCATGTTTCGTTCTTCTACGTTCATGTTAAACATTTATTACAGCTAAATAATTACTAATAAATACCTAAGACAGTTTACCCGTTCCCATTGGTCAAGAGCCCGTCACATGGCCAGTCTTAAACGGATGACAAAAACTGGCTGGCTGGTCTTAAATACTTTTCCAGTGTCACATGAAATTTGGACCCTTAAAGGGAATGTACATCATTGGCTTTTGCTGTAATTTTCAGAAATTAACTTTATGAGGGGTTAGTATAATAGATCAAATATTGTTACACTGACATGTTTAAAGTTTTGTGTTCGAAAATGCTGGAAAAACCAAGAAAAACAAAATTGTTCAAGTAGTCTTGTTCCCTGACTCCACTAAAGATGAAATGGATCAATTTATAGATGCCGGAAAATTGTATGGTAAAGGAACCAGTCTAGCTGGCCTGCACCCGTTCATGAACATATAACCAATAGTAAACAAAATTTGGACTGAAAAAAAAAATGGTAAATTGGAGCAGTAGTTGAAAAAATAGTCAGGTTTTTCCAACGGTGGTCGTCCGACCACCGTTGGAAATTCATACAAAAATACCACTTTTCTTGAAAACGACTTCACAACAGGTGCCATAATTTTACAGGATGCTTTAGACTGTCATTTACCAACATCCTAGTTAGGTATTTTGTAAAAATTTGGTAGTTTTGTTTTTAGATGTTTGCAAATGTTGTATATTCCCTTTAAGAAATCCAGTGCCTTTTACTGTTTTATTAGTTGAATGTTCACAATCCTCACGTTGGCATGCGCAATACTACCAGTGAGTCAGTATTTCATAGTCCTCAATTCAAAACGCACTCACCACAGTTGCATCTGCACGTCATTGCACAGTACACACCACACGCCACCAATCTCCATAAAAGGAGTTGTTTATGTCTAACTCACAAGCTGGACACTCAATCGTATAGCTAGAGGGAGGTTTCGCAAAACGGAAAGTAAAATTGTTGAACAAAATTGATGAAAAATTAAAATTTTTGACTTGTTTTGACTTTTGGATCGAAATTTTTGACTTTTGGATCAAAAAGTTTCGATTTTTTTACCGAACAGGTATTTATGAATGGGAATCAATATGTGTTTGGTCGGTATTAAACACTATGTTTAAGACTGGTTGGAGTCTGGAATGCTGATAATTACCCTTGGTTTCGCCTTGGGTAATTATTGGCATTCCAGACTACAACCAGTCTTAAACAGTGTTTAACACCACCCAATCAGACATTTATTCCCTTGGTAACACAGTAATTTATGAGGTATCGCAGTTGTGCCTCCTTAATGTGATTTTGTGAGAGAAGGCTCTATAACAAACATTACAGGCGTACGGTTTCTCTCCTGTGTGCACCCGTTGATGACACGACAATTTGTATTTTGTGACAAAGCCTTTGTCGCAAGAGTCACACTTGAATGGTCTTTGCTTGGTGTGGACCTCAAGATAATGCGTCTTCAGGGTTTGAGGAAGACCAAACGCTTTGCCGCAAGTTCCACAGGGGTGCAGTTTCTCCTTAGTGTGAACTAGCTGATGCCGTGTCAACTGGGATCTCTTATGGAAGGCACTGCCGCAGATGTGGCACAGTGAAGACTTTTGATTTGTGTGAATCACTCGGTGTTCATACAGGTGGCTGAACTGAGCAAAGGTTCGGCCACAGGTCTCGCAACAATAAGTCTTTTGTTTGTGAACCTTCGCTGATGCTTCATGAACAGCCCGGTGTTCCTTCAAAGCCTCCCTGCTGGAGCGGACCTCATAGCAATCTTTGCAGACGTACTGTTTAGGTTTAGCGTGGATCACTTGATGAACCCGGAACTCAATTTTACCGGGGAAGGTTATGTTACATTTGTCGCACTGAAATGAGGTTCTGCGGACCCTCCTGTTGACCCCTGTGTGTACCCTCTTGTGCAATGTTAAAATGCTTTTCGTAGTGAAAGCTTTACCGCAAGTTATGCAAAGAAACGGTCTCTCTCCTGTATGGGTTCGCTCGTGCTCTCGGAGATGACCGGAACTGTAGAAGCCCTTGTTGCACACTTTGCATACGAAGGGTACGATGTTATCGTGGCGCATCTTATGCACCCGAAGCCTAGAACGAAATCTGAACTTTTCATGACAGATATCGCAGGAGAATAAATTCTCCCCTGTGTGGATTGTCCGATGGGTCTTCAAAGTCTGCTTGGTCTTGAATTTCTTATCGCAGAGGTCACAGGCAAAGGGTCTTTCACGGGTATGGCTTCGCTCGTGCAACTCGAGGCGACTAGCCGTCTTGAAGAATTTGGAGCAATATTTGCAAGCCGATGTATTGTCCTTGGAATGCACTCTTGAATTTGCTGCTTGCTGGTTAGTGTCTGTGTCCCTCTCTTGCTTGCATGTCATTTCAAGGTCATCCAGTGCTCGATCTTCACTCCAGTTCTTCAACTCGTTACTTGGTAAGTCTCCATCAAGACTAGTGGAGGAGCTTGGTTGTTCATTGTCAACGTTCTCCCCATCAAGACTGACTTGCTTAGAAGAGTCTCCAACACGTCCATCGCAGACGTTTGATCTCTCTGTATGTCCCACCCTCAAACAAACTTTCCTGATCCCTTGTTTTGTTACGCTGGTCCCTTTGCAAGAACATTCGTGCTTAGTGAGATCATTTCTTTGCGAGAAGCCCTTGTGGCAAATGTCACAGACAAAACTTTTCTCTGTAGTGTGGATCCTCTTGTGCAAAGTTAAAGAGCTGTTCGTGGCAAAAGCTTTACCGCAAGCTGTGCAAACAAAAGGTTTTTCTCTGGTGTGGGTTCGCTCATGATCTCTGAGATGACCTGAAATGTAGAAACCCTTGCTGCAAAATTTGCATACGTATGGTATGATATTATCGTGGTGCATTTTATGCACCCGAAGCGTGGATCGAAATCTGAACTTTTCATCACAACTATCGCAGGAGTATGGTTTCTCTCCCGTGTGGATAGTCCGATGGGTCTTCAAGGTATGTTTGCTCTTGAATTTGTTATCGCAGAGGTCACAAGCAAATGGTCTTTCACCGGTATGACTTCGCTCGTGCAACTCGAGGTGACTTGCGGTCTTGAAGGACTTGGAGCAATATTTGCAAATCCATGCGTTGTCCTTAGAATGCACTCTTGAATTTGCTGCTTGCTGGTTAGTGTCTGTGTCCTTCTCTTGCTTGCATGTCATTTCCAGATCATCCAGTGCCCGATCTTCACTGCAGTTCTCCAACTCCTTATTTGGTAAGTCTCCATCAAGACCACCCGAGGAAGATGTCGAGCTTGGTTCTTCATTGTCAACTTTCTTCCCATCTAGACTGACTTGCTTGGAGAAGTCTCCAACAGGTCCATCGCAGACGTTTGATCTCTCTGTGTGTCCCACCCTCAAACAAACTTTCTTGATCCCTTGTTTTGTTTCGCTGGTCACTTTGCAAGAACCTTCGTGTTTGGTGAGGTCCTTTCTTTGCCAGAAGCCTTTTTGGCAAATGTCACAGACAAAACTTTTCTCTCCGGTGTGGACCCTCTTGTGCCATGTTAACGTGCTTTTGGCAGCGAAGGCTTTGTCGCAAATGTCGCAAACAAACGGTCTCTCTCCTGTATGAGTTCGTTCATGCTCTCTCAGATGACCGGCATTGTAGAAGCCTTTGTTGCAAGTTTCGCAGCGAAATGGTCGGACATTGTCATGGTCCATCTTATGCCTCCGAAGCGTAGATCGAAATCTAAATGTTTCATCGCAAATGTCACACTCAAATGGCTTCTCGCCTGTGTGGATTCTACTGTGCGTCTTCAAGGCACTGTTGAGTTTAAATTTTTTATCACAGAAGTCGCAGGCAAATGGTCGTTCGTCGCTGTGGCTGGTCTCGTGCGACTTGAGGTGGCTGGGTGTCTTGAAGGACTTGGAGCACACTTCGCAAAGGAAAAGTCGTTTCTTAGATTGGGCACTGGGTTTCTTTTGGTGCTGGCCGTCGGCTGCCCTCTCGTTCTGATGTGTTGTTTGCTTGTCATCTGTTGAACTACCTTCATTTGAGTTCAGCTGCTTCTGTTGCGAGTTGCCTTCGGGAAGAGATGCCATGTTGTTGTCCTTCTCAGGTATGGACCATTCGTCTGGGCTGAAGAATGCTGTGCAGACTCACGAAATGTTTGGCTTGTTCTTCAATGGGACACTCTAAATTTCAATCGGTCGGTTGCTGGCTCAAGTCAAACTGTCGGTAGATCATCCAATAACTCTCTGCAAAAAAAATATAAACAATAAAATCTGAGACAGAATTCAAATAACATTTTTAAAAATCACTGCAACAAAATTGGAGTAAAATAAAAAAAATTCCTCTAACTTTGTAATGAATCAGTATTATCAGTAAAACTAAAAATTTACAGACGAGAATATTTAGAAACAAAATTTGGCTGGCAGACTTTTGAGTCCTGTGAAATTAGGGTTAAATTATTTGGTGATTGTGTAGTGTAGGGCCCCTCTTTAGTTTTGATCACATTGAGTCAAGGGTGTATTTTATCATTTTTATCATTCCAAAATGACTTTTTCAACCAAAAACCGAAAAATACACATCTGAGAAAGGTGGGACTTTTCCATCACTTTAAAGAGGGCCTAAAAGTGGATGTTTGTTCTGTTAGGCGCAGTAAAAAAAATAACATGTTAAGCATCCCCACCTGCTTCCATTTTGGCGGTTGCTGGATTTAGTGGGTTTTTTTTAAAAAAGCAAAAATGTTGACCGATCCATCGCAAAAACAAATACTTGCACGCTAAACCTTGTTTTGTAATTCTTGTAAAACCGTGCTTGAAAACTGTTAAAAACACTGCTAATATGTTTAATTCTCTTGTCCAGCATGTCCGTTTCATTTTTTGTATCTTTCCTTTGAACAGTGTAAAAAATGGTTGTCGGCTATCTTGAAAATAAAAAAGCCCCGCCTCCTCCTTTGTTTTCAAAAACCTGGACGGTAAACATGTTAAAATTAGGTGGCGTACCGGTAAGTTGTGGCGTAGCAACTGAAAATGACATATTTTAGCAGCAAATCGGAACTGTCGTGGGGCCCGTTATTGCACAACTTATCAAGGTTGATACAAGACAGAGTCTCAACTTTATGTTTGAAGTAAATGAATTTCTATTTTACTCATAACATAATTTTTAGAGTTACCGAATGATTCCGAAGAAAGTCGGACAAAATAATTTCCAAAATGGCGGGCTGAGGTGATCCAACGACTGTTTTGTGAAAGAACAAATTCACACACAAACAGCCATCGTAAATATTGTTTTTCTCGTCCAAGGTGTTTATACTTAAAACGTTGTGCAGCTACGCCAAGTTTCGTGAAATCCATCGTAAGTTCTTATAACATTTTTTGTTGCGTAAGTCTTACGCATGGCGCAAGCAACGCACTTTTTCGTGAAATTGGCTGCAGGGCCCGTCCGGCCGTAACTACACAATAGCTCACAAAGGCCGCCTTGTCATTGAACTTGAACATGATGTTGAACACGGCGGTGGGAAAAGGTTTAATTTCGTTTGTAATTCCTTACATTAATGCCACGAACATTTCACCCCAGTATTTCATATGTATTATCTTGACATGATCAGGTACCTAGGTGCTGGTTGAAAATCCCAGAGATGTCACTCAATGTGGTGAAATAAACAACAATTTCGCTCACCCGGCCTGGTTCACAGAAATATTTAGTACCGTCCTTCTGTTCCGTCATCGTTGGCTGTCGACTGAGGGCGCTATTTTTCATTTCTCAACAGGCTATGGTTGTCTCATCAATTTTTCAAATGTACAATTTTTGTCGAATTTCCTAATTCAGTATTTTTGTCACGGACTTCAAAATCCCTGGGGTTTTACTAAAGGTGTTGCTTCAAATAACTTGGAACAGTTCTATTTTCCTTCCCATAAAAAACAATGTGTTAAAAAGACACCCCCCAAAAAAATGACCTTTTTTTACACTTCAAAATAATACATATCAAAACAAACAAAACAAAACACACTACCACATGCAAATTAATTAATATTTTCACACATGATGTAACAAAAACAAAAAACTCTAACACAAAAACAGGAATCTGAACAAATATAGTAAAACAGAAACACCAAAGAAAAATAATGATTCCAAATATAATTTCTTAATGACTTCAAAATATTTATTTGAAATTCAAAGGAATAAATGATTTAGGATTAATTAAACATTTTTTTTTTCTTAATGTGGAAGATACAAGTGCAGTTTGACAAAGGCTTTACTTAAATTAGGTTGACTTTATTTCCGAGTTAGAAATTTGGGATATTGTTTTCTGCAACAAAATCTAAAATGAAATTATAAAGGGAATAAATGTGTGCTTAATTGGGAGGTGTTAAACACCATGTTTAAGACTGGTTGAGGTCTGGAATGCTGATAATTAGCCAAGGCGAAGCTGAGGGTAATTATCAGCATTCCATACTCCAACCGGTCTTAAACACAGTGTTTAATACTGACCATGCACATATTTATTCCATCCATAAATACGTTTTGGTCAGAAAAATCAAAACTGCTCAGTCCAAAAGTCAAAACAAATCAAAAATTAAAAAAAACCAATGATTTTGTTCACTTTTACTGTCTGTTTTTCTAAACACCCCTCCAGCTAAATGGAGTGTCCAGCTCGCAAGTAAGATAAGTTCTCAAATTATTAAGGTTCCAAGCTCTTGCAATAGACAATAACCAGCACAGCTATACCTCCTTGCATCCTGGTTGCCTGAAATCATTGCCTGGCTGCACTTCCTTCAACTTGAAGGCCATTTGAGGTGAAGACACAATTCGGCCTGTTGTCTCATATCCATGGCTTTCAAGTTGAAGGAAGAGCAGCCAGGCAATGATTTCAGGCAACCAGGATGCAAGGAAGGAGCTGTGCTGGTTATTGTATATTCCAAAGCTTGGAACGGTAATAAATTGAGGACACCATGAACAAGTGCTTACATAATCGCAATGCTTAGGTAGCTCCACATTAACCCTTACCCTACTAGACCCTCCAACGCATGCCAATATGTGCCTCAAGAAAATCTCCTATGTTTTTTGCATGGCCCTCCAATATCTGCCATGTCATTTCAAGGGCAACTGGACAGGCACTCCAATACATGCCACAGAGAACAATGAGAGTCCTCTGATAACAAAGTGAGTGCCCCCAGCTGGTCAGTATCAGGCACCCTCCAGGGCCTCCAACTCCTGCCAATTGGAGCCTTCACTGTTAAGACAAACTATCTGCCAATAAACTGCAGCTGGAGGGCATTGGCATAACCAACTGACATGCAGTAAACTACCCTCAGAGAGTAAGGGTTAATGAAGTTTGCATGATCTATTCAGATTAGCCATGACATGATTGTGATAAAATACATCTCGACCACCCTTATTTTATTTCTGATAAAATTGACTGTAATAAAAAAAAAAGTTTTTTCCTCACCCTATGTTTTCTGTTTTCTCAAAATGTATAGTTATCACTGAGCGAAATATTTCACACTGATTAGTTGTTCTGCAACATGCTACTGAAAGGTAGAGTACGTGTACATAGATCATTTGCATCTACATCCAAAAAGTAACTGACAAAATTATTGTTGGAAACCTTACTTTGGTTTAAAGATGGGGATGGCAATAAACTCCCTGTGAAATTATTCCTTCTGGCATGCTGTCATTTTGATGAAAACGGTAAAAAAAAAAAAAAGGTATTTCCAAAGATGTGTCAAGTGACACATTTTTGAAAACTTTGCTGCACGCATGGTTGCTATTTTTCGTCGGTTCTGTGCCTGACATTGCATAGATGCAATCGGCTGAATGAGAACGTGTCCCAGATGCTGATTTGGGGCGCAATTCAAAACATGACTCAGCAACTTATGGAATAAAACCAAGATCCTAGAATATTGTTTTCTAGGAATATACAGCATTCACTGAGCTAAAACTTCATCAGGTTAGTTGTTCAGCACCCGTCTTCAGATTTTGAGCACTTTTGTTGCTACAAACAAAATAATGCACAACTGACAAATGATCTACCCTACCTTTAAAGATTTTGGAAAATTTGTTGCCCTAAACAAAAAAAAGGCACAAAAACCAACTGATCCTATGTATCTTTTAATCCAATTATACAATAAATTTTATTGGCGACTATCTTCCATCAGACAGTGATCACTTTGAAATTCAAAAGGTCAAAGAATAATAACTAATAAATAGATGCGACTATTCATCATCTCCGTGGGGGAGTGTGGCCTAGTTTGTGACTCATGATCAGAGGGTCAGAGGTTCAAATCCAGCTGCTGGCCATACGTTGTGTCCTTGGGCAAGCCACTTCACCCTCACTTGCCTCTCTCCACCCAGGAGTATAAATGGGTACCGACATTAGCAGGGTAGTAACCTGGGATGGACTAGCATCCCATCCAGGGGGAATAGAAATATTCCTACGAATCCTGCCACTGACCAATTGTGTCCTTGGGCAAGCCACTTCACCCCACTTGCCTCTCTCCACCCAGGAGTAAAATGGTACCGGCATTAGCTGGGGAGTAACCTGCGATGGACTGGCATCCCATCCAGGGGGAATAGAAATATTCTCAGTGGTTTCATGCTGCTGAAACCGGAGATGAATACCGGCCTGATGGCCACATTGGCTCGTGACAGACTTTACTTAGTCTTCTGTTTTGCCCCTTTCCTTGGTCTAGCGTTGGAGTCTTTACTCCTGCTTCGGTTCTTGTTTTTGACGTTAGCCGTTGCGTAGTAGTGCTGGCCGGTCTTCTTAGGCTGCGCACTCCTCTCAGTTCGCCTCCGCTGGTGGTAAAGAAGAGGGAAATGAATTTCTTTGGTGGTGCTTGGAACATCAGAAGGAAATTTATCAGGTAAAAATGGGTAGATTTATTAAGCACAAATACAGCATGTAGATCTACCTAAAAAACCTGCGATATTCGATGTATCGAATATTCCTCCATATTAGTTTTCCGATACATCAAATTTTTGAAAATTCTGATATCGATGGTGCTTAGCGTGCATGCATTGTGTCTCCCCAAAAAAGGACAAATAGGTACTTTTACTTTGAATCACATTTTTGGTGGCTCGGACTAGAACTTGGGACTCGGACTGGAACTTGATGCTTCGGACTCGCACGTGCAACTTTGACTCAATGTAAGCATGGCAAGTAACTCAGACTCTTTTATAATTGAAACTTAAAGACTTCTTCCTATTTTTTGTGAATTTTTCTTTTTTTTACATATAAAGTTTTGATGCGTCGTTTTCTGTAGTTACACAACCAAGGCAAAACCACTACGCCACTCTCTACGTGCGTAACAGTAAAACTGTTTCCAATTGATTATTTTATCAGACTTTTTCTTGAATTTTTAAGAACTCAGACTCTACATTTGTGACTCGTACTTGGACTCCACTTGGACTCAGACCCAACATTAACCCTAACCCCCTAAGGCTTACACAGTACTACAAAAATTATGTATGCAGTACCCAAAAAATTAAAATAAAACAATTCTGCTTCCGGTTGCCCTAAATACCCTTTTCTGACAGCCCCTACCCTAAAATGAGAAACAAACACCCAAAACCATCAATTAAATGACTGAATTTTACCCTTGACTACACACAGACGCCTCCATATGATTGTACACCAAAAATTGGACGTATATGCTGAAGTACTGCATACTACAGATTACTACTAGTAGTATCTTGAAGTTTTTGGTGAGGTTAGGGTTAAGGACTTGGACGGACTTGAGGTTTGAGGAGATGAGTACAATTCTGTTTCTTACCTCTTTGGAACCGAGACCCTTATTCTTCTTGGCTTTCCTTCCTTCTTCCTCGTCATCATCTGCCGTTTCAAAGTATCGTTTCCTCATCTTGGCTTTCTTGTCCAGTTCCGTCTCCTCAAATTTGTCGAGTCTGAGGAAGGAGCGTCCAGCTGAAATAGTTGACAAAATGGTCCACTTATTTTTTTAACGCTGCTTTTTTGGGTGTAATTTTCTGCAAGTCAGTTTAATTTACCAATGCACTGTAGCAGAGCGCATTTGAGGATGCTTCAACTCCGCACAATACAGGTTGTCCCCAAAAACGGTAACCCACACTCAAGAGAGTTAAACCGAGTCAAATCTGGTGACTTGCGAGGTCATTCCACATTACTCTGTCCCGAAAAAGTGTCCATAAGTGATTCCTGAAGGCAATGTGTCTTTGGGCTGGGGTTTCACTTTGTGCCAACCAAAGATGCCAGCAGCCGATTTCACAAAACAGTGCGTAGCTTACGCCATGCGTAGCACTTATGCAACAAATTTGTTGCGCAGCTGCGCAATAAACTTACGATCAATTTCACGAAACTTGGCGTAGCCGCGCAATGTTTTACATAATTTAAAGGTCTTGGATGAGGATAATAACAGCTTTTTCAACAGCTGTTTGTCTACTATTTCGTTCATTCACGAAACACTCGTTGAATCACCTCCGTCCGCCATTTTGAAATTAATTTTGTCTGACTTTCTTTAGAATCATGCGGCAATTCTAAGGAATTTTGTCACAGGTAAACTAGCAATTCATTTACTTGAACCAAAAAGCTGAGTGTCTTGTATCAATCTTGATAAGTTGTGCAATTACAGGCTCCACGACAATCACGATTTGCTGGTAAAATGGGTCATTTTCAGGCGCTATGCCACAACTTACACCACCTAAAATGATTGCGCAAGTTACGCCATAATTTATTGCGCAAGTCACAGACTTATACACTATGAAACTATCATGAAATTGTCACAACTAAAATCTTATCTGCCAGTCAGCATTGGTACTGACTTGGGAAAGGGAGGGCCTGTAGATCTCACTTCAGAATTGTTTACTTTAAACTGTTTACTGCCAGCGAGTTCGGGACATAAGACTTGGCACGGTGGTAGATATTGGAAGGCAGTGAAAAAAAAAAATAGGTACTGGTAAGTCGCGTTTTTGGCAAATATTGAAATAACTGGATTTGTAGATTAAACAGTTTGCATCCTCAACCATTGTAAAGTAAAACAAAGTCTCATTTTAAAGTTTGTGTTCTGATATTTTGGGAAAATTGCAAGCGGATTTTCTGGGTTTTTTTCTGTTTAATTTAAAGGCATATAGATCATTTTGTCGTGTCCGTACAACAAGGTCGTATCTCCTAAAATGGCGTGTGACGTCATCTGCGTGATGTGCGAGTTTTCAATGTCAAAAGGTCGTATCTTGCTTAAAATAACCCGGACGTACACACAAAGTCAATGGACATCGCGATACGCAAGATACAACCTTGTTGCATGGAGCGTATTAGTGCAAGATACGACTTTGTTGCAGAATGGAGTTACGACCTTGTTGTACTGACGCGATGATTTGCATTTATCCCAAAAGTAACCAACCAACTTATTATCAAAGGCTTACTAAGATTAAAGATCGCACTGGTACTAAACACCACATGAAATTATTCCATCTGGCTTGCTGTCATTTAAAACAAATCAAGAAATGTTGGGGATTGCTAATGATCAGTCGGTCGACTGATTTTTGGACTTCTATTGATCATGATCAAAGGGTGTGCATGGATTTTCACGTCACAAAGTGTAATATCCACTGAGCTGAAACTTCAACAGGTTAGGTTTTGAACATTCTTCTTTTGGATTGTGAGTGGCGACATTATTGGAAACGCACAAAATGCATGAAAAGCAAAGGATCCTAGATGCCTTTAAACGTGTAAACATCCAAAATCCAGTCTTATCGAAACTTTGATTACAACACAATTCTGTTTACCTGGTTTCCGTTTCTTTGTCTTTTTCTCGGCGCTCCCTCCTGCTTTTCCGGACTCCTTGCGTTTCTTCGCGGCCTGCACGCTGGCCAGCATCCTTTGATTGTCCCGGCTGAGGAAAGCATTCACTCCGAACGCGGTCACTCCGATATTCGCTGCCTCCGAGCTCGGCGCGTTCGACTTATACTTGGCTATCATTTTCTCCATGGAGGGAATTTTGAGTTTCCGGCTCCTCACTTTAGCTTTTTTCCTGTCGTTCAAGGGAGTCGCTTCGGAGTCTTTGACACTCGGGTCGTGTTCGGAATGTTCCGTGTCAGCCTCTTCACTGCTGGCCTCTAGGGGGCTCTCAGCCTCCTCTCCGCTACCTGCCACAAGAGGGCTCTCTGCTCTGCTGCCATCGGGCTGCAGATCGTCGCCGGTGAAGTCGACCCCTACACTGATGCCACTGAAATCTTGCTGGACTGACGAGACTGTTTGACTATCCGTGATGTCTTTGGATTGTTCGGCTGTGGTGTTTTCATTCACTGTCACGCCTGAAGTAGGTTCTGTGCTGGAGTACGTTTCCGGAGGTCCAACAGTCTTGTAGGCATCATCGGCGTCTTGCACCTTAGCCTTATCAATCACTTCTTTCTTCTCAACTTCTGGATCCTGTAAAAATAAAGACAAATCATCAGCAATATGTCCCTACATCTTCAAGTTTGGACTCGTTGCACTTGCATGCCCTCAATGGTTATAAAGGGAGAATTGGGACACAAACGTGCATTTTGAAGGACTTCATTACAAAAATAACATTGCATGGCTCTCTAAGTCTTACGGCTCAGATTTTGGAATACTCACCACTTCACAATTTGGAGGTTTGACGAAGAACGGGATTTTCCCTCGCTGCCAGTCGTTCAAAACCATTTTGGCAACGGTACGGATGTCAGGCTCTGCACCCTAGGAACGTGCAAGAAAATAACAAAAATCATGATTGATGCACAAAGGCTGTGTGATGCCTTTTCTCTCTAATTACACAATCTAAATTGAACCATTTACAAATAATGACTGTTTATGAGTGCATTGGTGAGAATATTTTCATGAGTTGAAAGATTGAATGTTCCATTCAACGAGGCGAAGCTGAGTTGAATGGAACATTCCATCTTTCAACGAATAGAAATATTTCTCACCATTGTACGAATGCAAAACATTCATTATTTGTTTTATATAACATCCAAGTAGATCTTTGTCATTCGATTGGAGGATAAAACTTTAAGACCAAACAAAACACACAAAATTGTATCATATCCACAACTTTTTTTCAGCTTGTTAAAGGCTTACAAAGGTTTAAAAGTCAAATCATTGACAATAATGAAACTTGACAGTGTAATTTCTTAAAATAATGCAAACAAAAACATCATGGAAACTGCATCAACTTCACAGGCTGAAAGCTAAGCATTCTTTCAGCAAAACGATAACAAATAACATAGGGATGTGTGTGAATTGTTTTCGTTTTGCTGAAAAAAGGCACCTTTTTTGTGATCCGTGGACAGAAATTTAAAATGGTGGTTGTGTTTAAAATCCCGCAACTTGAAAATTATATGAGTGATTTGAATGATTCTTGCACTAAAAGAAGACTTGTGAATTGGGCTTTCATATCCTAGATGTTGAAAGTGCTACATGCAGAACTTCACTGAAACAATAGTCCCGACATTTGGGTTTTATCTTTTTGTTGACTCACTCTGTATTGATGATCAAATATTCAAGAATTTGATACGTTTAGGAGATCCCTACTTGATTCTGCTTAATTGTCAAGGTACGTGACATGAACGTAACAGTAATTTACATAGATAATTTAACAAACATTATCACATGATGTTGGTCTTTTTTTTTCACTTGTCATGCCATAAAACTGACTTCGAAAAGACACTTCATAACTTACGATGACCCACAGACACGTCTTAACTAACACGCCGTTGTCAAGGTACTTACGATGAGTTCAACTCATCGTAAGTTTCGTGAAATCGAATTTAAGAAGCATTGTAAGTTGCGATGGGTAATTCTTCGTAACTTGAGTTATGATCGACCGTAGTGCTTCGTGAAATCGACCCCAGGGTTCTGACCTTTAGAAGCTTGCCAGTTCTCTGGGCAACTTTTTCCAGGAAGTCGGTGGGATCGGTCCAGTCGGTCAGTCGGTAGGTCTTCCTGATGTAGTCTAGTTTGACCCGATCGAGAAGGACGGGGATGTAATCTTCAGGGGACTCGCACCGCTCAACACGAACCTTGGGAAAAATTGAGACTGCATTTTTATTCAGGATTCAAGTACAAAAATAGACATAACAATACTAACGCATGCTGGCAGTTTGTATTCATGTACAGGCAGTTAGTAAGGACAATTTTCAGTGACGGCCTTGATTGTCCATCTGGCAGTTCTCAGTTGAATGGGGAGTTTGGGTTCAATGGGGAGTTTGGATGAGACGCGGGCCTAGTCTTGATGCATTCCTCTAGCCACTGCAGCAAGTATAATCATCAATAGTAGACCTAATTCTACTGGAGCTAAGCTCCCAGAGACCTCGTAAATATCCATATTGGAAAGGATTTTTTTTTAGACATCGGCTTTCTCTCCCCAGACCACCTTTAACGTTTGGTTGAGATTGTACTGGAGCTGAGCTCTCCAGAGACCTCGTAAATATCCATATTGGAAAGGATTTTTTTGATGTAGGCTTTCTCTCCACAGACCACCTTTCAAGTTTGTTTGAGATTGTACTAGACCTGAGCTCTCCAGAGACCTCGTAAATATCCATATTGGAAAGGATTTTTTTGACGTCGGCCTTCTCTCCACAGACCATCTTTCAAGTTTGGTTGAGATTTACAGTCAAATGGAACACACACACACGGACAAACACAGAAATACGTGATGGCACTATCCCCTGTCTGGTTGGAAGTTTATTTTCCTGCGGTACGAAGTATAGCAGGAAAAATTTGTCTGTATGTTACTCACAAGCTTGACGCTTGAGTGAACAGGATGAAGAATAGGGTTAATTTGAATAGAATGTTATTGAGCACGTACTAGAGTAAAGGGCGTGTGTGTGGCCGTGGTATGGCCATTCTAGCCTGCGTCCACCATGCGCTAGGTCGGTATTTTTCATAACGACCATAATACATGGTACATTTCATTTAAAAGAAGATGAGACACTTTGAGTATGTATACGTACCAGTAAGTTATGCATTCAAGGATTACACAATGTATAAGGGACCGGCCACAAGGTTTTCCAGAGTTTTACCTCATAGAGTTTTATCTCTGTGTAATGGTTGTGTTGATTGTATTTCTTGTTCCTCTATAATGACCCCTTTCTCTGGTTGTTTATTCACTACAAACCTTGCATTTACCTTGTTATTTATTCATGTGACTTGAGTGAAGTCTACTCAGTGTGACTCGAGACAAGGCTATACAAAGTATTGATTTTTCTAGTGGAGCCAAAAATAGTATTGATTTATGGAGCTGTGATTTTGAACTTGTATTTTGTGAATATTTCTTAGTCAAGGAAAATGAACATTATGTTTAGATTTTAAAGAAGAATTATGCTTATCTTGATTAGAAATGTGTATTATCAAATTATTTGTCATCATAGGTTTGGCTTTAGATCACTTTTGTGGATTGTTCACTTGACGTGAACTGCACGTTGTTAATTCACAGCTCCCAAACCATGCGGTCGCGGCAAGGCCCAGGCTAGGCAGTGCCTGCCCGATCTTTACAGGTAAATGTATTGTACTTTTTAGGTCATTTTTGAATGCAATTATTTCACCAAAAATCCAGATGATTATTACCTATGTGCCCTTTATTGTATCAGCAAATTATTATAGATTAATATGGTGGTAGTTTTGGAGAATGTAATGAAGTTTTTGGAGAGATTTTTGCTGTAAGATTTAGGGAGCACTGTGACCAAATGCACGAGGGTTAGCAACCCATGTTTGCACTGATGGCACACACAGTGTGACCATGTGCAGTGCGCGTGCGTGAGCAGTACATGTATTGTGATATGTAACTTACAGTAGTTTGTGGTTTAAGAGTGATTTTATTTGGACGTAGGCCTATATTGCATTATTGGGCACTTAATTGTCTGGAGATCAGTTTATAGAAATGCTTACAACTGTCACTGTCATATAGTTTTGGAAAGTTCATGTAAGTTGGTGATCATATTGTGCATTTTAGGGACGGATGTGGGTGCTTGCGGTGTGTGGTAGTGTGTGCGAGTGTTGGTCAGTCAGTGCGCAGGGCCGGCCTGTCTGTTTGTGATTCCATCCTTGGGTGCTCGATGCGGTCACCATACTTGCATATAGGCTTTTCACTCTTGGTAATTAACTGGGTAATGTGTGTACATCTTTTTAATACATGTACGCTTATTATTTCATGAGTTACACATGTACATTGTTTGTATTTTGAAATGAAACTTATGAGTGCCTGCCCGATCTTTACAGGTGGCCCCACCTGGGCCGATTCAGTCTAAATAAACAGTCAGAGCAAGGGAGATCCAGTTTCCGTGTCAGCACTCACTCCAACAAAGAACCTGCGTGCCCCCCTCTTCCCTTACTCCAGAACCAGACCAGAGCCCCCCTTCCCTGAAGTCCCCGCGTTAGAAGGCCCCTCACAAGCGTAGTCGGCAGGATGGTTGGAGTTGAGCCCATGCTGAGCACCTGATAAGACTGAGGAGAGCTACTGGATCTCCCTTGCTCTAATGTGAGAGATTCAACAGAACCTTACACAACATGCTTGCTGCCCTGCCTGAGAAGAAGAAGAAAAAGTGGCCAGAGTATCTGCCTGCGCTCGTATATGCCTACAACAATTCTAAGAATTCCACTACAGGGGTGGAGCCAATTTTTCTTGATGTTCGGTAGAAATGGCCGTTTTCCACATGGCTTGGTCTTAGGCGTGGAAGCCTCCCCCAAGAGTGGTAGAACCCTTGGATCTTATGTCTCAAGACACCAGAAGGTCCTAAAGGAAGCTCGGAGAATTGCAAGTCGCAACACTGAACTTGCAGCGGCAGCTCGACAGGCCCGACAAGCTCGCCACAGTTTTGAGAAACCACTCGAAGTGGGCCATTATGTTCTGGTGCGCCAACATGGACTCAGAGGCCGATCCAAGATTGCAGATCATTGGCTCGACGAACCACACCTGGTAATCAAACGGCCATTCCCAGATCGCCCAGTGTATGTGGTGCGGAGCCACCTTGGTCAAGAAAGAGTCGTACACAGAACAGCGCTCAAACACTGTCCTTGGCTCCCTGAAAACCGACCTGTTGAGTCGTCATCAGACAGAGCAAGTGATTCTGAGACCGACTCTTCGTCCTGCCCCAGGGCCTATATGCTCCGTCCCCGTGCTACTACCATCAAGCCAGGTCAGCTGCCAATCGGTGTGGAAAATGCTCCTTCCTCCGATGAGTCTGATCGACCCCAACCACAGGTTAAAGAGGAGGAAGAGGTGGTACCAGAGGAGAGTCCCGAACCTTCAGCAGTAGATACTGCCCAGAATGGGTCTACTTCTGCAGCTCTGCCCAGGCGGTATCCTGTTCGGAGCACACGAGGAGTGTTGCCAGATCGTTTTTAGTAATTTGTTGCTATGTTGGAAAGCGTTTTCGCATTTTCTCTTGTTCGATTATTGATGCTGTGCATCCCCAAGGAGAGCTTAGTGGTCCACTGTTTGATCCAGGTTCTCTGGCCTTTGGTTACTGACCCTTCTGTTCAGATCCCCATCATCGAGGACGATGATGACTAGGCGTGGAAGAGTTGTAATGGTTGTGTTGATTGTATTTCTTGTTCCTCTATAATGACCCCTTTCTCTGGTTGTTTATTCACTACAAACCTTGCATTTACCTTATTCATGTGACTTGAGTGAAGTCTACTCAGTGTGACTCGAGACAAGGCAATACAAAGTATTGATTTTTCTAGTGGAGCCAAAAATAGTATTGATTTATGGAGCTGTGATTTTGAACTTGTATTTTGTGAATATTTCTTAGTCAAGGAAAATGAACATTATGTTTAGATTTTAAAGAAGAATTATGCTTATCTTGATTAGAAATGTGTATTATCAAATTATTTGTCATCATAGGTTTGGCTTTAGATCACTTTTGTGGATTGTTCACTTGACGTGAACTGCACGTTGTTAATTCACAGCTCCCAAACCATGCGGTCGCGGCAAGGCCTAGGCTAGGCAGTGCCTGCCCGATCTTTACAGGTAAATGTATTGTACTTTTTAGGTCATTTTTGAATGCAATTATTTCACCAAAAATCCAGATGATTATTACCTATGTGCCCTTTATTGTATCAGCAAATTATTATAGATTAATATGGTGGTAGTTTTGGAGAATGTAATGAAGTTTTTGGAGAGATTTTTGCTGTAAGATTTAGGGAGCACTGTGACCAAATGCACGAGGGTTAGCAACCCATGTTTGCACTGATGGCACACACAGTGTGACCATGTGCAGTGCGCGTGCGTGAGCAGTACATGTATTGTGATATGTAACTTACAGTAGTTTGTGGTTTAAGAGTGATTTTATTTGGACGTAGGCCTATATTGCATTATTGGGCACTTAATTGTCTGGAGATCAGTTTATAGAAATGCTTACAACTGTCACTGTCATATAGTTTTGGAAAGTTCATGTAAGTTGGTGATCATATTGTGCATTTTAGGGACGGATGTGGGTGCTTGCGGTGTGTGGTAGTGTGTGCGAGTGTTGGTCAGTCAGTGCGCAGGGCCGGCCTGTCTGTTTGTGATTCCATCCTTGGGTGCTCGATGCGGTCACCATACTTGCATATAGGCTTTTCACTCTTGGTAATTAACTGGGTAATGTGTGTACATCTTTCTAATACATGTACGCTTATTATTTCATGAGTTACACTTGTACATTGTTTGTATTTTGAAATGAAACTTATGAGTGCCTGCCCGATCTTTACAGGTGGCCCCACCTGGGCCGATTCAGTCTGAATAAACAGTCAGAGCAAGGGAGATCCAGTTTCCGTGTCAGCACTCACTCCAACAAAGAACCTGCGTGCCCCCCTCTTCCCTTACTCCAGAACCAGACCAGAGCCCCCCTTCCCTGAAGTCCCCGCAAGAGAAGGCCCCTCACATCTGGTTTTTCACCCTGGGCAAAGTCGGTTATAGAGCGAAATCGTAGATCTATACTAATACAGTATTAATTAAAATTTAAGTTACAGCAGCGTCATTGAAAGTGAGCCATATACGAAGACCTCAATCGTGGAAAAAGAGCTTCCATCGAATGTTTTTGTTATAACAATGTATACAGCATTTTGAATGTAAACATGTGATTTTTGAACTGTATTAATGAACTGAAAATAAATCAGCCGACGCTAGCCATGGCGACAGGCTACATGCAACTAATTGTGATGTTTGCATGTATAATTATTGAGTGGTGAAAGGAATTATAGCTAGCGCAAGTAGTGCGCATAGAACAGGCGCCAGGGGGATAATTAACGGCCATCTGGAACTCACCACTCCTTTCAAGACAATCTCCGCATCGGTGTCCCCCGTCGGATAGACCACCCCGGGGCAATCGATCAGAAAGATACGCTTCATCAGTGTGATGTACTGCCAGACTTTGGTCTCGCCGGGTACCGGCGCTACCTTGCAGACCTTCTTGGCCCGCAGTGTGTTGATAACAGAGCTCTTGCCGACGTTTGGGTAACCGATGAAGCCCACGCTGATCTGTTTCTTGTCAATATGGAGCTGTTGAAGACAAATTGAAAGATAAAATAAATAGGACATTGAAGTTACACATCTGTCTGGAGATCCCAAAAATGTAAAGTTTGTCTTTTAAAGGTCTGTGTATTAAACAGAAAAACATATATCTATTCTCAATAAGATTGTAGTATCCATTTCACAAACTGAACACACATTTTCCATTTGAAACAATTCTTGAATGTGAAATTCATGTTTACAATAACAAAAACAATTTAACCATGTAAGGCCAAAAAAAGCGCTCCGGTTTCTGGTCTGCGTGCGCGTAGTTGTAGCCATGTGCGTCGGTAAAAAAAAAATGTTGATCCCTTAAAACTCTCAAAATATCCTTCAGAGTGCAGCTTGAGGTGACCTCTGTAAAACCATAAGGCTTGAGAAGCATACTGAGCTAATTAAAAAGCGTTTACAGGTTCCAGATACACGACCATCGCTCCGTCAGTTTGGCTTCGAGACGCACAATTACAAAATTACAACACCGTCTACAAATGGTGCCCGACTTAATTTAGTGCAAAAATATATGGGAGCCCAGAGAGGCAACATAAAGCTTATACTCGATCTTAACCCCATCTAAAAACACGTTAAAATTGTGCAGCAGCAGGATTCCAGTCAACCCTGGCTTGCAAGCCAGGGGGATAAAAATGTATATCTACCTTGCCAAACTGTCGCAGGAGTTGTATGAGTGCGCCTTTGCCAAATGGGTTCTTGACGCTTGCGTGAAACGCAAGCGTAGGATATTCGGCAGAGAGGATGGCCACCCAACGTTTCTGTGGGAAAAACGATTCAAATATTTCGTTTTTATTAAAAAAATAATTAGGGAAAAGAATTCGCATATGTAAAGCTGTCGGTGGTAGTAACACATAATTAAAGATCAGAATTTTTTTTTTTAAATTTGGCAAAAAATGTATGATTATAATGAAGATGATGTAACAACTTGTTAAAAATATATTAGCACTACAGGGAGAGTCAAAAAGAAGGTGACATAAAAATAACAAAGTTAAAGTACATGTTATTGACTTGTAACTGTGAAAATATCACTTTATTTGCATACTCTATTCCCAAGTTATGTCTATTTTAATAAAAAGATCACAAACTTCAGCTATCCACCACTGATCATTTATCGTTCTACGAACTGATGAATACCCATCAAATACGTAAATGTTTTCCCACCTCCATGAATGAATGAAAACTTGCAAAGGAAAACAGACAAAAATTGCCATCAGTATTTCAGAAAAACAGAAATGACTTGTTCCTCATATTCAAAACACAAAATCTGACAGTAAAAACAATGTTTCGGTCTTGACTCAAATGATTAAAATCTCACTTATAGCTTCCAATGGCATTACATAGACAGCTTTAAAAATAAATTCTTTTAGTAAAACATGCATGACTTCTGATAGCATGGATCAATTTCAGTAATTATATTTTTTTTCCAATGAGTGGAAGAGTGTTCTTTTAAGACATACTTCATTTGTGTATTCAATTTGAATGCTTTTTAAGGGGAAAAAAATCATTAATCCAGGTCACTTTTTTTTTGACTCACCCTGTAGACAAAGGAAAACCTGTAATGCAAGATTGTAATATTTAACTTACTGTGACCCATGTCGGCACAAGATCCACCTTGTTCATTGCGAAGACCAGGTGCTTATGTGGCTTCTCTTTCTTCAAGTAAGTCTCCACAAACTTGGATCTGGTACCCATGGGGTCCCTGGCGTCCAGCACTTGCACCAAGATATCAGACGAGTCAATCACCTGATCAAGATAGAATTTATACACATCTTCATGACAGTTCAAACTACACTCAACCAACAAAGAAAGTCCCCCTTAATACTTTTTTGTCTAACTCAAAAAACTACTGGGCACATCTTGCTCAAATTACGACTGATCAGTACAGAAATTCCTTAGCAATCCAGCCATACTCTTTGTTTGGCCTAAAACAGTGATAATGTGTACACAATTATGCAATTTAGGACAAGGGGTATCGAAAAAAAAGTTTCACTTTTGTGTTCGTGCAAGGTGAGTGTGAACCACAACTTGCACGTATACAAAAGTGCAACTGTTTTCGGTATCATTTGTCATAAATTGCATAAATTCGTACACATTATCACTGTTTTGGGCCAATAAAGAGTATGGCTGGATTGCTAAGGAATTTCTGTACAGATTAGTCGTTATTTGAGCGAGAGGTGCTCAGTAGTTTTCGAGTTAGACAAAAAAGTATTGGAAGGGGGGGGACTTTCTTTTTTGGTTGAGTGTACTTTAGTTAACAGTCGGCTTTGTATTACTTCCATGGGCAATTTTTGTTATTTTGTCACTGGATTTATATCCACTTATAGTTGGTCTGCTGACTCCAAACTTGTTGGAGAATGTAGCTACACTATCCAGGTCTCTGTCCAAAAACATGAGCCTCCATGGCCAAGTACTGCATAATCATCTCATGTTTATTCGCATACAAGGTTGTCGCTGGAAAAAACTTGACCAAGGCTAGCGGAGCCATCTCTCCCCCGCGATGCTGGCAACTGGCGACAAAGCTGCCTACCCTAAAAAATCAATCGCAAGTTCATCGCACAGCCATGAACTGTTTCATGAATTGGCTGCAGGATTTATGGCTGTGGTTTTACACATTACCAAAGACATCTTAACCTTGCGTGGCTACACTGCCACCCTGGACTATACCTTATACAGCTCATTCCATATTCTCTTAGACTGTCCGGCTCCGAAGATCCACTCTCTGACCTCCGGCCTGATTCCTTCGTCCTCCGTTACTAGGTCTTTGTCTTTCTCCTCGTCATATTTATCAGTTGAGTCTTCCACGGTTTTGAGAAGACCCTTCACAAAAAAAAAAGAAATGGATGTGGTTTAGCGCTAGCTCTTTTGGTGTAATTTGGGGGAGTGTGGCGTAGTGGGTAGGGTTCGTGACTCATGATCAGAGGGTCAGGGGTTCGAATCCAGCTGCTGGCCACATGTGTCCTTGGGCAAGCCACTTCACCCTACTTGCCTCTCGCCACCCGCAAGTATAAATGGGTACCGGCATTAGCTGGTGAGTAACCTGCGATGGACTACCATCCCATCCAGGGGGAATAGAAATATCCTCAGTCGTTTCATGCTACTGAAATGACTTTTGAGTGCAAAAGACTAGTAGGACTAGTAGACATAATAGATATACAACCACACAGAGTTTCTTTAGAAATGTGGGATCTTTGTACCTCCATATCTGACACTTTCAGATTGGGCCGCTTTCTTTGTTTCTTGGGACCAAATGTTGATTCAAAGCTCTCTGTGTCTAGAAGGTGAACTCTTGCATTCTGCACGGAAGAGAAAGAAATGAAATGAAAAATGTAGCAGCAATGATTCCAGACTAGGTATTCAACACAACGAACTACAATACTAAATTTACTGTGACTAACGAATGTGTAAGTCCACAAATGAAAATGATTTCCCAACATGAATAGAAAGAAGAATCACTTTCGATGACGCGGGTCACATTGAACCACTGCTGATGCTTAGTGTGTTATACATAGCAAGTCACACTTCACTTAAATAGCAAAGGCACAAAGGCTTACAGTTACTTGGTGCAATAGCAAATGGTATATACCACTATACAGTTGCAGACCACTGAAATAGGCCCAAAATTGCCTAAGCCGATCAAATCCAAATTAGATACTAAAAATTTCTCTCACAAGGAGTTTTGTTGGGGGGGGGAGGGGGATTCCCCACTTAGATCTCAGCCATCGAGTGACGAACAATTATGAAACTCGGCGCATGCATAGAACAACTTAATATGAAACATACCCAAGAAATTTCAGGACTATAGGTTAAAGGGTTCTGGAATTACGACTAATTAATTATTCATATGCACCAATGGTAATTCTGCTTTGTGTACACTACATATTATGGGGACATTCAATTTTACTTTTTCGCTGCGCGCCAACCCATGGTCGGAATTTTATGTTTTTGGTATCAAAAGATGCGCAAGACTCGAGGCTAAAAAGTGAAGAAGTTTTTTGCAAGGGTATCGCCGAAAAAGTTGAGGGATCCCCCTGGCCCGGCTCTTTTAGGGTTAAACCCCCACAAACTACTTTGATGAATGACTTGTGCACCTGAGACAGTTGTGAAAATGTTTCCTGATTTTTTTTTCAATTTTTAAAGAAGGGGTATTTATCATTGGTGCCTATGGGAATTGATTAACTGGTCTGCACCCGCACAGGTCAGGTTGGAAGTACCTTTGCTTTTTCCTGTAGCAGTGTGATAGGAAGCTTGGTTTGTCTCATCACAACTCGATATGGATCCTTCAATACTTTGCCCATCTCATCTTGAAAAGTCTGCAATGCTGACTGTGTGATGACTCGGGTGTTGCCTTTGACAAAAACAAAATGCAAAGTAAGAAAAATGCAAGGATTTCTAATATTTGTGTGATGTTTATTAATAAAAAGTAAAGTATGTCACAAGCTAATGGCCCATCAGGCCAGCGTTATCTCCAGTTTCAGTAACATCAGACGACTGAGAATATTTCTACTCCCCCTGGATGGGATGCTAGTCCATCGCAGGTTACTCCCAGCTGATGCCAGTACCCATTTATACTCCTGGGTGGAGAGAGGGGGGTGAAGTGGCTTGCCCAAGGACACAACATATGACCAGCAGCTGGATTCGAACCCCTGACCCTCTGATCGTGAGTCACGAACCCTAACCACTATGCCACACTCCCTCTGTGATGTTTAATAGTCATGACAATATCCACATATTGACTGCTTCAAGTGGTGTAGTAAAACTAGCCTCCCGAGGTGATCCTTGGAGCGTTCTGTTTTGCCCAAGCAGTAACCGAGGGAAAAGGAACGCCCCATGCAGACTAGTTTTACTACACCTCAATTTATCGCAATCATTTTAGTTGTAGTGTAGCGACTGAAAATGAACTATTTTACTAGCAAATCGCGATCGTCGTGGAGCCTGTCATTACACAAGTTATCAAGGTTGATACAAGACACTCATAGCTTTGTGTTTGCGATAAACGAATCGCTTTTGTGCTCTTGACAGAATTTTCAGATCTGCTGCACGATTCCAAAGAAAGTGTGGCAAAACTCTTTTCAAAATGGCGAGCGGAGGTGATTCAACGACTATTTCATGACCTAACAAACTCATACACAAACAGCTGTCATAAATGCTGTTATTACCCTCATCCAAGATGTTTATATTATTTAAAATGTTACGCAGCTTCGCCACTTTTCGTGAAATCAATCGTTAGTTGATTGCACAGCTTCGCAACAAATTGGTTACGCAAGTCTTACACAGGGCGTAAATTACGCACTGTTTCATGAAATCAGCTGCTGACCAGTTGGGCGATAGTACATGCTTCGAGCGTTTGGGATCTAGCTACTTTCCCGACCTGTTGGAACATCGACCAATGAAAGAAGCAGACTTGGCCTATAAATATGCATGAGGCGTAAAAATGCTGAACGCAAACTATGTCTCCGTTCTTACCAAACCATCGGCGATTAGGATCCACCCTGGCGACAGATCCCGACGGCAATCGGGACTGAAATATAGCTGGCTTGATGATCTTCCCTGCGGCATTCCTAAAAGACAATCATGAATTCGGAACAATGATTAGTAATAAATATTTGATAAAGTATAAGTATTAAAGGTAGAATAGATCACTTGCAGCTATCCAAAAAGTAACCTTCCAAATTATTGTTAAAATTCTTACTTGGTTTAAAGATTACTCCCTACTCTATTTTACTAAGAACCGGACCAAGTCCGCCAAAATCCATCAATCACACTGCTTCCAATGCATGCTTTGCTTTAGGCCTCCAGGCCCAAGTCCATCATACTCCATCAATATTTAGTCACACCAGGCCTGCAGGACCAAGTCCCCCAAAATCCACCAAAATGGGGGATGGATTTTGATAGTTGGGAGGTTAGGGTTAACGGTACTAAACTCTCTGTGAAATTATTCCTTCTGGCATGCTGTCATTTTGAAGAAACCAATAAAAGAAGGTAATTTGCAAAGATGAGTCATTTTTGGAAATTTCTGTTAGTAGTTGGTTTGTAATTGGGCAAATCCGTGAATGGGTGCGGCAAACGTTGGCACGACGCACACGCAGTTGCTATTCATCGGTTCAGTGCGTGACGATGTGCGTGACGATCGGCTGAATGAGAACGTGTCCCGGACGCTGATTTTGGGAGCAATTCAAAACACGACTCGGCAACTCTTGAATTGAAATTGAGATCCTAGAATATTGTTTTCTAAGAATATACAACATTAACTGAGATAAAAAATCATCAGGTTAGTTGTTAAGCACCTGTCTTTATTCTTTTGAGCACTTTTGTTGCTTCAAACGAAACTAATGCACAAATGAAAAATGATCTACTCTAAACCTAAACTTCAATGCAGTATTACCTGGTTGGTTTGCCGCCTTTATACATCTTCAGGCGTTTGATTGTCGCTCTGTCACGCATGTTGTGGCCTCCAGCCCCCTTCAGCCGATCTACGACAAATACAGACTTAACATGTCATTTTTTGTTGAAAATTGTAATTTTTTAACAAAAAAACACATCAAAAGCAAGGTTTCAGCCAAAGGGGTATAATCTGAACATCTTTTGGACATGTAGCCTAAAAAAAAATGACATTTTTGAAACCTTTTTTTTTTCAAAGACAAGCAGACCACAAACGAATGAAAAGAATTGTTGAGGAAAACTTCACTTGGTGTTCAGATATAAATATCTCGACAAACATCAAGAACACATCGACAAACATCAGGAACACAACCCCAAAGTTTGAAGTACATGTATAACTTCATGTTGGTTGTGACAGTAAAGGTTTGGAACTGACTATAGAAATGAGATAAAGTCAAGGCTTAGAAAACTGCCCCGTTGCCCGATGCCGTGCCCTCCTCGCGTGACATTCTCACAATGCCGAGAGTCAATTGTCTACAGATGATTACACACAAGCTGTACTGTCACCTGCCGGGGGGGGGGGGGGGGGGGGGGGGGTGGACATGATTTAGGGAGATTGATTTTCTGAAAGAAGACAGTCAATGGGTTTTTTAACCGAAACAGAAATGGTTGGTGGCTTCGGGCTTCTTCACACTCGGAGGGGGTTGGTGGGGGAGGGGCGGGGGCCGCACAGAGCCAACTATGACTATAGTAGGAACAATGCTAGAAAGAAGTGTTGGGTGCGATTGGTCATTCTGGGATTTTGTTTAAACTAAGTTAAGTCTGCGATATCCTTCAGAATCGACCCACCGTGCAACGCAATTGACCAAACACGCAGATCGACCAATTGTGCCCAACAACTTCATTCTTTCGGACGACGGCTTAGTATAGTCGGACTCCCTATTATCGCGGCATCCCTATTATCGCGGCATGGGAAATTTCTCTTTTTACAGTGTCAAAACTCCTTCAAGTGGCGATTTTTATCCAGTTCACCAGTCATCAAGGATTTTCTACCGAGTTGTATAAAAAGAATGATTAAAAAATGTTGTGTCTTTCGGGACTTTTAACGATTTTAATAAATATTAACGTTTTCCAAAACTTGCAAAATTTTCCCTCACCGTGTCTGCTAAAAGGTACCGTTTATATTTTAACATAACTCTTTAAATGCGCTCTGTCCATGAAAGTTCCATTGTCTGGTTCCCATTCTTCAGCTGCAAATGTAAAATGAAGTCGAACGACGATATTTGCAGCGCGAAATCGTAACAACTTTTACGGGATCAAAATAAGCACCGCGCTTTAGCGAAAATAAAACGGCACACCATGTAAAGTGAATGGCGCCCTCAATCGCAGATCAGTAGACTTGCCTCAGGGATTTGTGTTCTCCTTTCGGGGGAAGGGCAGGGTCTTAAGAAATCATCCTGCAGACATTTTGTCTTTAATCAACTTGAACGTTACAGGGAAAATATCAGACTTTATTCAGGGGGTGTTTTGTACTCCTAGAACTATGAGGCTCCACGTAGTGGAGCCTCATAGGTTCAGAAGCCCGCAAAATTGTTGTCAGCACAAAACACTAATTAAGTACAAAAACGTCCATCCCAAGCAGGCCGTTTTCCACAGAACCGCTGCACAGTTTGCCCCTAAACTCCATACAATACCTCATGACATACTCACGTTATGTGCACCCAACAAACATCGGTGGATTCTGTCTGTTTTTCGGCAAAAATGATGAAAAATATGCCCTTTCTGCACTGAGCCAACCTAACACTTGAAACGAGCACGCGTGCAGAATGATCGCAGTCATTTTCGGTTCGATCGCTCGGAGCGCGCCGCGGGGGGTACGTACTTGCACTTGTACGCATGTGCATACTATCGTTCCGCTCCTACACCATACCCCCCGCGGCGCGCTCCGAGCGATCGAACCGAAAATAACTGCGATCATTCTGCACGCGTGCTCGTTTCAAGTGTTAGGTTGGCTCAGTGCAGAAAGGGCATATTTTTCATCATTTTTGCCGAAAAACAGACAGAATCCACCGATGTTTGTTGGGTGCACATAACGTGAGTATGTCATGAGGTATTGTATGGAGTTTAGGGGCAAACTGTGCAGCGGTTCTGTGGAAAACGGCCTGCTTGGGATGGACGTTTTTGTACTTAATTAGTGTTTTGTGCTGACAACAATTTTGCGGGCTTCTGAACCTATGAGGCTCCACTACGTGGAGCCTCATAGTTCTAGGAGTAGGTGTTTTGGTCAAAGATAAACTATGAACAAAAAAGTTGGGATCATTATAAAAACCACTTCCCGCATACCGCGATAATAGGGAGTCCACCTCCGTTCACACACGCCGCGCATGTCTATTTTCACAGGCATCGTACACGGAATAAACCACACCACCCGTCAGATTTTTTTATATTAATATAAAAAGGAAGAGTTATACTACACATAAGACAGGACAATTCTGGAAGGTTAGTGGGCAATCTCTATTCCGAACGAGAAACGTGATAAGTACCGCGATAATACGGCGTTCCATACTACTACTAGTAGTTACGGCAGTTTGTAATGAATAATGTGAAACCCTAGCCTAGCTGTCTAAGTTCGACGGCTATGCCTATGTAATTTAACGTTATTCAATACGACTGCCGTAACTATAGCCACTTCTTAAATGATTCTTATCTTAATCTTACCCGGATTGGAACTGGATCCAGATGTACTGATCTTGTCCTTCCGTTTCTGTTTTTTAATTGTTTTTGCCATTTTGGAGTTCTGGCAGTTCGATCTGGTGGAAAGTTGAAGCAGAAAAAGCTACCGAGTCCGTCAACAGTTGCCTACGAAATACTGCACAGCATTAAATGCACTACGTACACAACACGTGCAGCATGTCCAATAGCTCACTGGTGCTCTGTAGTTTGTGATCATTAACCACCAAAAATGAACAGTGGGTACCAACGAAAAAAAGTTGCGAAAAGTTCGTCAGGCACCCAGACTCACCTCACCTATACTTTTCGTCCGTAGGGGACGGGGATCTGACTATGTACCAAAACCGAACGAAAATCAAAACAGTGGAAGTGCAGTTCGGAAGTGCTGAAAATTTTGCGAAAATTTGTCTGTAAATCAAGATGAAGAGAAAATTTCCGAGGTCGAAGGTGAAGACAATCATCAAAAAGACCCAGCCGAATGTTCGTTTGGGCAAAAATGCAGATTTATTGGTAGGCAGTTTTATATTTGACCGTGAACCGGTCCCCGATTGTTTACACTGTTTGCCGGCACTGCACTGAACATGCTGAACATTGCACTACATTGAATGTTTTGGAAATGGTTGCCTTGGCGAATCTTCGTGTTGTTCCGCGCTTACGCTTTCGTTGTCACTTCGTATTCAGATGGTAACAGTGGGAATCAGACATTATTGGCAATTCTGGTATACATGTAGGCCTAGGACCTATCGGTATATCGTCTGACCCCTTAAATTTACGCGATCCTGTTTGTACGCACTCGCCTTTAATTTGCATTGGCAATGCGCGCGTGTTGCAAAGCGTTATGGAGGATAGAGGATAAAACAGTTCATAAAAAAAATGCTTCTGTCTAGACTTCGTCAGGTGTTTATGTTTTATGTGTTAAATGCTCCATCATAGCTGTATTAAAAATGGTAGCATCGTCCCATCTATAGTTGGTCCGTTGGGACCATTGCTTTTGTTGGAGCGTAGTGTAACATTTTCCGAATTTTCAAATACACCACAAGTGGAGGTCGTAGGTTCAAACCCCTCTCCAGCCTATTTTGTTGTTCAACTTTGAAAAAAATGTGTAACTTTGTAAACTAACAGGGGTTATTGTGGATCACATAGGGCCTACTCATACAATGGACCGATCCAGTAAGCCCCTCCTAATGCGCACGTGGGCAAAATAGCACGTGCTCCTCTCCAATGCCACACTGCATTTTCCTGCCGCGCGTCATACGTGCGTGCACGCATGTCGGACTTTTGTGCACGCATGTCGGACATAAATCACGGCTGTAATTGGTCAGAATACCGTGGGGCGGTGCTTACTGGATCGGTCCATTATCAACATAATGCTAGTGTCAGTAGTATTAGAATTTAGATGTAGCTTCATTGATTGAATTTTTATTCTTGTTTGTAGCTTTTTGGGTAAGATTTCCATATCTGGCCATGACTAATTTTTCCCTTGAGTGACCTATCAGCCATCAGAAAGTGATAATATGTCCTAAAAATTCAAAATTAGCAGGGAACAGGCATGCAACTTTTCCTCGGATCAGTTGATTTCCTCTTTTTTTACTTCCCATGTGTGCCATTGAAAATAGAAAAACACTGTACAAAATCTGGGACAAATTTGAATTTCCTCTTTTTTGTGATTTCCCAGTTGCATGCCTGAGGGAAAATATTGACGTGTTTACTGAGAAAACACTTAAAAATTTCAGACCAGTCTCATGGGGTTTGTGCACAGGGTGACAAGTGATGGCCAGATATGGGAATCTCTCCGATTTTTGTTTGAATTTACTTTTTTACAGAAAAAAACAAAAAAAACAAACATGGTTAGTATTCGACTCGTTTCCTCGTAGAGTTCACCTATGTGACAATTCGACTTTCTCATGAAATTAAGTTTTAATGCCTGGTTTTATTGATCAACCTTTTTATTCATATCACATTTGCGGCAGATCTTTCTGGACTACATGATGTTTATAAAACGGCTGGCGACGGAAGCTAACATCGCAGCCCAGGAGCAGAAAGAGAACACGCTCACTGCAGCCCACGTCAATTCTGTTCTCAAGGTAAAAGGCGCATCCAAATTGCTGGCGATAGCATGCATGTCTAATAGATCAGCCTCTTCCATAGGCACTTGCATAATTGCAAACCATTTTTTTTTTTTTTTCTCGTACATTCCCACCCCATCAAGAATGTAAAACTTTCCAGGCAAACAAGATATGTATGCTCGGAATGTTACATACGTAGCATGGACAGAAAGTTTGATAACCAGTTTGTGCTGGGATTATTTTGACATGACCGGACCCAGGCGCGGGATTGTTTTCACGAACCTCGATGCCAGACGGGTTCAGGCCGTCATCTGCGGGTAGCACATCCTAATATTTCCGGCCTCATGCGCTGCAAGCGGGTCACTGACAGATATTTCTGACCTCGCTCGTTGTGTGTTTATCTGTCATCCGTTCTGAGTACCGCAAATCTTTGCGTGTATACACGTCATCCAACGTGAACTACAGCATTGTTACCTTGAAAAACCAAGACAATGTACTGTGTATTTGGTATTATGTTCAGAATATTATGCACGTATTACAGAGACAGAAATTTGTCACAAAATTTTTGTCCATGTTACGTACGTCACATATAAGTGTCTTAACACTATTACTGTTAGCATGATTTACTAGGAACCATACCCATCCTGGCAAATTCCAACACCATATGTGAAACTGCACACACATATTTCTGACTTTGATTCTGGAGGTGTGCCAACCCAATGTAAAAGACTGTCAGTTTAGGGGTACTGCACCCATCCCGACAGATTCCAACAAAACATGCTGTTGGGGTTTGATGGGTTGAGTTCTGTTAGGGTTTTAAAGACCAAGAAAATTGTGTTTGTTTTGGCCGTTACCAATCCTAAATAGGCTATGAATGAATGAGATGACATTTGGGTAAATTCATGCACGTGATAATTCGTGTCCTGTCAATTTATAGCAAAACTTCTGCCCATGTTACGTAATTATTTACAATGACCCCTGCAATTTCTTAAGTACAGAGGGAGTCCTCAATATTTTTCTACGCATGATCATTACGGCTTTGGAATGTACAGGAAAAAAAAACTGATCAAACTATCTTGCTTTGCTGTACCTCCAGTGCCCCCTCTCAAATCCAAATTTGCCGTCAATTGTACCCATTAGTGTGAAATGCCCAGTTGAATTTTGAGTACTTTTTGAGGCTGTGTCGGTTGAGTGAGCCCGAGTGTAGACAAACTAAATTGAAAGAAGCTAAACTGCCAATTTGTTGATTGAGACTTTTGTTTTCTTTGTTTTCATCAGGACGTACTGAAAGGAATGCGAGGATAGCATACAATCCACACTCTGCACGTTGACGTCTTCTGGCGTAGATGTGGTATCTCATAATGAGACGGGCAGGAGGCAACGGGAAATCTAACAAGGCACCACTGGATCTCTCCTGCCGAGAAGTGTGACATTTGTAGAAAAGTGGTCTTCGTTCTGAAAATCGCATCATCAGAAACGCCTTTGAACAGGAGTTTTTTTTGCAGGCAATATATCTGGATACTATCTTAGAGGGAATCAGAGAAGCCACTTCGACAACAACCTGTTTGCGCACTGCTGTAAGCGTGACTGGATCCTTCGAAATGAGTCCTAAGCAAATCTTTTTCTCGGTTTGGATTTGCAATAGAAGGAGAGTACTCTGTTCCTTGTTTTGATTTATCAGTCAAATATATGCAGGTGAAGGCTTTGAGTGATCGTTGTTTGCTATTTCCCAGGTTTGCAGTATTGTTAATGTTGCTAGCATCGTGACTTTGGGTGTGATCCCTGGCTACATGGCATATACGGATTTGTGGCTTCTGCTGGAGCCCCTTGAACAAAGACATTGACAAAATGGGGAACCGCCAACATAGGGCTGGATGGCTCAGTTGGTAGAGCACAGGAATGGCAATCCGGAGGTCGCAGGTTCAAACCCCGCACAGTCAATTAAAAAACATTATTATCATGTAGGGCTGTGAATCAGAACAGAGTACCCGAGTACCCGACCGTTAATGTCAGGAACCAGTTCAAGATTATGGGATCGGGTACCAGTAACCAGCTTTACAAATTACTTAGTAACTTCTCAGACAATTCAAAAGAAAGGTTTTGCAGTCATTTGTGGGGAATTTTCAAAATAAAAACCAGGCCACATGGGAAAACAAAACATATTTCACATTTATGATGCTCGCGAAAGCTAGAGTTTACACCGTAAAGCTGTAAAGCTTACTGTACACACTTGTATCGTGCGGTATTGCCGCACCGATGTGGTAGTATTATCGTGCGGACCTTTGTAAACAATCTCAACAGCAACTTCCGTTGAATGTTGGCATGTTTGGCGTTGGGTTTCTTTAACGGGTACCCGTGTTTTTTTTTTAATCGGTTTAATCGGATACCCGGTTCCTGCTCTACCCGTAAATGCACACCCCTATTATGCAACTAGTCAGTTTCCCTGTTTATTTAAATACAGGTGTAATGTTGGCTACAGTGTTGACTGTTTCTATTGACCATGGGTAACTGTGCTTGTGGTAAGATTGGGTTGAAAAAAAAAGATAAGAATAAGGGCCGTTGAATGCATCTGCAATGCCGTGAATATTAGGCCGAAAAAAAAAAGTCTCCAGTTTCTGGTATGGAGCTTGCACCAAAAGTGGTGCGTCGTCGCGGCTTTTTTTTTTTTCTTACTTACTTTTTCTTCAAATTTCGCCTGATGACTGCAAATGGTGCCCGACTAAATTTAGTGCAAAATGTATGGGAGCCCAGAGAGGCCACATAAAGCTTAAACTCGATCATAACCCCATCTTAAAACACCAGTCAAACCACTGAGTTTGGCAGTTTTGAGACATCATCTTACATTGAAAAAAACCTTTTTAATTTTGCCGACGCGCATGGCTACGGCGACACGCGCGCAGACCAGAAACCGGAACCCGGTTTTTTTTTTTGCCTTATGTAGAATATCAGATTTCTTTTTCGAATAATTGAATCAAATATTCACAAATTGAGTTTTGTCATGTGATTTTTCCTCCTGAAATAATGTATATACAGGATTTGTGTTCAATGTAAATACGAAAAAGCCATTTTTAACTTGCAAAATACAAGTGTTAAATTTGTACATTATATTGAACAGAACAGCTACAAATGTTGTTATGTACAGCTATATCGTTGGCAAAATTGTGCAGGATTCGGGTTGCTTTTGTGAGTTCGTACAAGACAATCCGGCCAAAATTACAACTATTCAAACCAGATTTTAGCATGATTGTAATACTTGTTTTTTAATAAAAATGATTTTGATTTCAGAAGTTACACGTTTTGAGTTTGCTTCTGTATTTCAATTCAACTTGTTGGTAATTTGTGTATGTTATTACGCTGACCAATGCGGAATGTGGTTTCAAAACTTTACGACCACCCACCTCCACCCCCAACCCCGGCCACAGATCCAATTTTTCCCCGCGATTGAACATTTGAGTTTTAATTTGAAGTTTTGAGTTTTACTCAAATGTGTACATGTATCTCGATGCGTAATCAACTGTTTAGTAGACATGAAAAGGTCCACTTCATGGTTAAAACGACCCTCCCCTTCTATCAGGCTAGCTAAGGCCCTGCCAGGCAAAAACTTGAACTCAGGACTTGGATTATTTCTGAAAATTGCAGCAAAAGCAAATGTTATTTCCCTTTAAATTCAAATGTTATTTCCCTGTACATTCCCTTTAAATTTCTAAAGAACTAGGTTCAGCTCCCGACACAAGAAGCAGAAGCATGATGAAAGACATAAGAAATTATAGGCTTCGAACAGACCTTTTTTTATTCTTGTGAACTTCAGGAATACAAAAGTGAACTTTCTTCGTCATTTTATAATTACATACACCGATATGATTATGGTTTATGTCAAAAGCACGTCAAAACAATGATAGTGCAAAGGATGTACATAGGGAAAAGTTTGCTCAGAGTTTTTTCTGGTGATGTAGAAATTAAACTGACTTTTTTGAAGCCATTTGAAACCACGATTGGAATGCCATAACGAAAACGGAAAATGCAGATGTGATGAAAAAAAGTCAAAATTACCACCGGTTCCACTTTCATCAACGGTACATGCAATTCTGTGCACTCTTTGCATAGAAAAAAACTAAAACATCCAAATTCTGAAAGCTTTACAGTGGATCATTCTTGTAAATTTTCGCGGAAAAAAAAACACTTTTTTTTGTCTATCAATGTACGCAAGCTTAATCCTATTCTTGCAGCTAAGTTATGCATGTTTTGGGTCATTTCTTTTTCCTTGTTGAAACAAAAAGATTTCTCTTAAACTGTTCGCTTATGTACAGATGTTTTGCAATAACACCACGTCTTTTATGGTAACACAGCATGCATGCATCCTTTTCAAGAGCTATATTAACTATACAATGCATGGAATCGAACAAAATCTACATGGTCCATCCATAGTTATGCTTAAACCAATAGAAAACTAAAAACAATGGCATAGCTATAAGCCAGCTCGGTATTTCAACTGCGCATGCGCACAATGATTTGGGTCACATGTCATTCGGGATAATCGAACGCTCATCGAAGGCGCATGAACGCGCAAAGAGACAGTCACACGACGCTCGCGTGTTAGTTACGAGCTGAAAGGGCGTTTACATAAACATTGCGTAACATTGGTCAGCGATTTTATCCCAACTGACCTTTGGCCTGGACTTTTCCAAGATACTGAACTGGCTTCTTAGAAACCAAGGTTTCTATTGTGTTTTTAGAAGCAAGCATTGTGGATAAACTGAACAGCTCTTAACAACATTAAGTGCACCAATAAAACAAAACTCCAAAAAGCAACTTCTTCCAAATACATGTACATGAGAAATATATGTAAAACAGGCACACACACACAGTTTTCCCCCAAATAATTTGGTAGTTGTTCCTTCAACCCCGCGATGATACAAATATCTGGTAATGCCTACGATACATTTACATGTATCTGCAAATATGGAGTTTGTGCTCTAAATGAATGTAGCTTCGTGGGAAATTACATGTATGAACTCAAATTGAGGGCATTTTTTGTAAAGTCTGTAAAGTCAGAGACCATGTACATGTATGGCTACATTACAATGATACGCAATGTCAACAGATTGGGCCATGTGCAGTTTTGACTAAAAATCTTAATTCCCGTAAATTACACCCAACTTTTCAGAAAACTGTTTTCGTTCGAGTCGAATGCTAAATGACCTGTCATGCCTATGTTTAACACATGCACCAGTTTTCACTTCCATTGGTCCTATGCATATTGCTATATACTAGATGCTTAAAAAAACCAAAACCCAGTATCATTAAGACTAAATTAATGCTTTATCGTTTCTAGGCAACTTATTTTATGCATTTGTACATTTTAGGCATTTCAAACTTTTTCTCTGTATAACAATTTCATTTTAAGTATTTGACAAGTAAGGAAAACAGCCTTTTCCTTTTTTCCTTCTTTTTTAAGTAACACTGAACACTTAATAATAAACTTTCAAATAACAAGTGGCAAACACGGAAGGCAATTAGAGTAGCGAACTAACTATTGGAATATTCTATAAAGGGGGTCGTACAAAATATATGTGAATAATTTGTGGTTAATCATAAACAAAATTATACAATATTTATTGGTAATTAAAAAAAAATTGTTTTCTCTTCTATTTTAACTACGCTCTACTTTTAGAAACTACGGGAAAATGAATACAAATTATGAGTACTCTCCATGTACCTTTAGACTTGTTTCAAGTCTGACCATGTAATGTGACTATCATAGTGGAGTGCATGCATTCTTTGCAACCGAGACTTGAATAAATCAGTGTTTAGTGTACAGGGTGAGTAAAAAAAAAAAAAAAATGTCTGGACCATTGTTTCAGTGAAGTTATAGATGTAACACTTTCAAAATCTAGGATATGAAAGACCAACTCATAAGCTTTCTTTTAGTACAAGAATCATTCAAATCACTCATGTAATGTTCAAGTTACGGAATATCAAACACAACCACCATTATAAAGTTCTGTCCAAGGATCACAAAAAGGCAAGTGTTCTTTTAGCAAAACGAAAAACAAATCACCTAGGGAGATGTGCGTGAATTGTTTTCGTTTTGCTGAAAGAACGCACACCGTTTTTGTGATCCGTGGACAGAACTTTAAAACGATGGTTGTTTAAAATTCCGTAACTTGAAAAATACACCAGTGATTTGAATGATTCTTGTACTAAAAGAGAGCTTATGAATTGGGCTTTCATATCCTAGGTTTTGAAAGTGCTACATGCAGAACTTCACTAAAACAATAGTCCTGACATTTAGGTTTCGTTTTTTTTTTACTCACCCTGTAGTAGTATGTATAACCCTGTGAAAGCCTTCATGTGAAGGGTTTATGAAGTGTTCAAAATCACTTTCACACAGAGAGTCAATGCACAAAACACAGCACCGTGGAGAGCAGTGAAGCGTGACTGAATCTGCCTGCTTGCCCGGAGATATTCTGCAGATTAATTTAACCCCAACCCCCTTGAGTGATTTACTAGGAACTTCCTCACTCTTGCAAAATCCAACACCACATGGTGAACTCTACACCCAATCTGTTGGACTCTGATTATGGTGGTATGCCTGACCCCATGTAAAGCATAATCAGTTTACTAGTGCAGTACTCACTCCAACAGACTCTAACAAACCCTGGTGTTGGAGTTTGACTGGGAATTGTTAGGGGTATTAACCCTAACTCCCTAGCAAAAATACTAGGAACCATACCCATCCTGGCAAGTTCCAATGCCATGTGGGAAACTGCTCACACATATTTCTGACTTTTGGTTCTGGAGGTGTGCCAACCCAATGTAAAAGACTGTCAGTTTAGGGGTACTGTACCCATCCTGACAGATTCCAACAAAACATGACGTTGGGGTTTGATGGGCTGAGTTCTGTTAGGGTTAAAGCAAATGAATTTGAAGACTCGGTGCAAAGGTGTTTAGGTAAAATGTGAATGGCTTCGAAGTGCAAATGATTATTGGACTGCGAGAAATATTTAACCCTTCTGACTGAAGGCACAATGCATGGACAACGCAAGGCAGAGGGTCAGGCTTGAAATAAGTCTAGGCGACCATCACAGCAACTATTTCTCAGTCTATGAGTAACAGAAATCTGAAGAAACACTGCAAAAAATTACAAGCCATTTCCTTGCAGATGAACGCTTCGAAAACAATATTAGGACCCAGTGAAATCGCATGGTCATGATAATAATATCAGAAAGGATAGCATACTTCAAAAACTTAAACCACGTCAAACTAGAATGTTAGTAGCACTCCACCCCGAACACATATGTCAGGCATGCAACTGGGAAGTCACAAAAAAAAGAGGAAATTCAAATTTTTCCAGGACTTTGTACAGTGTTTTTCTATTTTCAATGGCACACTTGGGAAGTACAAAAAGAGGAAATCAGCTGATCCGAGGAAAAGTTGCATGCTTGATATGTATGTAAAACACAACCAATTTCTTCCCCTAGAAATGTTCAAGCAGGAAAACAGAACAGATTTGTATCTGCAATCCCGTCAATAATTCTGAGCAAAGTTCGGTTCGCAGTTAGCACGGAAGCTAACACGAATGCAAATTTCTGATGTCGTGAAGTGTAAACCAGCTTTAAGGCATGTGGGACAGCGTTATTCCCACCTACGAAGGTTAAAAATAATGTCAACACCTAAAAGAAAACAAAACAAGCCAGCGACCAGAAAATATGTGCCTCGTGTATCTATGTCAACAGGCTTTGCTTAATTTAGCTCAAGCCCTAAAACCTCTAACAGATAGCTCTGTGATTATTGTTCAGGCTGAAGTTTCAAAATTTTCAAATGTTTGCAAAAGAGATAGCTTTAAAGGGTACCCTTAAAAAAGATCAGCGCAGTTACAAATTTAACACGGGGTGCGTACTTGTAACTCAACATTACTTAGCTATGTCTGTGTTCAGTTCTGAAACAATTCTGGATGTCTGAGGATGACAGACAAGTGGCTTGTCTTTGATTTGAAGCTTTGCATACTTAGTCATGTCACACTGGTGAGACAAGAGCTATCGACAAGTCGGAAGGTTTTTAAACTCCGTGGCAACATTTTGGCAAAAGAAACTATTTTCACAAGACTGCCATCGAAATCTGTCACTCATTTCTCTGAATACTTGAGTGTACTTCATCTGGCCCTTTCATCTAACAAAGTAATTCCTTTTTTTTTCTGAAACTTGAATTAAAATTTAACTACCTCGTCCACAAAAAAAATGAAATGAATTAGTTACTAAGGCACTGTAATTTTCATGAATCTGAGGTAGCTGCAGATCAGTCATTAGATTCAGACTCGAAGTCTGGCTGTTTCTCTATCGATTCAAAATCTGGGCTGTCGCTGGCAGCCTTCTCAGTTGCAGAACTTTCCTGAGCAGAGGTCTGTTCTTCCTCAGGTGTGGTTTGCTCTCCCCTCTCTGCTTCAGCTGCATCATCTGGAGGGTGATCTTCATCTTCGACTGCCTCAGTTGCAGTGTCTTCCTGCAGGGAACCCTCTACGTTTTCCTCAACCATCTCGGATGCAGAAGCCTGATCGTCGGATGCACTCTCGGTAACAACCTCTGGGTCAGGTGAATGATGTTCAACAGGGTCTTTTCCAGCAGTGTCCTCCTGCGGGGAGCCCTCTTGGTCTTCTTCAACCATCTCGGATGCAGAAGTATGATCATCGGATGAACTCTCAGTAACAACGACTGGGTCAGGTGAATGATCTTCAGCAGGGTCTTTTCCAGAAGTATCCACCTGCAAGGAGTCCACTGTGTCTTCTTTGACCATCTCTTGATCTTGATCTTCAGGTAGATTCTCAGTGTCCACCTCTGGGTCTGGTGAATGATATCCAACAGGGTTTTCTCTGGTCGCTTCTTCGGCCTCTGAATCCTGGTTGATGGAAGGTTGATCATCAGGCACCTGTCCATCCTTTGGTGCCGCTGTGTAAGAGTCCTCACTTGCTGTTTCTTTGGCAGAATCCTCTGGGGTGTCGGATACTTGTAGCTCATCTCTCTGCGGCTCAGCTGATTCCTCTGTTGATACAATTTGTACTGACCCTGGTTGGCCTTCCTGTTGATCAATTGATTCAGGCTCCTTGGTGGGATCGTCATCTGGGGCTCGTTCCTCCGACTGGGGCTCCATAGCCGATACCTCACTTTGTCGATTTTCATCTGAATCTTTGGTATTGTTGACAAATCGATCTTCTATTTCTAGTTCTGTATCATCTGGGACTGACTTGGCCTCAGATTCTTGTACATCACCAGGTGTCTCACTGCCGTTTGTCTCAGAGGTTTGCTCATCGACTGCTACATCTCCATTCACAACCTCCTTGATCTCTTGCTCTTCATTACCGTCATCAGAAAGCTGATCTGCTTCCTCTCCCTCAACCACGTCATCATCATCTTCTTCTTCTTGGTCATCAGTTTGCTGAGTTTCGTCGTCATTCTCATCTTTACTGAAATTCTGCAGGGTGTGGTCTACAAATTGGTCAAGAATGTCTTTCATGCTGATCATCCTTGATCCACCTTGAGATGGAGGAATTAATGATGGACCTTCGGTTGCAGATTCTTCCTGCTTGAGACCAGCCTGAGACCCTTCGTTGTTGCTTCTGGTGGTGTCTCCAGCCTGTACTTCCGATACCCTCTGGTCAGCTGTTGCTTGCTCTGCTGCTTTCTCAAAGAGATCATCGATGACAGCTGCAACGCTGCTTTGAACATCATCACCTGCACCAACCAAAGCACCAGCCTCAGAAGGTATACTCTTCACAGCACTGTCTACATCGGCAACCTCATAGGCTTCATCCCCTTCAGTAGAACCTTGATCAACCGCGTCAAAGAACTCTCCGTCCCTATCGCCATCCTCCTCTTCATTGTCTAGAGAACTCGTTTGAGATTGATCAACTAAGTGGGTTAGGAATGTGTGGTCCTCCTCAGCCAATTCTATCGTTGTGACTTTCTCTTTGACCTCTATGACCTTGGCATGCAAATCCCGCTCGGTATCTTGGCCCTCCATGATGGCTTTAGTCTTCTTGTTCCACATTGTCAAGGGCATAAGGGGCTTCTCCAGGCAGAATCTCATAGCTTGAGCTGGGAGCCGTTTCAAATCTTCAGTCAACTCGCGAACACTCTCAAGGAGAACCCTGTCAGTCCCACCATAGTCTGCGTAGAAGACTTCTACACCCATCTCTTGGTCAACAGACACCACAGTGGCTCGATACCAATCGTCATATTCAGAGTGTTTAGCTGCACAGGGTTCTCCAACCTTGGGAACCCAGTTCTTATCCTGAAGGGGTTTTGTGTTCTCTGCATAGACCTCGGTCATTCGCTGTTCAATGTCCAATACTTTTTGTTCTTCATGATCGATCTGACAGGTGATTTCTTCAGGGCTGTCGACTGCCACCAAACACAGGGTGATCTCTTGGCCTGCCTTGAGGTCCAGTGTTTCAAAGGCCTGTTTGAAAGAGCCCGGAAGGTTATCTGCTTCTGTGAAGATCTCATCTTCCTCCTCGGAGACTTCTTCCTCAGGGTTAGAGACTTCTGGCTGGTTGTCATTTCCTGCTTCAGGTGTCTTCTGAGACTCTGCAAGAATCTCGGCATTCCTGTCCTCTGCTTTCCGGATCAATGTCTGTAAAACCGATTCATCCTCATCAAAGAGTTGAACTCCTCCTTCACCAAGTTCTGCCTGAAGTGTCTTCCCATCAACAAGCTCTCTGAAAGCCAAAGTATCTGCCTCGGACCAGTCAGCTCCGGATGGAGTAGCTCCTAGCGAGCACTTCACAGCTTGCAGTGGAAGGGCCAACAGAGTGGATGTTATGAGCTGAAGGTTGTCTATGGAGACTTCCCGCATCAGCGCTTGGTCAACCAGGAAGGTTCTCACCTTACCATTTGGGACGACATCCAGGATCTCCACACGCTGCCATGTCCCATCCTCACACTTGGCAACACAGGGCATGCCTTTTGCCGGGACCAACCTGCTTGTGCCAATCATCTCTCCGATACGTCTCTCCATCTCAGATGTTATCGTGGCCAGTATCCCACTCTCCTCACTGTCTGCCGCCCGGCAATAAAACTCTGAGGGACTGGTGACTGACAGAACAACTACTTCCTGTCTCTCCCCGGATAGCAGTGTTGGCTGCTCATACTTTGGCCCTTCCCACGGGGATGCTTCCAGGACCTGCTCACAAACAGAATCCTCCATCTCTTCCTCTGCGTACTGAGGTACTTCCACTGCCTCTGCAAGACCCTTCTCAACGAGTAGATCAGACAATGACACAGCGCCGTCCTGCAGACTTACTATGGCACGTGTAACGGCATCCTCCTCCGTCCTGACCACTTTCAGAATGTCTGCCATCAGAGAGTGATCACAGCTCATTTTCTTGAAGGCATCTGCGGCGTCTTGATCCCACTGCTGCTGCCTGGGCGATGCCCCAGCTAGTTGGCATCTGAAAGATTGTCTTGGAAGCTTCAGGAAGTCAGCTTCAATTGCTCTGACCTTTAAAAAATATTTAAATAAGACACAATTTAACATTCACAGTGTTTTCTTCATTTAAATGACAAAAATTTATGGATGTTTTGTAATCCAGGAGTTACTCTAAAAGGATTCTAATGTCATGTATGTTATGAAGTAGTTTTACGAAGAATTTTTTTAAAATTTTGATGATGCAGGAGCTAAGGTGTGACAACTTGAAAGGTTGGCTTGTGAATAGAACGCAACGAACGCTGATGAACAATGACATGTACTAAATCTATAATCTCATTTATCTGTTAAAGGTAATACACAACATTTGCTTTTGCTGTAGTTTTCTGAAATGGATAGATTTGGGGGTTAGTATTTTATAGCAAATATTGCTACACTGATCTGTTTAAAGTTCTGTGTCCTTAGATGCTGGAATAACCAGGAAACAAGAAAAAAATGCTGTTCTTGTAGTCCGGTTCCCTGAACCTACTTCAAAGAAATGGAGCAATTTACAGATGTCGGGGAATAGTCGGGTCAGGGAACTAGACTAGCTGGCTTGCACCCGTTCACGGATGTGTAACCCATTGCAAACAAAATGTGGACTTACTAAACTGGGTAAATTGGGGACAGTATTTGAAGAAAAAAAAAAATTTCCCCCAGGATGGTCGACCAACCATTGTTGGAAATTGACACAAAAATTCCACTTCTCTTGAAAAATAATGACAGCACACCAGGTGCTAAGATTTCACAGGATGCTTGAGACTTTTTATTTACTTTCAGTCAAGTAAGGTATTTCGTAATAATTTGGTAGTTTTGTCTTTTGATGTTTGCAAATGTTGTATACTGCCTTTAAAGTCCAATACAATAAAACTTTTGACTTCTCACCTTGCTACAGGAGACGGTCTCAGTCTTCCCCGTGTCCACAAACAGGACCTTGACGGCATCTCCAACGACCTCTGTGACCTCTGACCTATACCAGAAGCCATCTTGAGTACACTGAGCAAGGCAGGCGTGGCCAGGTCTCAATTGCATGTCCTGCGGTCTCGGATTCTCTCCTGTAAAAAAAAAACAAAGAGAAAGTTTCTTTGAATTTCACAGGACCCACCCAAACCACCTGGTGCATCTCTGAAAAATAACAGAGCCTGCTTGCAACAGTAAATTCAATTCACTGCATCTGATCTGCATTGTACATTAAACAAGGTAATTTTAATCAAACAATTTTTTCAAGGATCCACAGTTGGAAAAAACAACAACATGAGCTGGAGCTGACAATTAAGTTTTGGATAAAGATAATCAAGCGTATTCAAGACGGAAACAATATCCTGTCAGGTGACATCTCCTAACTTGACAAGCGCGACTCACTGAGCAGTAAAGCTCTGACAAAAAGTCAAACACCTCGAAGAAACTCCAAAATCTCCAATCTCAGCTCAGGGGGATTTCAGAGAATCCAACTGAGCCCACAAACTTCGCATTTGATATGGTCCAGAAAATCCTTACTTAGCAATTCAGCTTGTCCAACACAGAGATTGACTAAGTTAATCGCCCAAAAGTCACCAGATTCTTGTCCTGTACTGAGCATGTCATTGTCCCAATGCATGCATATCCTGAGCTTGACACTAAGTTGTTTGCTTTACCAGACCAGTATTTTATTTTGTTAAACTGTTTCATGGAAAAGCAGCATTTGAACTTACCCATTGGAATGACAAGGCTCTGGATGTTATCCATCACCACGTTCAGGTCGTCCTCAGACTTGGCAAACTGACACCAGAAGTCCTTAGGAGGTGATAGAAAGGAAAAGGTAGAACTGTAGTTAAAGGCTAGAATTAAGAAAAACAGGATTTTTCCCAGTTGCAAGTTTCTGAAGACCTTGGTACAATGCATCCTCCAACATCATCTGCCACTTAACATGCATACAGCCACAATCCTCCAAAATTCTCCAAACTCCTCCAAAAGCACCTGGTTGATTTTGGAGGATTAACCCTATTATTTAAACCCTCCTCAATCCCATGAAGTCCTCTGGGTGGTTTTTGGAGGAGTTTGGAGGAATACAACATACACTTTTGGAGGATTGTGGGCACATGGACATTCAGTATCGGTTGATTTTGGAGGATTGAGGATGAATGGTGTTTGAAGAAGAGGAGGATTTTAGAGGATTGAGGCTGAATGCATGTTGAATAAATCAAGAAATAACAGATGATTTTGGAGGGTTGAGGCTATTTGAATTTTTACATGGAAACATTTTAACACAAACCAACCGCAATCCTCCAAAATCCTCCTGGTGGTTTTGGAGGATTTTGTAGGATTGAGGATGAAAAGGTGTTTGAAAAACACAATGATTTTGGAGGATTGAGGATGAATGGTGTTGAAGCACATGTGGATTTTTGGAGGACATGAGGATGAATGGCGTTTGAAGAGGAAGATTTCAGATTAATGTAACATTTTTTCTGGACTATGTGATGATTGTGAAGGATTGAGATGCTGGGTATCCTTCATTTGAACGTACAGCGTAAGTGCAAAGTATTGGAAGATTTTGGAGGATTGAGGATGGTTCCTAGGAAAAAGGGCTTTGGAAAAGGAATGGGGATGCATCCTATCAAAAAAATCCAAGGGGATCAGGGTTAGGGAACTTGTAGGGATAGCTCAACAGTACTAAATTCTCCAATTTTAATATGATTGTGCACACCCCCTAGGGAGTTAGGGTTGAAGACTTCCGAAATGGGTCATAATAAGCACAGAATTTGTGGTTAGTAGGTCATCAAATCGGGCCCTTGTTTCAACTCATCAAGTCAATAACTTCGACTGGGGTTTACCTCTGGGCTGTTGACTGTAGTGACGAACACCTCCACGACTTGGCGTGCCTTCAGTGGAGTCCAGGTATAGCTCAGGCTTCTTGGCGTTAAAGCTTGTTCGGCAGATTCTGAACAAAACAAAAAATGGGGGGAAAAAATTAGAATTTTCTGTCCACAATGGAGGAACTTTTTAAAGGCTCTGCACAACATAACACTGTGCTCTTAACCCTAACTCCTATGGGGGTGTGCAAAATTGCATTAAAATTGGAGGATTCAGGACTGTTAGCTGGTTTGGGCTGTCTGTCTCACTGTAAACCCCAAAATCTTTTCAATCCCCCAGCTGTTTTCTTGCCCTCCAGTTTGCCCCCCCCCCTCCCTCAGTTTTCCCTAACACTTTCTCTACAAATAGATAAGTTATGTTTTCTTTGATGTTAAGTTTTGCAACAAGTTGAAGATAGGGAGTGAATCATCAGTTCTGTGGACACATTTGGGCCAATGAAAGATTAGAAACATTGGTACTTTGGTAGACAAAACACGCCACATGTGAATTTATACAGCCGTAGATAGCGTCAGCCAACGTCTCTGTACATTTGTTATACATTTGTTATACAACATTCTGCGATTTGAAACATTTCTCATGGGCTAGTGGCTTATTTCAAGACCATTGACTGCCTCACCAAAATATTTTTTTCCCCAAATGTTAGAGTTTTGCGCCGCCAATGTGTTTGACTACCATTTGTTCATTCACACAGCAATGGTGACAGCATGATGAACTGAAATAACAGTCAAAAGGAAAATTCGCCTGCTGTAATTTTTCTATTGTACATGTAAATCAGGTTCAAGATTCAAGATTCCATAAGTATTCAAGATTCAAGATTCCATAAGTTTTCAAGATTCAAGATTCCATAAGTTTTCAAGATTCAATATTGCAAGAATCCTTCTCACCTGAAATCTCATCCTGTAGCTTGATGCCTAATGCCTCTGCAACCGGCTCGCCGTCGTTCAGGAGTCTGATGATCCAGGCGGTACCCTTTCGACTGATAAACTCAGCAGTCAGGGCTTCACCCTCCAGCACCGCATTTTCAAACTCGGCGACAGCTGCGTCATCACTCGCGGAGGATTCTGGGATGAGGGCGAGGGCGCACTTCACCGCCTGCGCTGGCAGGGATGAGAAGTCGCTTGTCAAGACTTTGATCTGGTCTCGCGGGACGCTCTCCTTGTTGCCATAGTCTATGAAGAACACATCAACTGTGTCGCCCTTCTCAGCCAGGACGGTTGCGCGGTACCACTGCTCATCGTCCGAAAACTTGGCGATACATGGCAGTCCCTGGATACTACCAGCTTGCATGTTGTCCACGGACGGAGCTTCTGACTGTAGCTTCTCTGATAGGGGATCCAGGTCCTCTGTTGCCCTTGCAGCCATCTGGCAGTAGAATTCATGAAGGGAGTTCACTACTGTCACGAAGACCTTTTCGGTGGAGCCTTGAGTGATGTTCAGCTTCTCAAAACCGTGAAGGGCATCCTGTAGGTTGTCACTCTCAGAGGCAAATCTGATTGCTTTGGTGGTTACAGGCACAGATCTTGCATGTCCTGCATCAATAAGGCTTTGGCCAAGGCTCATGCCTAGGTCTAAGAGGGTCACTTGATGTGATGAGGCACTGGGCTCAACTGCAACCACCTCAGCCAGAAGTTTCTTGTCACCGGTCAGGTTGAGAAAACTGTCACAAGCCTCTCCAGTCCAGCTGGTACTGACTGGGCCCACCCCACCAAGACTACATAGTACAGCCTGTTGCTCTACCGCAAGGAAATCCTCTTTGATATCCATGATCAGACTCTTGGACACTTTGTCTGAATTGCCATAATCAATGAAAGTCACTGTGCACGTTTCAGGCTGGACCTCAGTAACTTTGGCTCGATACCAGCCTCCATCATCAGCAAACTGAGCGACACAGACTGCGCCTACCACTGGGGATCTCATCTGCCCTTCACCAGGAGTAAGGGAGCTATAGTGAGCATCAATGGAATCCATCAATTCATTCAGAGTACCTTCGTGCTGGGCTAACTGGCACCAGAAACTGGCTGGGCTGGTAACTGAGGAGATGTAGACTTCCTCCTTCATTCCTACACTCAACGTTTTCGGGGCAGGACAGGATGCAGAAGGCATTGCAGGTTCCTTTGCAGCAGCTTGCTGCCATTTCTTAACCTCGTCTTGTAAAGCTGGGAATTGGACCTGATATGGCTCCTCTCTACCATGGAACATGCACTTCATGCTTTTGTCAACTGTCAAATCTAGGAATTCATTGGCAATGTCAAGACTTGAAGAGCCAACGTCTTTAAGTCTGCACGCTACTGCACCTGCAGTTGGCTGAAGGAATTCGGGCTTGATTGGTCTCAGATCTGATGCAGATTGCTCCTCACTGTTGCCAAAATCTACAAATTGAACCACGACCCTGCCTGGACTGGGACTGCCGGTGATAACTGCACGGTACCAGTCGCCATCTTCGGAGAACTTGGCGCAGCACGTTGTTCCCACGGCAGCTGACGAGAGCGGGCCACTAGTGCCGCTGTTGTAACTTGTTTTAAGCTTTTGCTGCAACATGTCGATCTCGTCGCTTCTACCGCACATCTGAACATAAAACTTCTGAAGGTTGTCCACATGGGAGACGTACACATCTTGATCTGTACCTCCAAGCATTCCCTGCTTGGCGAACCCTTGTTGAGGCACCGGAACAACTTGTGGGCTACCCCCTTGGACTTGGACAGGTTGAACCACAGGACCAAGAATTTCTTGGACTTTAGCACGGAAGGCGTCGTCGATGTATTCAATCTCTAGTTTCCCATCAGATTTGCTCTTGACTGTGGCCATCACCTCTTGGTCAACAACCACCGACTCAAATTTCTGCATAACGCCTGAAAGACGGCACTTGATAGCCTGGGTTGGAAGATTCCTGAACTTTGGCAGTAGAGTGCACAGGGACGCCACAGCCACAACATCGTCATCGCCATAATCCACAAACCTAACCTTGACTTTACCTGGGCCTGCTTCACGGAGTATCTTGGCCCGGTACCACGCCCCATCACTTGACTGGGCAGCACAGAAGGCTCCCGGAACAGCGGAAGTCAGCATGTCCTTACTGGGTTTGGAGGCTGAATAGTGGTTGTTCATCTCTGCAGAGAGGCCCTGGAGCTGATCGTAACTGGAGCACAGCTGGCAGAAGAACTTCGTGGGGCCTTTCGCAACACTGGCTGCCATCATGACACGTTGATCAACTTTGACACTCTCAACAGCAGATGCAAGTGTGAATGGTGGGGTGCTGTCTACAGGCCTCTCTTTCTGTCGAGGTGGTGTTGCAGCCTTTGGTGGTTGTTTGACTTCCTTTGGGATGCTATCTCGAACTTTCCTGAGCTCTTGGAGCATGTCTTTGCCCTGCCACTTGAGTTGTACAACAGACGCACCCTTTGATTCACGTACCACCATGCGGAATTTCTCAATCTCAGCTGCCAGGCTCTTCATGCGCTGAATGACCTTGTATTCCTTCCATGTCAAGTCCCAACCACTGAGACAACAAGAGGCAGCCTGCTGTGGAAGGGACATGAGGTCAGCTGTGATCTCGCAGACTTTATCAAGAGGGACATCTTCCTCGTTACCGTAATCCACAAAGCAGACCCTGTAGAGACCCGGCTTCTGGTCCTTGATGACGCCCCGGTACCAGCTGCTGTCCTCGGAGAACTGGGCCACACATGGTGTTCCCACACAGGCACGCTGGAGCTGCTTCAGCTGGGAGTCCATACACTTGTTATGGATGTCATCCATCAGAACATTCAACTGGCCCTCTTGAGATACCAACTGGCAGAAGAACTTGCTTGGGTCTTCAACATGGGAAATGTACACATCGGTCTCAGTGGTACCTAACTTAACTTCAGTCCAAAACCCAAGATCAGCAACAGACGTGGACGAGGAGTTAAGCGGTTGGTTTCTTGGAGGAGTGCGCTGAACCAGCCGGGGAGCTTCCGGTGGAGGCTTTGCTCTTGGAGGAGTCTTCATTTTCTTTTCGGTTCTCTGACGTGGCAGGATTTTCTTGATTTCATCATTTAAGATTGTTCCGGCCTCCTGAGATTTTAAGACAACTGCAAATTTGCCACCTCGTACACTGGTTACAGTTGCCACAAAGTTCTCTTCTGTGTGTTTGTCAAGCCAGTTGATGGCTGTCTCTGCCTCTACTCCTTCCAAAGCTGGTACCCCATCCAGACTGCAATCAATACACTGAAGTGGAAGAGTCAAATACTCCGACTTCAGTTGCATCAGCTTGGAAGCATCAACGACCTCGCCGTTTCCATAGTCAACATACTGGACTCTGATCTGTCGGCCTTCAACGGAAACCACAAGGGCCCTGTACCAGCAGTTGTCGTCCCCAAACATTACGCAGCATGGCTTGCCTACTGCGGGTGACCTCAATGGACTCATTTGTGTTGGGGTTACTGAATAATCTGCCTGCAGTCTGTCCATCATTGCGTTGAAGGCTTCTGCATCTTCCATCAACTGGCAGGAGAAGTCGTCAGTGCCTCGGATGGCGATGATTTCAACAATGACCCTGGAGCCCTGGCTGATTCGAGGATCAATGAAGGACTTGCTGACACCTGCATCACCGCTTCCGTTGAAAGCTCCTGGATTGGCACCACTTGGTGCTTGATGGTTGAATTGCTCAGCAGAACGAGACGCCAGACCTTCTTTCACCAACACACTTATGATGTCGGCATTCTCTTCGCCTTGTGGGTCTAAGATCAGCACACAGCAAGCATTACCATTCATCCCAACCACCTTCCCACTCAGCTCCTTCTCAGCAGTCAACTCTTCGAATCGTTCCACAGCGGCTAGGGAACTAGACTGGGCACTGACACCACTCAGTGAGCACTCCACAGCAATGACTGGGTACTGCAAAAGGTCATCAGTAATGGCCTTCAGACTGGCTGTTTCTTTGACTTCCGAGTTACCAAAGTCCACAAACTGGACAGTGCACTGTTTGGGCCCCTTCACCTCTGTCACCACTGCTCGATAGTTCACAGCATCATCAGAAAACATCGCAACACAGGGACTACCCAGCTGAGCAGCTCCTAATGCCTTCTCCGCAGGGCCAAGACCATCATACTGAGCGCTGATGCTGTCCATCAAGTTGTCTAGTTCTTCGGACTTACTTGCTGGTTGGACCCAAAACTGACTTAAGGAAGCCACATTGCTGACGTAGAGGTTCTGGCAACTGCCAACAGCTAAGGTGCTCTGGTTATAGCCTCTGGACACCTGCTTCTGAGGTGCGGAAGCAGCGTCAATGGGAACGCCAGGACCTCTACGCTCTCCAAATTCATCCAGGATGAACTTCTCAGAGACGCTGTCGCCAGACTCTGTGAAGAGTTTCATCTCCAGGCCTGTTATGAAATAAACAGAAAAAATAAATTCAAATGAGTTATCTGTCCAATAAATACAAGCGATTGCCAATGCAGAGCGCAACCAAGAGATTGCCACAGACAGTCCATTTTTTCAAGTGTACAGTGAGCAAAAACATGGCCAACTTGCCGCGATATCAACGAATGTCAGAGGACATCTTGAACAAATTTTGATAGATCGGGCATAGAATTCTGCTGCCTTCGGACAAACTAACAATATTAAGTGTCCCGCGCTGCCAATGTGTCGAACGTCTCCCACAATGCACTGCGAAAAATGGACTACACTTGGCAACCTCTTGGTGGCGCACTGTATTGGGAATCGCCCGTATTCAATGTCAACATTTTTCTTATTTATTAATTAAGCAGGGTCGGAGGATTGAATAAAAATATAAATAGAATATGAAAGTTACTGTTTTGTTACAAACACACGATTAGTATGCATACATGTATTGTTGATGTCTTCTACCCCGAACGTTGCACGGCCCCTTGGCCTTATGTGACACATTTTGGTTTTTCTCCTCAAGTGTCTTGCTAGAAAAACAGTTTTACCTTGAAATTCACAGTTTAATCGAAATTTTATCAAGCTCTTCACATTCCCATTCATAAACTTTGAGTTTATCTGCCCGTTACAAAGTTGAGAGAAATGTTTAATATACTCTGGCAAGATTTTTCAATTATATTTTGAAGTACGCAGTGAAATGCGCAAAAAAAAAAATAATAATAATAATGTTCTAACAAACAAGCAGTTAGATAGGCGAGTGAAGATACCGGTTATAATGCTTTATCAGACTTTGCAAACTTCATGAAATTCTTTAAAGCTTGTGAACAAGTTACACACAGTGTTATGAATTTTAGTCTGAAATTCAAATACGGTGGCGTCCGAATATGGCACACTATCGGCCGAGTGATCCCTTACGTAGCGCCCTTCAACAAATCTCAGCAATTGTCAGAAGCAAGCATTATTAAGGTAACTGTCAGTTTTTAACTGAATGAATATGAATCATCAGAGTTTTGGTAAAACTGCATGGGGTTAGTATTTTATAGCAAATATTGTTAAAACTTACACTTGACCAGTTTAAAGTTTTGTGTTCATAGATGCTGGAAAAAAATTCTGTTCTTGTAGTCTGGTTCCCTGACCCTACTTCAGACCAAAATTTATAACCTACTTTCTACTTTTCTAAATTAAGAATTTCAAAAAGATCCATCCCTCACATTAGGCTGGCTACAGGCATGCTTCAGTCCACGTTTTAATTTACAATGACTTCAAGTAATTTACGCTATCTTCAGCTGGTTTCTACACGGTGTTTGTGCCCTTGGGCAAGATACTTAACTCACAATTCGTTCTCTCCACCCAGGAGTATAAATGGGTACCTGTGAGGGCAGAGGACCAAATGTGCGCTGATATCGGCTGCCACGTGGTCCCATGGCCTGATGAACGGGAGAATAATTGTAAATGCACTTTTGAGATTGTTGATACGATGGAAAGCGCTATAAGCATTACAATGATTACAATTTATTTAGTTATTTATTTATGTATTTATTTATCTATTTATTTATTTTTTTTATAATCGTTTCCGCTATCATATCTGTTATTGAAGGAACAAGTCTCCAAGGAAAACTTGAAGGTCATGTTTGGGGAAAACGAGTCAACGTTGGTAATGATTCATTAATTGGGCACAATCTGCGAAACACATATCTGATGATTTTAAACTAGAGAAGGGGGCCGGGGGGGGGGGGGGGGACATGCACATGAAACAACCAATTCACACTTTGTCTTAGATTAGGAAGTCAAAATAAACATCAGGTAACTAGTTTCAATAGTAATGCCACCAGACTACTCAGGCCAAAAAAAAAAATCACAGTTCTGCTTCCGGTTACCCTACATACCCTATTTCGTCAGCCCCTACCCTAATTTGTTGGGGGGAAAATGAGGAAAAAAAATCCTGAAATTCATCAATTACTACCTTTAACCTGTGACTACACGCAGACACCTCCATATGATCATACATACACACACACAAAATTGCTAACAAATAAACTTCCCTTCCTACCTACCCTATTTTCAAAGGCCATGACATCGGAAGCAGAACTATTGGGGGGGGGGGCCCCTAAAAAGTCTAGTCTTTAGCGTCCAACTAAAATCACTTGGCTTCACTTTCAAGTGTTAAATGTTGAAGAAAAGTCTCTTATTAACCAATTCGCGTCAGATGACATGTTAACACGTTCTGGCGGTTTCTATACACAGGCACGGCTGACGGGTTAAAACGTCAAGCGTGCTGCGACTCGCCTCCAGATGATGTCTTAACACGCTAATACACCCACACAAAGTCTGAGAAGTCTGTGGAGGCGGATCGTGTGTTGTACTTGAACTTGGCCGCTGTGCAAGGCCTGTTTCCAGTGCAATTTAAGCTCCGGGGGCACACCCCAGAGTGTTGAAAAATATAATACTGAAAGACTCTTGTGAATCAATATTTGTGGCGTTTGGCTGTATATCAAAAGTTGGCTGTTATATCTTGCCTTTTTCGAAAATCGAAATTTTGGGCAAAAATAATCCTGGTGCGAACTGGTTAAGAATTGAATTGAGACATCAAACTTGGCTGGTGAAATACTGAGAACCTTATCTTTGCCTAACGGAAATTTGGGGGAGTTTGTCCACTGAAGTCACAGCGAGTAAAGTTGGACTGGACTTCAAACATCTGCTAGATTTAACAAAAATCTACTTAGTCACGTATAATTACACGAAATACATTATAAACACTTATACTCACATACAGATGTTATACAATTTTCTTAAACAAAAACAAAGATCATAAAATTTCCTTGAAAACATATTATACTATCTTTTACAAAAAAATTAATTTGTTTTTTTAAATTTGCACGTGTCTTGCATGGCTTGCAAAAACACTTTACTATATGTACTAATACATGTACATGTCAGGGAACCTCAAATTGAAGCTTTTTCAAAATTAGCTAATCCGCTATATTTTTCAAATCTGCCTATTTTTCTGTTAGATCACTAATTTCAAAGAATTATGCAAGGGTGTGAGTGACCACTGATAAAAATAGCTGACAACAGCTGAAGAAGGTGTAAAAAAGCTGAACTTTGGAAATCTCCTACACTTTTGTCCACAGCAAGTGAGGGAAACAAAGCTGAAATCCAAACAAACAGAAAGTTAAAATTTAGCTTTAAAGCTGAGATTTCACACCCCTGATTATGCTAGAAATCTGCTGAAAAAAGTCCTTCTGCTACATTTTCAGTCAATCTCTTTTTTCCCTCCGACAAATTCTGTCAAATTTAGCCGAAATTCGGCTTAAACGGTCACCCTGGGACTGAGTATGTTTTGCATCTTTTTTCTGCACATGTGTGCAATCTGGGTCCAAATCTGGTGCCCCACATAACACACTGTGACTGCTAACAACAGGATTAGGACTCTTAGGAGTACCACTGTTTATGTGCATCAATTTGCATAATAATCTGTGTGAAGAACACCAACTAGTGCCATGAATGATACATGACCCTGAAAATATAAACTATACTTGACTATGGTTGTATATCCAAATAACAAATCGGCGTATTGACAAAACAACTTTTTAGATACTGGTAGTGACACCACACAATGTAAGAAAACAGATTGATACACCAAAAAGAGTCCAAAGTTTCTTCAATACTGAATGATAAACGTGTTCAGAAGAACCATACAGTCACTGAAAAAAATGGTACAGTCGACTCTTGTTAGTACAAACTCTGTTAATACAAAATTCTGGTTATAACAAACAAAAAGCCTTGGTCCCGACTGTGCAGTTTTATGCACAATGAATGGGACTGATGTTCCTCTTAATACAAAATTCTGATATAACAAACAATTTGGCTAGGTACAAGTTTGTTATAATGAGACTCGACTGTACATGTTTTTCTTGAAAGTCTCAAGCTTCAAATGTGTACTATAGGCCTATCACCCAGTTCCACACTCAAATCGAAAAAGTTAAAAAAAAAAACCTGCAGACTTTCAAGCAGGCTGAGGTGAACAAGTAGAACAGTTGGGTCAGAATTTGAAGGACAAAATTAGGATAAAAATTAGGACTATGCAGGCTTTCAGGGGTGGTTTTCATTGATGCTCACCCATGTCTACAGCATCATCATAAGCCTCATTTGGCATGTTCTGTACTCACAACACTTGTGCTCCATCCTCAACTAAGCTCTTGGAAGTACAGTTGCAGTACTCCTGCGCCCAAGCCCTTCATTGTGTGATTTACGATATTGACAGTAATAATATGAGAAAAGCTATGTGCTCTTACCTTTTTTTTGGGAGGGGCATCTGTTAAATATATATTGGGAGGCACAAGGCGCAAAAGAGAGTCAAATATCGAGTCATTTTGCATAATGACTTGATGTGTTTTGGGCATCCTTCCTCTTTTAGGGGTGGGGACACATTTCATGTGGGGGAGGGGACAAAATGAAATGACACCATGGACGAACGATAATATTGATTATTACTTAGTAGGCCTACTCAATTCACTGCTCACCAAGTCAAATATGTAGCATTTTGTTTTAAATCACGACTGAAAGTGAAACAAGCAAATACTTACCATCATTTGTCAGTTGTAACGGCTCTCCAACGAACGTCTGGTCGACCAAGGTGCTTTTCAAGTATGCATGGGTCCCCATCTTGATGTGTCGATGTTGCATAATGGCCACGACTCCGGCGAGAACACACTCGGTAGCCTGCCCTGGAATAGCAAACACATCATCGCCGACCGACTCCTTCAGCCGCACCAGGTTTCTAGGGATGATCTCCGTGTTGCCATAATCGATGAAGAACGCGATGACGTCATTTCCGGTGGCGCTTTCGATTTGTGCGCGATACCAACGATTGTCCTCCAAGTACTTGGCGATGCACAAGGAGCCCGGTCCCAGGAGGTCTGGCTGCGGGCTCGCGGACTGCTGGGCGATAAATTGGAACCGTTCTGCCAATTGCTCCACTTGTTCCAAGCCATCTTGGTCAAGTTGTGTCCAGAACTTCAACAAGCCCGAGTTTCTGTCCGCGTCCGCAGCAGTGACATACACCTCAATCCGGGACCCCGCGTTCTTCAAAATTTGCCGTGCTATGCTACCCATTTTGAGCTACTCAACTTCTACGAGGTGCAGGCGATTATACATTTGAAATTAAGCGACTGACTTTTAGGAAATGTTAAGAAAAAAACTCACATTTCGCGCTGACTTTTGCCCATTCGACTTCCTCGTGCAATGAACCACCACATCATGTGCACTTTGCCCCCAGGATTTGGAATACAACACTTTTTGAAGGGGTGGCTAAAAATAATAACAGTTCAGTGCCTTAATTTCGGCCACAACTGTGACTTTTACGGTCCAAAATGAAACCTCAATATATATTAAGACCACTCCTGAAGCTTAAAGCTAATGTTGTAAAACTAAAGGTTCAATAAATAAGATCACTATCGATAAAGAAGAAAGTAATTTAAATCCCACATACCTAGTAAAAGTAGAACATCCTAAATCGCCTCGGTACGCGAGTCGGGTCATGCATTGCATGTCATGAAAATCAGAGAAATCATGTGAAATCAACTCCTAATATCACAATAAATAAGTAAATGATTCAGGAGCGTATGGGATGTTCCCCTCATACAGATTTCACTTGTTTCAGGATTTCTTCCCCTTTATTGCAACATTTCCTTCGTCGCCCGGAAAATGAGGTCAAAAATGCACGTGGCTGTCAACGCCTTCACCGTAGAGGACGCCCTTTGTAGCGCCATAATAAACACGTGGGACGTGGGCAGCAGACTGTACTTTATACTCTGTCATGTTGTTTCACGTATGCTTTGCTAGAATATTTTGCTATTCTTACTAAATAGTAGTTCTTGATGCCCACATGAACCAAGATGGAACTGGGAATAGGAACAGACGATGACCTGTTTGTTGAAGGGAAAGATCGGTCGTCGAGGGAACATCAGATCTGGAGTCCCAAACATTGTGAACCCAAAGTAATGATCTGGGAAAGAGTTCCTTACCTAGACATGCACTAGACACCCGCCTAAGCTTGCTTGTGCACAATTTAATATGTCCAAATTGTTTTCTCAGTCAATGCTTCAATAGTTTCCCTGCTAAATTTGACTTTTTAGGAAGTGTTATCACTTTATGATGGCTGATAAAGTCACTGCAGGGAAAAATTTAGCTCGAGTAACTCAAGTCCAATGCTCATCAGGAATTCAACATATAGAGCTGGAGCTAAAACTATATAGATCCTAGATTCTAAGAGGCCCTAAACGGGACTCTCTGTATCTGTATAAGCCCCATAAATGTGGCCAATTTACTGGACTACCTTCGTAAATAAAGGCTACACTTCCACCATGTTCAACATGTCCAAAAACCTGTCGAACTTTGTCAAATTTAGATTTTCACATTTAGGCTTAGTTTGTAGTTTATTTTTGCTTTAGAAATTAGAAGCATACTCGCCCTCTTTATAGGCTAGTCAGAAAGTGCTGCCTTTTTCAGATGTCAAATTTTTGTGAAATTTCATGTTGAAATTTTGATACGCAAACGTGTAAAAATGAATCTGGAAATTTCACGAAAAATATACATCTGAAAAAGGCAGCACTTTCTGATTAGCCTATAAAAAGGGTGAGTATGCTTCTAAAGCAAAAAAACCCTACAAACTAAGCCTAAATGCGAAAATCAAAATTTGGCAAAGTGCGACACGTTTTTGTACATGTGGATGTGTGGGCTATGTTTACGGAGGTAGTTCAGTAAATTGGCCACATTTATGGGACTAGCTTTTGCACAATTATGTCCAAAATGTTTTCTCAGTAAATGCTTCAATGGTTCCCCTGCTAAATTTGACTTTTTTAGGATGTGTTATCACTTTCTGATGGCTGATAGGTCACTGCAGGAAAAGTTTAGCTCGAGTAAACTCCACCTCCAATGCTCATGAGTACTATGTTGTACTTGTAGATGCTATAGATTGAGGTCCTAAAACGGGACTCTGTATCTGTACGTATAGTATCACAAAACTGGTCATTTTTCCTGCTAGTTTACCAACCCAGATTCCATTAAATATATCTTGTGTTTAATTGAATTTGAGTTGTTTATAATCGTAAGTTTATTGCGCAGCTGCGAAACAAATTTGTTGCGTAATTCCTACGCATGGCGCAAGCTACGCACTTTTTCGTGAAATCGGCTGTTGAATCTACCACAGCTGTTAATCCACAACTATTCCACAACTAACCAATCACCAAAAAATGTAATTGTTTCTCTACAGTGTTTGCTGGAGGAAAACCCCACGAGTCCCATCGGAGACGCAAATAGCACCGAGCGTGCCCAGACCCTTTCTTATCAGGCCGATTTTCTTTACGGCAAGAAGCGGTTTGACGGCGCCCTCGCCATCTACAGGAAAGGCGTGGCGATGGTCCCGATCCGCTACGTCCTTCTACGGAGAATCTTCATAGAGGGCGCTGCAAGGTGCTGCGTACACTTGGCCGAGCATGAGCAGGCATTGCACTTGGCTACACTGCTTGTAGGTGTTAGAATTCCTCAACCAACTTTGCGACCTAATAATAATAATAATAATTTATACCCTGGATTGGACATTTGGGAGACATCCCCATAGACTTGTGCACAAAATTTTTCAAACTTCAATGTGCCCTAACCCAATATTCCCTTGTCCTTTTTCCACGAATTTCGGTACTTTTATTAATTAGACCACGAGCAACAAATATAATCGAATTGCGACGGTAAAATTTTGCCTCTAAAGGGGGGCTGTGACATTTTCATGTCTCCCTAATGACCGATGTCTCCCATCGTGCGAAGAAATTATGATACCGTGTCTCCTTAATGGTACCATTACACGTATAAGTATAATAATAAGATAATGGATGTATTTCTTTCAGTGAATGATATTAAGCCGGCTAGATTTTATTTTGACTGCCCCTTCCCAAATAAATATTCCCTTGCCCCAAATCCCCCCCCCCCTTCTCCCCCCCCCAATTTGTTTAGAGTCTGGCACCTCCACTGCTAGCATGGTAACTTTTGCATGGTTGGGAGTCCAGGAGCTACTTTCTGGATTACTTGCCTAATAGTAATACTACTGGTCAGTTTGGAAATAGTACATGCCTTGCATTCGCATGGGTCAGTTACTATGTGCCAACATCGACCAATGAAAGAAATGCATTTGGTTCATAAATATGTCAGTGTAATAATTGTATATTCCCTTTCTATCATATCTCAGTTGGATGAGTCTTTGACCTTGGAACACCGGATGACGGCAAACAGTCTGCTTGCTTCAGTGCATGCTGCTGCAGGGAACCAACAGGGTGAGTACCAATGACGATAGTCGGCCGACCATCGTTGGAAAAAAACTGACTTTTTTCAAATACTGCCACCAATTTGATTAGTCCACATTTTGTTTGCAATCAGTTTTTAATACACATCCGTGAACGGGTGCAAGCCAGCTATAGTCTGGTTGCCTGACTTGACAATTCCCGACGTCTATAAATTGCTCCGTTTCGTCTGAAGTAGGGTCAGGGAACCAAACTTCACGAACAGCATTATCTGTTTTCCATTATCTATGAACACACAACCTTAAACAGGTCAGTGTAACAATATTTGCTATAAAATACTAAGTCCAAATCTATCCATTTCTGAAAATTACAGCAAAATCAAATGTTGTATAAAAGAGTATAATTGTCAAATTTCCAATGAGCTTTGGAGCAGAGGTTTTCCAAGTCTACTGTAGTTGTCCATACCTCAAGAAAGATCTTCTGATGTGTGATCATACAGCATTTTCTGTCTTGTAGATGCCATCAAAAGTCTTCACATCTGTATTCAGTGGCAGCGCTCAAATGTCCATTTCTGGCTCAGACTGGCAGATGCTTACACCGCCCTCTATCACCAGTCCCAGCTCGCAGCGCACCAGCTCCGGACTGAGCATGCTCAGAGCAGTCCAACAGGCACCGGCTGTTCGGAAGACTCAAGTCCGATGCGTCAAACAGATGCCGGCATTGACGGTGATTCTTTGAAAAACAAAATTTGTAAAAATTCTTCGGTATTTAGCAGTGCCGAGACTGTCAACACAGAAGAAGATAAGACTTCAGTGGAAGATAGGACTTCAGTGAAAGATAGGACTTCAGTGGAAGATAGGACTTCAGTGGAAGATAGGACTTTAGTGGAAGATAGGACTTCAGTGGATGATAGAACTTTAGTGGATGGTAGTACTGCAGGGGAAGATAGGACTGCATTGAAAGATAGAACTTCAGTGGAATATAGGACTTCAGAGGAATATAGGACTTCAATGAAAGATAGGACTTTAGTGGAAGATAGGACTTCAGTGGAAGATAGGACTTCAGTGGAAGATAGGACTTCAGTGAAAGATAGGACTTCAGAGGAAGATAGGACTTCAGTGGAAAATAGGACTTCAGTGGAAGATGGGACTTCAGTGGAAGATGGGACTTCAGTGGAAGATGGGACTTCAGTGGACGAAGATAGGACTTCAGTGGAAGATAGATCTTCAGCGGAAGATAGGACTTCAGTGGAAGATAGGTCTTCAGTCAAAGACTTATCAGTTGGTGATTTGCTGAATAAATTGAACAACCTTGCCATAACCGAGCAGGATGCAAATAGTATGGTGATGAATGAGAAGACTAAGGCTGTGCTGCTAAGCAGTGAACACCGTTCAATTCTTGTGGCTGCAAGTTGTCTTCTAAGGGCAAGGTAAACTCTAGGCCCAAGACTGAATGTAGAGATATGTTCCCTTGAATAACCAGGTCCCGAGAATGTGCAGACAGGCCTCCTTAGCAGTAGAGGAACCTTTCAACAAGATTAATCAAATCCACATTTGGAATTTCGGCACTGGAACCTACAAATTCAAAGCATACCTAGCAAGCTCTTTAGAAAGAATATAGATCATCCACAAACCGTCAGTAACAACGTCTAGGCCAATTCCTAAAATCTCCCCCCGAAAAATGTCGGAAACAAGTGCGCATGTTTGACTTCTGCATGCAATTACGGTCTATTTTCAGTCCCACACAAACTACACACAACAAAAGAGATGACCAGTGAAATTGCACAAAAGTCTTACTGCATCTTTTATACTACTGGAAGAATTTTGAGAGTTTGCTTCGGAACAACTGTGATTTTTTTTAATGCGCGCTGCATATATTAGGCCAAACAGGTGCATGCGCATTGAACAACCAATAGGAATTGGCCTAGATGTTGTTACTGACAGTTCGTTGATGATATTGGTTGGTCGTGATAGCGCCCTCTCGCAACGGCGGGCTATCGCGGCGGTGAGTTATCACGAATCAAACCATAACAACGTCTAGCCCTAGACTACATCAAAATTGGAAAAAAGTTCAAAAACCACATAACAAATTTCCTCACACAATTTTTTTCATTGAGAGGGTTGTACTCAACAGAATTCTTAACAATATTTACCCAAAATTGTTTACATTTTTCTCTGCAGGCTGTTACTAAAATCAGTGCAGCACTCTGTCGGTTCGTTTGCAAAAGTTCGGAACAACCAGCTTGGCACTGAGGTAAGAGTTGACGTAACTGACATTGGGGTGTTTTTTTTCTAAGTACAGGGTGAGTCCAAAAAGGAAACCCAAATGGCAGGACTAATTATTTAATGAAGTTCTGCATGTAGCACTTTCAAAATCTTGGATATGAAAGCACAATTAATAAGCTTTCTTTTAGTACAAGAATCATTCAAATCGCTCACATACTTTTCAAGTTACGGAATTTTAAACACAAACACTGTTTTAAAGTTCTGTCCACGGATCACAAGAAGGTAAGTGATCTTTCAGTATAACGAAAACAATCCACACACATCCCTATATGAATTGTTTTTCGTTTTTCTGAAAGAAATCTTACCTTTTTTGTGATCCGTGGACAGAATTTTAAAACTGTGTTTGTGTTTAACATTGCGTAACTTGAAAAGTGCATGAGTGATTTGAATGATTCGTGTACTAAAAGAAAGCTTATGAATTGGGCTTTCATATCCTAGGTTTTGGTAGTGCTACGTGTACATGCAGAATTTCATCAACAAATTGGTTCTGCCATTTTGGTTTCCTTTTTTTACTCATCCTGTACGTCAATGCAAAAACACTCTCACTTAAAGCTACAGTCCATCATTTGTAATTTGTGCATTTTATTCGTTTGAAGCAACAAAAGAGTTCAAAATCAAATGAAGGATACTGAGCAACTAACCTGATGAAGTTTCAGCTAAGCTTCAGCTGTACATTCCGAGAAAAACAGCATTCTAAGATCTCAATTTCAAATCAAAAGTTGCTGAATCATGTTTTGAATTGTTTTGAATTGCAACTATACGCGACGTCGCGCACTGATCCGACGAATTATAACAACCGCGCGCGCGTGTGCGTCGTTCGAATACTTCTTAAGAATCACCGTTAGAAATGCCTTCTTTCGTTGATTACTTCAAAATGACAGCTTCCCAGAAAGAATAGTTTCACAGGGAGTTTAGTCCCCTTACTATCTTTCAACCAAGTTAGTTTTTCAACAATAATTACACCAGTTACTTTTCGGATGGCTGCAAATGATGGACTCTACCTTTAAGAGTTGAATCCTTCAATTTTCTGACCATTAAAGCTTGAATACATCTTTTGTTGCCATGTTGTTCCACAGATAGAGCAGTCATTGGGGACTTTGCACCTAAATCCTGCCGTCGTGAGAGTATTACATCACCACGCCCGGATCGTCTTCCGACGAGGCTGTCACAAAATGGATGACATTGCCATGGCAACCAATGAGGAAGCAGAAGGAGGCGACAAGGGTAAAGATGAGGCTGTGGAGGACTGTTTATCCAAGGAGGAATTTGAACAAAGGTGGTTTCCGTGGCTATTGGGGACAAATTCATCTTAGAGTCATTTCTTCTCGATACACTCCATTTGCCAAAAAGTAACTGACAAAATTATTGTTGAAAAGTTTACTTGGTTTAAAGATAGTACTGGCACTAAACTCCCTGTGAAACGATTCTTTCATTTCCAAAGATGGGTCAAGTGACGCATTTATTGAAAGTTGTGTTAGTTGTTGGCTTGCAATTCTGCGAATCCGTGAATGGTAGCGTGCAAGCGTTGACACGACACACACACATGCATGGTTGCTATTCGTTGCTTCAGTGCGTGACATCTAGTCGTTGCAATTAGCTGAATGAGAACGTGTCTTGGATGCTCATGGGGGGGGGGGGCATTTCAATACCAGACCTGGCAACTTTTGAATTGAAATCGAGATCTTAGAATATTGTTTTCTCAGAATATACAGCATTCACTGAGCTAAAACTTAGTCATTAAGCACGTTTGTTGCTTCATTTAAACGGGAAAAAATGCACAAATGACCAAAAAAATCTACCCTACCTTTAAGGCAATGAGGATATCAAAACCATTTTCGGGATACGAGATCAAGATCTGATGTTACAGCTTGAGATGCTGTGCTTTGCATATTTTTGGGAAAAAATGTTGCAACCTGACGCCACTTTCTTCTTCCATGAAGGTCATTCATTGCAAAAATGATAAGACATGAATCTGGGACCGAGAAACCTTTCCAATTTTGTTAGGAAATACTTAAAAAAATTCTTGACTCTCCATACACTTTGTACACAATCTCGGAAGTGGCGTCAGGTTGCAACTTTTTTTTTTCATTTTTGTCAACACGTTGTAACTGGTCGATGTACAACATTTTTGCATGAACAAAAAGCCCCATATCTTCAGCACGTAGGGCTAAAATTGGGTAAAGTCACAAAATAATTGTTACCTTTTATCCCCAAAACATCTCAGAATTGAACAACATGCTTGTATTTAGCTTGTTCAACTCTAGAATGTTGTGAACAATTCCCAGTAGTATCTTATTCAGCGTACGAATAGTCTCTAGTTTAATACTTGTCGCGTTTTCCATTTACTTTGTTTTTGTTTCTCGTATTTTCCACTTCATTTTATATTACAAAATAAACTATTGATGAAAGGGAAGAAATGAAAATGGAAATTAAAGAACAATAGTATTCAGTTCTCTTGATGGAACGATTTAATCAACAACTCTTAAAACGATTCTCACAAAATTTCTATATTTAACAAAAAATAAATCTGAAACCATGTATTTCACCTTACATGGAACTTAGCACCACAAATGAAGAAGGCATCTCTTGGAAAAAACTATATTACATAAATTGGAAAAAAAGTTAAATGGTTAAAAAGGCACATAGGATCATTGCATTTATCCCAGAACTAACCTACCAAATTATTATTTAAAAAAAATGTACTTGAATTAAAGATTGTTCTGGTACTTTTATAAACACCCCATGAAATTATTCCATTGGGGTTGCTGTCACTTAGAAAAATCAAAAAATGTGGATGATATTTTCAATGATCTGTCACTTGACTGATTTCTGGAATAATGAATGCTGTTGACGAAATTGTGTTTCATGATCAAAAGGTGTGCATAAGTTTTCACATTTTCTGGAACTGAGCTGAAACTTCAACAGGTTGGGTTTTGAAGATTCTTCTTTGGATTTTGAGTGGTGTTATTATTTGGAAACAAACAAAATGCATGCAAAGCAAATGATCCTATATGCCTTTAAATAATATGTACCTTACATCGCAAATACATGTATTTCAAGTACTGTTTGTCGATTATAAATCCTTTAAGCGAAACATTAACCCTAACTCCCTAGCGTGATTTACTAGGAACCATACCCATCCTGGCAAATTCCAACACCATATGGGAAACTGCACACACATATTTCTGACTTTGATTCTGGAGGTGTGCCAACCCAATGTAAAGACTGTCAGTTTAGGGGTACTGTACCCATCCTGACAGATTCCAACAAAACATGTCGTTGGAGTTTGATGGGTTGAGTTCTGTTAGGGTTCGTGTTCCCAGGTGTTCAAATATTTTGACTACTTGTCTTTGCTTCGCGTCGAAAGATAATCGAATCAGGCAAAAACCATGCTGTGTTTGTATAATACCCTAGGGTATACAAAATAATGCACAATTTAATCCATGCAAATACCAGAAAAATAGAAAAATAAAATAGAATAGTAATGCTGATATAAGCAACAACAAAAATTCATATTCAGAGGTCATATTTTTTTGCAGGAAAACATGTTTAGATTGCAACCAAGTGTCATCTGGGAAGAATGTTGCATCCCGACGCCGCTTTTTTCATCATATACAGTGAAATCTCGATTAGTCAAACCTCAAGGGAACAGGTTCAAAATTTGACTTAAGCAGAGTTTTGAGTTAAGCAGGGTTGAATATCATTGTTATACTACTGAAGGCAATGGATTCTTTGTTTGACTTAACAGTTGTTTTGAGTTAGTAGAGTTTGACTTATCGAAATTTCACTGTATTATCTCAATGAAGGTTGGTCATTACAAAAAGACATGAATCTGGGACAGAGAAAAATTTCCAATGTTGTCAGAAAATACTCTGAAAATGCACTCGACTCGCCATAGACTTTGTACACAACCAAAGAAGTGGCGTCTGGATACTACATTCTTTCCTCAACTTTCATTGATGTGGCTGTATTTTTAAGCTGGTATTTTTAAGTCGACCCATAACTTGCTTACACCACGACGGAACTGTCGGCATCAAGCACAAACGTTATGCTCAGGTCACAAAACTGACAAATTGTGTGATTGTCACGGAACACGTCGCAGAAAATGAAATTTTTCTACTCTTGCGACTGTTCAAGTTTTTGTTAGCGCCAACTGATCGTTTTAATATCGTCGCAGTTACACTCAGATCGCACAGAATCGGTGACTATTTTGTTCTCGACGGTCGTAGCTCAGGCACAGCTTGATCCTGAAAAGTCAGTCACCGACTGATATCTGTGTCGTCGCAAGTTTGACCTGAGGCCAGCTTTACTTAACTGCACATATCATGTAAAGGAATTGGTAAAATGCTTCACAAAGTAAAAATTATAATTCCGTGAAATAAAATGCTTGATACATTTATCAAATAAACGGCAGTCATAAAGTAAAATAAAATATGTTGGAGAATGTTCTCCGTGCATAAAATATGTAGTAGGTCGGCATGGGCGTCGCCAGGAATTTTTCCAGAGGGGGGCAAAATTTTTTTTTGCCAAAAAAGGCTTGTATTTCTCAACACATTCTCGATTTATCAGTTTTAGAGGGGGGCAGGGACATTCCCCCCCCCCCAACTCATTAAATTTACACCACTTTGTCTTCGCGCCTCTTTTTCTTTTCTTTATTTTTTTTATTTTTTTCTTCCTTTTTTTTTTTTTTTTTTTTTTTTTTGCTTTTCCAGGGGGGGGGGGGCAAGTGCCCCCCCTTGCCCCCCCCTCGCGACGCCCATGTAGGTCGGGTAGTTTTCTTACAGGTTGAAATTCCTCATGAACTGCAATGGATTTTACAGCTACACAATGAAAATAAGTTTGCACGAAATAATTGCAGTGGTTAAAATTCCTTTAAACAGCATTTTATAGAGGTTTAAAAATCTCTTTAAAATATATTACAGCTGCTTGGACAGTGTTAAAACCAACAGTTCAAAATCTTAAACATTTATTCCAGTATTAAAAACATTAACAATTAAACAAACGCCACCAATGAAAATGGAAATCAAAAATCTTAGAACTTGAAATTTTTTACAAATTTTGTGACAATTTCCTATTCGGTAGGCACTTATTATGAACAACCAAAATGACATTGTCACACTGCTTGTGCATATTCAAATGTGATTATTACTAAGGCCAAAAAAAAAAATAGTTCTGCTTCCGGTTTCCCTACCAGCCCCTAACCTAATTTTTTTTATGGGAAAAATGAGGGGAAAAAACACCCAAAGCCATCAATTTCGAAGTTTGAGATTATTACTAAAGCCAAAAAAAAATACTTCTGCTTCTGGTTTCCCTACCAGCCCCTACCCTAATTTTTCTGGGAAAAATGAGAAAAAATCACCCAAAGCCATCAATTTTGAAGTCTTATCATTGACTACACGCAGACGCCTCTATATGATTGTACACACACAAAATTGGCAAAAAAAAAATTCCCTACCTACCTACCCTATGTTAGAATGCCATGTAATCGGAAGCAGAAGTATTTTATTTTTTTGGCCTAATGTTGGTAGTTCAGGAACACTGCCTTCCTGAAAAGGTAAAACTTTGGCAAATGTTTACAGAAAGAAAGGCTTACGGTCTTCTTGATTTCATTCGCTACGTTTCCAAGATGGCCAACTCCACATATTAAGCTGTCAAAATCTAAAATTTGCTGTATTCTACATCGAAAACTCTAAAAACTTTGTAAAATCACTGGCAAAATGTCACTTCTAGTCGCAATAAAATTTTGGAAGATTTAAAAAGCTGCTCATTTTTTAATAAGGGAATAAATGTGTGCTCCGGAGGTTTTTATCACTCTGTTTAATACCACTTAGAGTCTGGGTGCTGATAATTACCCGAGCCGGAGGCGAGGGTAATTATCAGCACCCAGACTCTAAGTGGTATTAAACAGAGTGATAAATACCGACGGAGTACATATTTATTCCCATTCATAAATACCTTTTCGGTAAAAAAAAATCATATAATTCGTTCAAAACATCCCGATTTTGTTCAAAAAATTCACTTTATGCTTTTTGAAACATCCCTCCTGCAAAATAATGGAGTGTTCAGCTGGCGAGTAGGATGAAAACAACCCTTTTATGGAGATTGACGCGCGCGTATCATGTTCTACGCGATGTCGCGCAGAACGCACCTGGCGCGTTGCGTTTTGAATTTAGAACTATAAAATTCTAACTCCCTGGTAGTGTTGCGCATGCCTACGTGAGGATTGTGAACGTTCAACCAATGAAACGATAAGAGGCACTGGATTTTTAGGAGTCCACATTTTATTGTGACACTGGAAAAGTGTTTAAGACCAGCTAGCCATGTCTTTATCATCCGTTTAATACCGGCCACGTGACGGGCTCTCGACCAATAGGAATGGCTAAACTGTCTGAGGTATTTATGAATGGTATTTTCATTCCAATTTTGGTTCCACTTAAGGAGCCTACCTTAATCAGTAATACTACGTGTCAAAAAATGTTTTGTCCTACTTTTGATCCTGAATAACTCTGTTGTTTACCAATGGAATTAAACCAAAATTTCAGATCATGTAAACAAGGCATGACAAATTGTATGGAGCAAGTTTCATCAGCTTTGTGCAAGAGGGTGAGATTTAAACGCCATATAAAAAAACTACTCACTTTCAGATTGTTGATACAGCGCTGGAGAGGGTGGCGGAAGCATGCTGCGGCCGAAAGCTTCTGAAGGAATGCAGGATCACCCCTGATGTCACTGCACACCTCCTCGATTATGAGTTGCGCCAAACGATCGAGGTGCGCAATGACATCAGGGGTGATCCTGCAGCAGGGGCCTTCCACCACCGTCTCCAGCGCTGTATTGCGATTGGAAGATGCCAAGTCAAAAGTGGCAGATTCTGAAAGTGAGTGTTTTATTCATATGGCGTTTAAATCTCGCCCTCTTGCACAAAGCTGATGAAACTCGCTCCATAAAATTTGTCATGCCTTGTTTACATGATCTGAAATATTGGTTTCATTCCATTAATAAACAACAGTTATTTAGAATCTAAAGTAGCACATTTTTTTTTTTTTTCATGCATAGTTTCAACGCTGAAGGCACCCTACTTGCACAACTATATGTTGTGGCTGGTAATATTTTGTCCACGTACAATTATTAAAAAGTCCTGAATGAAAGTTATCTTTACATGCATACAACCGTTTGAGGCATTTTGGCGGTAAAAAGGCAGCTGATAAAGTGTGTTCTGGCCGTGACTACTCTTCACTTGAATTTCTTGGGCGATGGTTGGTAGTAGTATATTACGGCGCATCCTGCCGCCCGTAGGGAGTTAGTGACGACGTAGCTGGAAACAACTACAGCCAAACAACAATTTGAGTTATTAACAAAATAAGAGTGTGACAGATTTGGCTGATTTTCAAATTGGAGCTCGGAAAACCAAGCCAATCTGAAGTTTCATGAGCTTTTAACTTAACTTGAGAATCAGATCTTTTCTTCAGTTTGCACTCTCCGACTTTGCATCCAGATTACTCATCCCTAATGAAATTTCATATCTGCACATGTGCAGGTATAACCTCCATCAGTGGGGCACCCAAGGGGACCTGGGGGGGCTTGAGCCCCCCCCCCCCCCCCCCACGATTTGACCTTGGTGATATGTATGTGGCCTATTTTCGAGTAGTATAACAGGGGTGTAAGTGATGCCACCAACGTCAAAATAGTCCCCCCCCCAAAAAAAAAAAAAATTCTGCGGCCAGAATCTCGGAATTCCCCTAAGATCTCAGCCAACGAGTGACGAAAACTTTTGAAACTCGGTACATGCATAGAGCAACTCATTATGAACATACCCAAGAAATTTCATGACTATAGATCAAAGGGTTTTGGAATTATGGCTAATTAATTAATCATATGTACGAATGGTAATTCTGCTCTGTGTACACCATGTATATGGGAAAATCATAACAGCTCGTGTCACAAAAACAAACATTTCAAGGCTATCGCGGAAAAAGTTGAGGGGGGGGCGGATTTTGCCCCCCCCCCCGGCCCTTTTAGGGTTAAACCTTGTACACGTAGTTTGTGTTTCTTTCTTTAAATTGCTTTATACTTGTCTTTAAGTTGACAAAAGCCTTTTTACAGGGTACCCATCTTTCTGACTCACCCTGTATCTAGACAATAATAATTAGTTGCCTGACCTGATAGGATTTTGTTCATTAACCCTAATAACCACCCAAACTCCATCAAAATCCATCCCCCATTTTGGTGGATTTTGGGGGACTTGGTCCAGGGGGCCTGGCGTGACTAAATATTGATGGAGTATGATGGACTTAGGCCTAATGGCCTGACTCAGTGCTAGGGGTATCCAATTGATTTTGCCTAGCTTCCTATACTGCTATTGTGATAAAAGCCATGTGTAGCAAGTCCATGAATGTCAACCAGTGCGTCAGTGGTGGATTCCATTATGTCATGTATAGTTTTGTATGAAACGCACAGTGATTGATGGATTTTGATGGAATTGTTTTAGTTCATAGTAAAAGACACCAGGGAGTTAGGGTTAAATTAAGGGTATATATTTATTTGAACTTACCTAACATATCTCCAGCTACAATGAAGGTGATCAATCGTACTGAAGGGTTACAGGGAGAAAATAAAAATCCTTAAAATGTGATGCAGTGAATGCACATTTCATAATAAGTAGTCCAAAATCTTTCCAATTTTGCCACACATTATTTCTAGGGCTGTGCATCCGAATCGGGTACCCGAGTGCCCGACGTTAATGTCAGGAACCGGTTCCAGATTATGGGATCGGATCCCATAACCAACTTTACAAATTACTTAGTAACTTCTCAGACAATGAAAATGAAAGGTTTTGAATGCCATTGGTGGGAAATTTCAAAATGAGAACTTGGCTACGTGGAAAAACAGAACATATTTCATGTTTATGACGCCCGCGAAATTAGCAGTTTTCACCACAAAGCTATAACGCTCACTGTGGGTATATTGCTGTATCGGTGCACAATGGTGGTAGTATTATTGTGCGGACCTTTATACACAATCTGAGCAGCAACTTCCCAGATTTGAATTTTTGGGATAAGTTTCTTTAACTGGTACCCGGGTACACTTGTTTTTTTAATTGGGTACCCGTTTGGCACTAAGTTACCACTTAGCCTCATGTCAAACTAATAAGTACTTTCCAAGTCCACAAAAGGAGTTGTTTACGTCTTACTCGCGAGCTGGACACTCCATTATTTTCGAAAAACAGAAAATAAGACTGTTGAACTAAATCGTTGGAAATTTTAAATTATTGACTGTTTTGACTTTTGGACCAAAAAGTTTTGATTTGTTGACCGAAAAGGTATTTTATGAACGGGAACAAATATGTGCTTGGTCGCTATTAAACACCATGTTTAAGACTGGTTTGAGACTGGAATGCTGATAATTACCCTCGGCTTCGCCTCAGGTCTTAAAAATAAGTGTTTAACACCTCCCAAACACACATTTATTCCTTAACCCTAACTCCCCAGCCTAATTTACTAGGAACCGTACCCATCCAGGCAAATTCCAGCACCCACATGGGAAATTGTACACACACACTGTTGGACTTAGTTTCTGGAGGTATGCCAAACCCACTGTAAAAGACCATCAGTTTAGGGGTACTGTACCTATCCCAACAGATTTCAACAAAACCTGCTGTTGGGCTTTGATGGGTTGAGTTCGGTTAGGGTTAATAATGAACACACTTACAAAATCCAGTAGCCCAAGATATGAACCACGATGAGAAGCTAACGGAACCTGAATCCTTGATTCGGTAAATGGCTAAAATCTGGACAATCATGCCGCTAGCGGAGATGGGTGTTGACAGCGTCTAAAAATCAGCGCAGAGACAATACACACAAACAATTTACGTCACTGGTTAGCAGAGGTGCAAGACTAACTTTCCGGAGTCAATTAAAATCTGTCATGAGCCAATGTGGCCCATCGGGCCAGCGTTTATCTCCGGTTTCAGTAGCATGAAACGACTGAGAATATTTCTATTCCCCCTGGATTGGATGCCAGTCCATCGCAGGTTACTCCCCAGCTAATGCCGGTACCCATTTATACTCCTGGGTGGAGAGAGGCAAGTGGGGTAAAGTGGCTTGCCCAAGGACACAACATATGGACAGCCGCTGGTTTCGGTGTCTTGGCCTTGCAAATGCAAGCCAGCGCACAACTTGATGTCAAGTAGTAACTTCTGTTTGTGTTTTTGGTGTGTTTTTTTTTTCATGACGCGCACGTATCCACCAGTATTGGTGCTCAAGGCGCTACATCATTATTACCCTGCTCATAGACCCATGAAACATTCCAAAGACAATCTCAGCTCCCTGGGGAGTATACAGCTCAATGCTGCCATTTCGACGCAACCAGCTAATGTCTTTGCCCTCACAGGTACCCATTTACTCCTGGGTCGGGAGAAGCAATGAGTGACAAAGCATGCAAAGTGCCTTGCCCAAGGGCACACGCATCACAACCTGGACTCGAACCCACAACCTGCGGAATTACCCGCACCAGACCACGAGGACATAGCACTTCTACAACACAGCCGACAAGTTGTTCAAAAACTCACAAGAGCCCTTGGGTATTAAACAAGCAAGAGCACTCAAAAAAAAAGAGGAGCGAATGTGCAAATGATTTACAAGTGCCTTTCAAAACTGTTATGACAACTTGTCCGCCTCATAATTTTATTCAACGGTTAAGTGAGGTCCTTGTGCGGGCCCAGCGGATGTGGGCATGTTCTTGCATGTTCGAGGGGAAGCATACTTGCATGAATGACCAAATTTAGGCATTTTGTGGTGAGGGCCCTACACTTTTAACAAAATTCCCTCGCGGGCACTCACTTGTTACTTGTGAGAGATAGAAACTAATGCTTTTGCCTTGTAAGCAGTGTTGTAGTTTTGAAACCTTATTATTTTCACGTTTTTAAGGAAATGAGTGTTGATCAGCCTCTACTCCAGTCGAATTGTGTCTTTTGCCAAGGGTAAAGGGGACGAACCTGTGTTAACAGGAACGGAGTGCCCATCTCTCTTTCGTTAGCGATTGGGCCAGACTCATATGCTGCTGTGGGGGGATCGCCACACCTCCACTGCGAGTCTGTTACCTTCCCAGCCTTGAATAATGCCGGTACCCATTTAACACCTGGGTTGATAAAAGTAATTGAGGTAAAGCACCTTACTCAAGGGCACAACACGCATGGCCACGGCGGGGCTCGAACCCACAATCACACGATCATGAATCTTGTGCTCCAGTGCTAGACCACACGTGCCCTTTTGCCAAGAGTTGCGGCTCAATGCAACAAGGTCCCACAGACTTTTGCACCGTGTCGTGACTGGCCGGGTTAGGGTTAAATGAGTCATCACAAAAGCCTTTTAAAGGCTTGGATGACAGCAAACAACTCACCAGCAGTAGAGCTACGAACCAGTTTGGAGTCAAGCCCGATCCTACGATCCAAACGGCGATAAAATATCTGAGCTTTGTGTCAAGGAACAAAACACTGCAGCACTTGACTGGGAAAGTAAAGTAAAGTCTGTCATGAGCCAATATAGCTCATGAGGCTGGCGTTTAATAGTTTCTCCAGACTTTTCCTTGGCATGAAACAACTGAGAATATTTGTATTCCCCCTGGATGGGATGCCAGTCCATCGCAGGTTACTCGCCAGCTAATGCCAGTACCCATTTATACTCCTGGGTGGAGAGAGGCAAGTGGGGGTGAAGTGGCTTCCTCAAGGACACAACATATGACCAGCAGCTGGATTCGAACCCCTGACCCTCTGACCATGAGTCCCGAACCCTAACCACTGTATCTTAGTACAAATTATCATTAATTAAAACCACAGGTGGGGGGGAATAGACTAGGTGCATTGAAGAAATTGACTGGAGCGGGGTTTGAACTTGTGACCTCCAGATTGCCAAACAGACGCTCTACCAACTGAGCTATCCAGCCCTATGTCGCCAGTTCCCCAGTTTGTTGATGTCTTTGTTCAAGGGTACTAGTCAGCTAGAAGCCATAAGTTATGAATTATCTATTAAGTACAGTTTTTGGTAATAGCAAAAAGTGCTGTTAATTTCACCATGGTTTGAGAACTAGGCAGTGGGGGAGTGTGGCCTAGTGGTTAGGGTTCATGACTCATGATCAAAGGGTCAGGGGTTCGAATCCAGCTGTGGCCATATGTTGTGTCCTTGGGCAAGCCACTTCACCCCACTTGCCTCTCTCCACCCAGGAGTATAAATGGGTACCGGCATTAGCTGGGGAGTAACCTGCGATGGACTGGCATCCCATCCAGGGGGAATAGTAAAACTCTCAGTTGTTTCATGCCAAGGAAACAAGAAATAAACACCAGCCATGTTGGCTCAGGACAAATTTTGGAACTCGTCAAGGATACAAAGCACTGTAAGGAAGAAGGCTGAAATGAACTTGGTCCATGTAATGCAGCATCATCAGAATAACAACCCACACTGAAGAGTAAACAAGCAAATAAACAACAAATGGCACAATTGTTAACAATAATGGGCAAGTCAGCGTTATGGAAGAAAATGTATTGTCTATGACAGTGCCAATCAATATCTAATTAATGATTCAGAGAAATGATCCAAAACTCCTAGACTTTAATCTCCTTGACCATTACTAGATGATGGATGTATAGGTCTCGTTCAAATGACGTCATTTCCTACAGACCATCCACCTGCATCGGCATTTTGAGCGTCAACTTGCATAACGCGCATCGGCTGCGTCGTATTTCGAACACATTTCGAGCAACAAGCACGCGTGTTTGGAACATTTTCAACAGTGCGTAATGCGTGCTTGACTGCGTAAAATATGCAGTTGCAATTCTCCTACAGAGATGGCCGTCATTGAACGAGTCATATAAGACTTGAAAAAAAAACCCCACATTTTTGGGTTTAATTTCTGAGCTCTTAAAGTTAAAAACAAAATCTGGTTTGTAGTGTGTTTGACACTGGAATTGCCCTTATGTAAATTTTGATAATAAAGTGAAACGACCCCCTCCCCCCCTCCCCCCTCCCCCCTCCCCCCCTCCCCCCCCAAAAAAAACCCCCACAAAAACACAAAAGCAAAATAAGTTTTTGCAATAAGTTGAAATCCCCCTGCCAAAGAAAATGAAATTTTTGAGGAAAATGATAAATTTATAAGCAGCATGTGTTTTGTGGATCAAATTTGTAATTCAATGAAGCTGGTAATGTTACACAAGGTTAAATTTAACAAATTCAAATTGACAACTGAAAAATAAAGGAAACTGACTACGTGAATTGTAATAACTTTTAAACATTTGAACAAAGAAATTGACTGGAGTGGGGTTTGAACCTGCGACCTCTGGATTGCCGTTCCGGTGCTCTACCAACTGAGCTACCCTATAGGTAATCGTTATCATTACTTTAATTGTGGTTAATAGACAAATTATTGTTCTTGTTTAGACTTTTTCTGTAACATTTGGTAAAGTTGATCACTTGTATAAGCTAAACATGTAAATACTTTAAATGCACAACACACTTTTGTTAAAATCATTACTGCAATTTTGTTCTCCTTATGTTCAATGTTATCGTTACTTTATTTGTGGTTAATAAAGTCTGAGATGAAATCTCTTGCACAGGGACCATGCTTTATAAGGAGTTGTGTGTCACCCATGTGTTTGTGGCCTAAACTTTGGATAAAATACATCTCCAGATTATTGGCATTGATGACTGAGGGAGGTGGTTTATTCGTGTTGAATTGTTGATGGATAAATGCTTGTACTATACAGGGTGAGTAAAAAAAAACGAAACCCAAATGTCGGGACTATTGTTTTATTGAAGTTCTGCATGTAACACTTTCAAAATCTAAGATATGAGAAAGCCCAATTCATAAGCTTTCTTTTAGTACAAGAATCATTCAAATCACTCATGTACTTTTCAAGTTACTGAGTTTTAAACACAACCACCGTTTTAAGGTTCTGTCCATGGATCACACAAAAGGTGAGCATTCTTTCAGCGAAACAAAAACAACTCACACACATCCCTATGTGATTTCTTTTCATTTTGCTGAAAGAGCACTGAACTTTTTTGTGATCTGTGGACAGAACCTTAAAACGGTGGTTGTGTTTAAAATTCAGTAACTTGAAAAGTACATGAGTGATTTGAATGTTTCTTGTACTAAAAGAAAGCTTATGAATTGGGCTTTCATATCCTAGATTTTGGAAGTGCTACATGCAGTATTTCAGTAAAACAATGGTCACAACATTTGGGTTTCGCTTTTTTTACTCACCCTGTAGATCTTACTATTGGTAGTATGTCGGTGGTATGAGAACTGGTGAGGTCTTCTATGTGATCTTGTTTGTATCATGAGGGTATACAGGAACTTACAGGAGCTAACTGCAAAACATACCACTGAGATATTCAGCATCACGATATATATTTTCATGACTTTTTGGGTAGAATGCAATTACAAATTTGGCATTTTCAGATGACTCTGCAAAATGCAGTAAACATACCTTGCATGTTCCAACCATGCGCCTAACCATTCATCCATGGAGCAATAAAAGAGATGCTATGGACTAATGCTTGTATTCAGCCTTATCCTTCTAACAAGCCACTACTTTTCATTGGATGTGCTCTATTTGAAGTGAAATTGCAGTAACCATGGCAATTCAAGTATACAAGTATCAGATACATGTTCCAAAGGCATTATTGCTAATGTGTCACATTGCAAAATTGTAAGTGCATTGTGGCAGAGTAACTTTAAGGCATTCACAAGCACACTACTACAATAAAGGCTACATGACAATAATACCCTTCATTTCACCACTGGGCACCAGTCTGGTAACATCTCAAAAAGATGTTGCCAAAACGTCTCATCATTGGCTTGATAAGCCTTTGTCTTATGATCAGATGCACTGGTGGTAATGAGAGGTGTGGGGCCTCCATTAGAGGGGCGTGTCCTCCTGCTTGGAGCCAGCGGGGTGACAAATGCTACAAGCAACTCAGCGAGAATCTACCATGGGCTGAGGCAAAACAGGAGTGCATCAAGATGGGAAGTGTCTTGGTCATGCCACAGTCTCAGGAGGAAACTGACTTCCTTCTGAAGAACGTGTACCACTGGTTCTGGATCAACTGCAGTGATCTTCAAGTTGAAGGTTTGTCAACTTATATTGTTTTAACAACGAATGAATTCTATTTTCCAAGATTTTCATAGCAAACAATTCTTCTCTCCTTTTGGAAAGGAAACAAAATTATTATTAACATTTCAAACTTCAAACAAACATGGTTCTCATTTTTAAGGCTTCATTGTAGAATTCTAACCAACTAAAACCAGACATTAATATTCTCTGTGTGTCAGGTTCATGGGTGTGTCAAGATGGCACTACTGATGTGGAGTACAGAAACTGGAGGGATGGTGAACCTAGTAACGGCGGGGGAAGAGAAGATTGTGCAGTAGTGAGACGTGCTGGTGATTGGAATGATCTACCATGTGACGGTCTCAATCCTGTCGTTTGCAAACGACCTGCACCACAGCTGCACTTTTAAGTGTTAACAAAAACACTGACTGCTCTTCAAAATAATAAGTACACATAGGAACTTCTTCATTTTATTGTAAGTTATAGCCCTCAAAAAAGCAAGGTATCATGTCGACAGTACTAAGAACATGCAACTGAACAATTTCTTTGTTTATCCATTTACCTTGCACAATCAGGAACAAGTACTCAGCATACTGCATGAGGGGCAGAGAGTGCACAAACATGTACACAGCAAAAATGGTGTAACTGCAGCAACGAAAAGAAAAATACGTTTGACAGGAAACACTCATACTGGGATCTTAAGTGCTCAAAACGATGCAAAAGAAGATCAGGCCAACTTTACTCGCTCTTTAGCCAGCAAATTTCTCCAAAACTGCCATTGGGCAAAGAAAAGTTCCTCAGCATTTCACCAACCAAGTTTGAAGACTTGATTCAATTTTTAAAGGAGACTTTTCTTCATTATTTGGCAGTGGCTTGCACATGAGAGGGAAGTCAAGTGATTTCAAAATGAGGCTAAATACTAGACTTGTTTGACAAACTGACTTCTTCATTCATTGTCAGTCTGGTACGTGACTATGGAGAAATGTGTAGAAATAGTGACCTAGTACCCGACATCCTTGATATTTCTTTTGGCACAGTCAGCTGATAGTTGATTGATGCAGTGCTGAAGAGTTGTTGAACTGGTTGTTTCAGGTGCCAGTCTATTTTCTTGTCACATTGCATGTTTTCAATACCTTAAGTTTGGTACTCTCATACACAGTATTTAAAGTCCCAAATTTTGGGACTATTTTATTTTTCTTTAAATCATTGCAAAAGAATTTCATACCTGGTTTTACAGACAATACATGTTCACATTACGTACGTAGCGTGCACATTCCTTTGTTTTCGTGTAGTTAAGAAAAGGCTCTGAAATTTTTTTTTAACTCACACTGTGAAAACTCTTTCAACCCAATTTTTTTTCTGTTCTATGATTCCCTTTAGTGTTTCTCTTCATTTTGCCACGGATAAACCTAACCCCAAAATGCCTATAAACCTGTTTTCCAGAGAGCGCGAAACCTTGTGTGGACGTGGGCAAGTCCACACAACGTCGCTGCTACCTGGTTTGGACATCTTTTGTTCGGAAGTCCACACAGTGAATATAATGCTTGTACACCTAGACATCACTTGACACCCTGTGCACAAATCCTATGGGATGGACTGGTCTGAAAAAAACTTAAGTGTTTTCTCAGTAAATGGTTCAATATTTGCATTCTATTCATTTATTTTCATTCTTAGTACCACATTATATACTTGTTTGTTTTTTTATTAATAAATTATTACATTTCCGAAGTGCATTTCATTCTTTTTTAAAATTTTTGTGTGGAAGGGGATCCCAAAAATGCAGAGTTTGTCGAGTAGAGATCCCTGTTAATGATTTATTATGAACAAATATTTTTGTATAAAATTTAACTTAAGTTTTGTGTTCTTATTCCTCCATGAGTTAAGTAAGTTAAAATGGCAATCACTAGTGCGCCCCAATGCCTCATATGTATGTCGGAGATTGTCACTTAAATTTTGCCCTAGGGGTGGGGATTTTGTCACTTAAAAAGTGACAACCCCCACGTTATGGGTGGGGCAGCTCGGGGGGGGGGGACAATACCACACTAAACTGCACCATACGGTACCGGATGATCTGCCCAAAACAAATGATGAATTCATGTACCTAATTAATTCAAGTATCACACTCGGCAGACTAACTCCCCTTGCAGACTTTGACGCGTAGAGTGACCACAATTGTGGAACCTTGAGCACCACACAAGGAACAACGCATAAAAGGTTGATTACAAACAGTGCCGAAGTCGGCAAACCTCCTTCTGTGGACGCCGCCATCTTTAAATTTCTGTAATGTCTTTCCCTGGTATCCCGTGTAAATGCAGTAATCTATGGTACATTCGTGGGGTACCACTACCTAGCCTGTCTGCAGGAAGACCGTTTTAGCCGATTTTCGGCTAACTTTGACAGATTTTTGGTTAAAAAAAACGAGTTTGACAGAAAATTTGACAGAATGGATTTTTTGGCTGATTTCTGGCAGAATTCAGCAAAAATGGTTATTTGACAGAAAAACATATCAAATTTGAAAAATAAATGGTACATTTGTTAAAAAACTTCAATCTTTTCAAATAACCCTTGCGAAATTGAACAGGTTGAGGTGCTGATACGAGGTTGTCTGTAAGGGCTGTTTCCTACAAGCCTCGGCTTCACTTAAAACAGCCCCATACTCCTTCCTTACTTTCTCTTGTACATATATTGGAATAAGTTTATCATTTCTTCAAAGTACATTTTACTTTTATTATTTTTGAGACAAATTTATTGATTTTGTTATTTTGCTATTTACCAGTCTTTCTTTTATTTATGGATGTATTCTTTAAAAGGAGTGTGGAATAAATGTCTTCTTGAATTGAATCATGGTTGAATTGAATCATTGACTTGAACCGGACTTGATTGACAACCGCATTTTGCAATTTCATAACATCTTTATTTTATTGTAACTATAGATTGTTTATAATGTAATTTGAACCTTAAATAAGGCAATATTACAACATCTGCATGTGATTTTAAGTGTTTATAGTGTATTTAGAGTAATTCTGGGGAATTTGGCATTTTTTTGGAAAATCTGACAGATTTTTGAAGTGCGTTTAGCAGAATTTGGTCATGACCTTACGGTCACCTTGGCTAGCTGTCTGCATCTGTTTAATAATTTTCATAACAGACGCTGTTTGGTCGACATCTAGTGCTGACGATTGAAGTGAGGACCTTACAGTTTTCAGAGGTAAATTTGCTTTTTAATTGAAGTAGATTTATTTTATTGCAATGTTAAGTTGATGTGTTTGTTTTGCGAGGTATTGATTGGCTTGAATCTTTGCTCTTCGGTCTTCCAGCTATGCTGGGACTGGGAGCACATACAAACTTATCGCGGAAATTCACCTATGCAAATTGGGGTCAACACGCCCCTCATTATGACGTCAACGTTGAGTTCGTGCTTGCGCTCATGCCATCAATTTCAGCCCGACTCGCTTCAGTTTTATGAATGAAATCATTATGCATCGGAGAGTGCACATGCCAGAAATTTACAGTAGAAAAGCTCATGATATCTGCTTTCTTTTGCCGAAGAAAGCATCAAAATCGATGAACTATTGCTTGAGTTTTGACAGTTGAAACATTTTTTAGCGTTTTTTTTTTTAGGAACCAAAACTTCTTATTTTTCGAGGGAGTCCATCTTTTTAATCCTAAATTTCTCTCTTCTCGAATTTGGTTCGGGAAAACCGGAATTAGTTCCATATAGAACAGGTTTTCAGCTTTGATATGGTGTGGCACATGTGGGTGGCCGGTCTGATACGGCGATGGCCGCGAGCAATATGCATAAAAATTGCTCGCTAGAACTGCCCAAAATTGCGAATGATAGTGAAGTAATCACGTGATATAAACACGTGCAACGTGCAGGAGATATATATAGCTCAGTGAAAGGCGGTTACGAAGATTAAAGGGATCCCGTTTGATTAAAGGGGTCCCGTTTGATGAAATGTGTGTGTGTCTCTTTTTTTCTGTCCCTTTTACCCTGTATCCCGATGCAACGGAGTTGGGCGGTGGGTTGGGGTGGGGATGGCCCGCGGGTGGGGTGGGGGAGGCCTGCAGGTGGGGTGGGGGAGAGGGAGGGGATGGGGGGGGGGGGCAAAGACACAGTGGGTGGAATATGCACATTCTTTGGTTGAATGGCCATTGCACATATCCCAACACCTTGAGGGGCGGGGTGGGGTCCCCTGGGTGGGGGGAAAGGAACGGGAGGGGGGTACTGAGAACCAGGATAATGGAAGATTTCCTGTCTTTCATTTCTTACACCTGCACCATATCAGGACCCCATGGAAGGGGAGTGCACATAAGGGGTTCCCGGTGGAGGGGGGAGGGGGGTGCCGTGGGGGAGGATGCCTCGTGAGTGTAGAGGGGGGCCGGGGTTAGAGTACTCAAAACCAGGAAGCTTAAAATCCGGGGGGGGGGGGGGGCTCAAAAGGAGGAGGGTGGAATTTCACATTTCCTTTTGTTTTTTCGGTCCTTGCAACATATCCCGACCCTAGTGGGCGGTGGGTGGTGGGGGCCCCCACCAACACAGAAATCTTGATATGCAAATTAGGTAAACAGCGCCGCTCATTATAGCATCATCATGAAATTCTTGCTTACGCGCATGCCATCTACTTCGGCCAATTTTCGGCCAGACTCCTTCAGTTTTATGAATAATATCACTGTAGGCCTACATCGGAGGATGCACCTGCCAGAAATTTACATGCTGAAAGCAACAGAATGATGTCCGCTTCCTTTTGCCGAAGACAGAGTCAAAATTGTTAAATGAAAGGGTGAGTTTTGACGATTAAAATATTGTTTTAGCGTTTTCCTTTTTGGAACTCAAACTTCGTATTGTCCAAGGGAGTCCATCTTTCAATCCTGTTTTTCTTCCTTCCAACATTTTGTTTGAGATCAAATGAATTAATTCCGAGTAGTTGAGTTTTTTAGCTGGCGAATGGTGTGGCCTAAGTGGGTGGTCGGTTTAATAGTGCGATGGTCGCGAGCAAAATGCATGGAAATTCATCACTGGAACTGCCAAAAATTGCGAATGATTTTCAAATGATCACGCCGGTTATATCCGGCCCGCCGGCACCGCGCGCGTTCTAATAAAAACCCAAGATTAATAAAATAATCGGTTACACCTCTATGTTCCGACACCCCTATGTTCCGACTGCACATATTCCTATTCCTAACCCTAACCCTAACCGGGAGTAACACAATCTAGGTTGTCGGAACATAGGGGTGTCGGAACATAGAGCAGTCACCAAATAATCAAGATGTTTTGTTTTCCGATAAATGATGTGACTTTATTATTGGGAATACCACTTTCTTTTTTTCCTTTCCCCTGCCCTGGATACCATATTCCGACCCTGGGGATGGGGCGGTGGGGGGGGGGGCGGAGCGTGGTGTTCAAACCACGCCAAGAGGGCTGAAATTGTTTTTTCCAACAAGTGAAGTTTGTCTTTTAATTTGGTGCAATGACGTTCCCGACCAGACTTTCTTTTACTGCGATATCATGGACCGGGCCGGGGTTGAGGCGGGACCGTATCATAAGTCCGACGCCTCATAGGTCCGACGCCTCATAAGTCCGAAATTTCGGACTTATGAGGCGTCGGACTTTATTTATTCCGCCTCATAGATCCGACGCCTCATAAGTCCAACGCCTCAAAAGTCCGACAACGGAAAAACGAGTGTCGGACTTACGAGGCGTCGGAGCTATGAGGCGTCGACCTATGAGGCGTCGGATTTATTAGGCGTCGGACCTATGAGGCGTCGGACTTATGGGCCTTTATTTGGTTAGGGGATGTGATTTTGTCGGACTTATGAGGCGTCGGACTTATGAGCGGACCCCGTTGAGGCCAGGTAGGGGTTGTGGGGGGGATTTCCCAAAACAAAGAGGGTGGAATGTCCTTTATGTTCTTTTAGTTATTAATCTTAAGACGTGCTGCTCTTGGGGGGAGAGAGGTGGTGGGGCCGCATGAGTCGGGGGTGGGGGGGGGGGGGTGGGGGGGGTTAAGGTACTCCAAACCAGGAGGGTTGAATATCCCGGGGAGCATTAGAAGGGGAGGGCCTGGAATTTCCCAATCTTCTTTTGTTTTCATCATCATCATCATCATCATCATCATCAGACGTCGTAGGCTACTGCCCGTTGACGCAACAACCGTCCACTTCTTCTGGGTTGTGTGACTGGTGAAGGGGTGATTTCCTTCGCTGAAGGGTCGCCGCAGTTAGTTTATCCACGCTGAGACCGCTCCATCTGGTGAGGCCGTCGATCCAGCGGAGTTTGGTCATTGCATTATATCCCGACCCTTGGAGACAGAGGGTGGGGGCCCCGACAAACTATTCACAGAAACCTTCGTATGCAACTAGGCGAACAGCTCCGCTCATGATGACGTCATTGTCAAGTTCTTGCTTCATTACGCGCATGACATCGTCTTCGGCCAATCTCACTGGGAGTCCATCTCTTCAATCCTATTTTTCTTCTTTCCAACATTTGGTTCGAATTCAAATGAATTTATTCCGAATAGTTGAGGTTTTCAGCTGTCGAATGGTGTGCCACATGTGGGTGGTCGGTTTGATAGTGCGATGGTCGCGAGCAATATGCATTGGCATTTTTCGATGGAACAGCCAAAAATTGCAAATGATTTTCAATAATTGATCACGCCATCACCGCTTGCGTTCTAATAAAAAAACAAAATTAATCTAAAAAGCAAGATGTTTTGTTTTCTGATGAATGATGCACCTTTATTACATTATTGGGAGTAGGCCTACCCCTTTCATTTCATTTCCCCTGTCCTGGATATCATATTCAGACCCCCGGGGTGTGGCGGGGGCGGGGTGTGCGGTTCAAGCCATGCCAAGAAAGCTGAAATTATTTTCTTGATTTTTGTCTTTTTACGGTGGTGGTGCAATTACGTTCCCGACCAGACTTTCTTTTTTACTGCGAGAAGGGACTGGGTTGGGGTGGTGGTGGGGGGGGGGGGTTGAGGCCGGGTAGGGGTTGTTGGGGGTCGGGGGATTTTCTTCCAGTGATTCTAAGTTCCAAATCTGCATGCCCAGTGGGTGGGTGTGGGAGTGGGCAGGGCTGGTGGATTTACCAAAGGATTGCATATTCTTCAAGTGATTTTATTCAGACTTGCTTGCCCGTGGGTGGAGGGGGGGGGGGGACGGGTTGGATTTCCCAAAACAAAGAGGATGGAATATCATTCCTGGGAGAGAGAGGGGGAGAGAGAGGTGGAGGGGTTATAGTACTCCGAACCAGGAGGGTTGAATATCCCCGGGAGAGCCGCAGATTGGGAGGGCCTGGAATTTCTCAATCTTC